GGTAAGATAGAAAACTAAAACTACTAGAAAAACTCCCATTAATATTCTTTAATCATATCATGAACATCAAATTTTTCATGCGTTACTTTAGCTTTCGTGATAACAAAAAATAAATATTTCGTTAAGTTATTCTACGATTAATATAAAATAAAAGAACTTGGATTTAAAACAGAGGTTTATACAAGTTCAAAAATTTGAAAGATCATGACCAGCATGTTAAGAAATTGAAAGTAGCTCATTTATTAGTCCTTTGTCCGTTATTAAAATGCTACACTATTTTTCCTTTTGGAAAAACATATTTTGCTGGTTAATAATTTTACCTTAAAATGAAATATATGAATTAAGAGTATTATCTTAATTGTTTTTGTTGAGGTTTTAAGAGATGTTTAATTTGTGCTCTTACAAAACTCACGAAGTTCCTAGCAAAGGAGCAAACTCTGTTTTATAAATTGGATAACTTTATTTCATTTGGAAATAAATCATAAAACTCTATTTTTATATGTTAACATAATATTGCGGTTTCTACACTAATATTTATTCATAAAAATTAAACGAAGAAGAGGTTTCTTTGGGCACAGAATGATAATGGGCAAGTAAACAAAATAGTATTTTCATGTTTCTTTGTTCGCTAGATATCACAAAACATACATCATGTAGCCGTGAAAATTTCTTCTTAAGAATATTAATGAAAATGCTTATTTTCTCAGTTGTAATATTTCCTTTCGGTTCATAAGTCTAAACGATTTCTTTACAAAATGTTAATTTTTCTTATAAAACATTTAATCTGATTCCGATAAAGAACGAATAACTAATCTAGGACTACAACTTATCTAATCTAATGCCTACATGAGTACAATAACTGTTCAAATGCAGTTCAATAATGGTTTGTTTCTTATATATTTACATAACCAAATGACTTAAAGTATTTTCGTTATAGAAAATGTTTATGAATAAACTGTGAATAAGAAAAATTACACTCTTACTTTTTTAAAAGACTGATATATTTCAAATTGATGCTTATGTTATCTGCGATGTTGACCTAATTTTGTTACATGTATTTTTGGCTTAGTTTCAATTTAATTAACATTTATAAAGCACAAAGCTTAACAAAAATTTTCGATTTTTTTTGTGTGTGCAGAAATGATGTAAATTAGTACAAGTAAAGTCGCTTTCTCCTTCTTGAAAGTAGCCATAGCAAAAAGTTTTAACAAAGAAAATCACTAATTATATTGATGAATTACACATTTCTATTCGAATATTTATTTAATTTAAAACTTGCTGTTCTGTATTTTCGTCATTTACGTCTTACTTCTTGTTCTTTTTTTTTGAAAGAAAAAAAATAATGTTAAAATGAAATTAAGGTTGAAATGCTTTTAGTACATTTCCCTTTATATATTTTAAACAGAATTTATAGTTATTTTAATAAGAAAATAGTTTAAAATAAGAATTATAGTTTAAAATAAATATTATTAATAAATTAAATTAAATAAGTTGTAAATAAACACATATTAAAAATTTAATTAGAATTAGAAATGGAATGCAGAAATATAAAATGAAATAAGTGATGAGTCATACAGACAATGAACTTAACAAAAATATTTTACTTCGTAAGTGGTTCAAATGCTTCGTTTTTTTTATATATTTTATAAATTTTAATATTGCCAAATCATTTAATCACATTTATCTAAAATCTTCCATTTCAGAAATTTTTTTAAAAAAAATCTTTATGAAAACTTATGAAAAGAAATGCTATAAAATAATTATCTAGATACAAAATGTTTTTTAATCTTTGTGTATTGTGTTCTAAAAAAACAACAACCAAAGACTTAAAAACTTTAAACCAGTATAAAAAGGAAAAAGAAAAGAATGTTTTATTGCCAAATTACTCAACTTGATATTCATAGTTAAGTATACTATTTTTTATTCAAAGCACAATAAAGCCTCATTTGTTTTATAATTGTCTAATGTTTTATGGCTTTTACAACAATATCTGAAACTTATTAATTTTTGGAGATGCATTTGAATAATTAAGAATAACACTAGGGAAATTTTTTTTTGTTTGTTTTCTGTTGATACTTTCGTTTCTCTGTTCAAGCTAAAGTTTTTTTAAAATTTTTTTATGGAATTTTTTGCCGAAATGTACAAATTTAATAACCTCATAAATAGCAAGGGATTAAATAAATGTTACGACGAATTTCAAGCGAAGTTAGGGTACGTTATCAGGTTCAAAATTGCATAAGAAAACATGCCCGGAAATGTCGTCATACGCAGCTAAAGGTACTCCAACCACTATGAACTGTTTCTTCGTGTGCGTCTCAACAGATACAGGAACAGGTTCTGAACAAGTTCCTAAGCAGTTTCAATTCTGATGACTTTAACTCTCCTAAGTTTGTTGCAACATTTACGTAATCCCCTGTTATATATAGATTATTTAAAATTTGTGCATTTCGACAAAAAATAGACTAAAAATGTTCTTTTAAAAAATTCTGTAGCTTTAGAGCAAAACTAATTTTTAATTTAAAATCCCCTCACTCGAATCAGGCAAGATCAAGTATTGGTATACAGGCAACAAAAAAATTTGTTCCCCAGAGTAATTATTAATTAAGATACTTATATTTTTATTTCATTATTATAATAAATTAATCATAATACAAATATGATACAGCATGATACAGATGTAAATACATAGCAATTTAACAAAAGATGCAATTTTTTTCTTATCTATAATTAATATTCTGGGAAAAAGCAGGGATAAAAATTTTTAAACTTTTCAATGATTCTGGAATTCAGTATTTTATATTTTTACGAAAAGTAACGAGATGTAAGACTATCCGAATATTAAAGTCAAGTTTTCTATAATAAACATTATTTTTTTAAATAAAATTTCCGGCAGTTTTTGATTTTTCTGTTTACAAAAATTTAAATTTTTGACTTTATTGTTTACAAAAAGTAAAATTTTTGACTTGTTTACAAAAATTACAAATTTTGACTTTATTGCTTACAAAAATTACAATTTTTGACTTTATTGTTTACCGTAGTGTATGGCAATGACATTTCAGTTAAAAAGAAAACTATAATTCTGGTTGATAAAGCAAAATATACAATATGTAAACTATTCACTTGGCAATTTTCCCGTTTATTTGGTAACGGTTTACCGGAAATACTGGTTTTCAAAATTATAACTCTTATTACCACACAATTTAATAAAAAATACATGACTGAAATCGAGTAAATGGTTTTTATGTCATTCCCTGAGCTATCACGATGAAATTACCAAATTTTACAGCATTTACCAAACTTCATCACAAATTAGAAAACCATATTTTATTTTTAATTTTACCAAAATCATCACCAAAAAGCTACAGTGAAAATTGTTAAGCTTTTTGCTGTTCCCATAGAGTCAGAAACATAGTAAATTTGATCATATTCTGTTTGTTTTGACAATATTTTTTTCTCAGCGCGATGTTTTTAATTTACGTAATTTAAAAACTAAACAATTATCAAGGACTATATTTTTTTTTCATATAATACTTATAATCAAACCAAAGTTGTATTATCTTGTCATTATAAAAAAATTAATATCTTTGTGTTGAAATAAATTAAACAGTAGCTAACGTAAAATACAGAAATAAAATTACTGTAAACAAGCATCATCATCGAAGCGTAAATAAAGAATGGAAATAAAAAACTTCAGTTGCTATCTAGAAATTGATATTTTTTTATAGAATGTTTTAGTTAGAAAGTTATTATCTTTAGAATTAAAATTAATTAACTAAATTAATTTATTCACGTTAGTTAGGATTCTAGTTAGGATACGTCTGATAACAAATAATTTGATTGCACAGTAAAATAAGAGGCATTGTAGGAGTTGCATAGGTTGGCGAGCAATAGTCAGTAAGTGCTACATTCTAACAAATTCTGGTACTGGCACCCTGAGTTTAGCATCCCAAAAATCCATTTAACCGCAAAATTTTATACCGGGCCGTGGTTGCTCAAGGGATAAAGCGATCACCTTTCAATGAGGTAACCCGGGTTGAAATTCCAGTGATGGCTAGTTGATGCGAGTTCCACACTTGGCTCCCAGCAACCACATTGCTGACGTAAAATATCCTTAGTGGTAGACGGATCATGGGTTAGAGTCCCCTTGACGTCAGGCTAATTGCGGGAGGTTTTCGTGGTTTTCCTCTCCAAGTGAAGCAAATGCGGGTAGTACCCTCTAAAAGTCCCCCACGGAGGCAAATTTTCTCCAATCTTTTCCAGTCTTTTGGATTGAGTTCAAAATTACTTGGCTACGAAGTTGAACATTGGTAGTCGTAAACTCCACATTCCGTCGACTCTTCAAAGCCGGCTATAAAATAAAATCAAATTTTATATCGTAACTTTTACAGTAATATTTTTTTACTTGAAGTGATTTAGTAATTATTGCTGTAAAAATCTCGAAATAACATATTTTTTGTTCGGTGAAATGAATTTTACGGTAAAAAGTACCGACACTCAGAGAGTCAGTGCTTTGTACCGTAATTTTGATCGAAATTTTTTACAGTGTCGCCACTATATTTAAAATTAGAAATAAAACCCGGGATATTATTAAATAAGTCTAAGGTGGAGTGATATGAAAAGAATTCAGACGTTTCTGATTACATAATATGTGGAAATAACTACATATATTAATATAATTACATGTATAGGAATAAAAAAAGTTGATAAAGCAAAAGCATTTTCATTAAAAAAAAACAACAACAAAAACTTATAAATTAGAAGAGTTTTTTTTATTAATAAAGTGTTAACATCGGATTAGGATTTTGCATTTTTTCTACAAAAAAGAAAAAAGGAATAAAAAAGAACTGATATCATTTACCTACATTGATAAGAATTTTTGTTGTGCCATTGATATATCATTCAGCTTTATTTCTTAAATTAAATTTTACGTGTCTGAAAATGTGCCACACAATGAAGTTATGATATCAAATTTGTTGTTATTAAATCTTATCTACTTTTATCAGTAATAATCGACCCTTTATTGTATGTGATGTGCGATACTTACAGTAAGGTGTTTTTTTGAAAAGAGTGAAGAGAGGAACTTATTCCCGAAATCGGAGATTTTGATTATGCTAACACAATCAGTTATCGACAAATTTGAGACTACTGTCTCAAAGATCATATAATCCAAGTAAATGAAACTTTGAAATTGCAGTCTAAGAAAATTTAAAGTGGGATAAAATATTAAAGTGAGCAAATTTTTTTTATTTATTCCAGTGTCTAGACAAAAAATATATTTTTTCACATTTTAGCTGTACCAGACGTAAACTATAAGCTCGAGTATTTGAAATTTTGAATTTTTACAATATTGATAAGTTTTTTAAAAATTTAATTTTCAGCGTTTTTTGCAGTTTGTTTACTTAAGATATTTTGTTGTTTATTTTTAATTTTAGCTTCTTTTTTTTTAAGGCATTGGGTTAAAAATTTTGTTGTCAGCATTATTTTTCATCAGGAAAAGTAACAATGATAAAATAAAACGTGTTTTCTTATTTTACATTAGGCTAAAGGCTTCTTCGAAAGTTGCCAATTTTGCTTTTTACTTATTTTACCAATTTAAATGTTATAATTACTTGATACACTCTGTATTTTGCAATATCTATAGTAAAATTACTTTAAAATATTTTAATTAACTGTCCCCTTTAGACACAAATATATAAAAAGTTCAAAATGTAGAGAAAACATGGAAAAAATTACGGAATATATCTATATCTATCTATCTGTCTATCTATTACATTATATTATATATTTTATTTTATATTACATTTTATATTATATTGCTATTATATTATATCACTTATATTATATTATGCAACTTTTATATTGTATTACTTTTATATTATATAATAGCGAAATTTTTACATTAACTTTTTTATCTTTATAAAAATTAATGAGTTTTGCACTTTGATTTTTTGATTTCAAATTCAAATTTGTATGAATTTATTCCTTTTTAATATTTATATGTTGTTTTCTTAAAAAGATTTTTAAAACAAATCAAATTTAATCAGAGATTGTACTTCTTTAAAAAAACACTTTTTTAGAAACCATCTAAAACTTTGTTTTACGAAGAAGTTAGAATTATAATTTGAGCCATTAAAGATTTTTTTTCACGTTGAACTGTAATCATTATCATAATAATGTCAGAAATACTTATTAACTTTGAATAACTAATCTTAAAAGCAAATGAAGATTTGTTTTTAGGTTAATTTTTGTTTTGTTAAAAATTTTATCTGAGTTTTTTTATTTTATATTTTTAGCTCTTAAGCAACTGATTTCATTCCATGACCGCTTAAAACGAGTATTATTTTTCACCTTTCCTCTCTTTACTTAAGATAAAGAAAGTTCAATGAAATTAACTTAACGTTTCTGAGAAAAATAATTAAGATAGAAATGCAAAAGAACTTATAACTACCAGTTTGAAAGTTAAAATAAAAAAAAATATTTAAAATACAAGCACGTGATTAATTGTGAAAATTCTTGTCTATTCCAAGGATAAAAGCTTTTTTAAACAGTATTTAAAGGTAAATGAAATTTTACTCTATCTAAGTTGGGTTTTCTTTGTTACTTTTTTATTAATAAAAAGTTTACATTAAATTTAAATGGAAAGATTAGATTTGAAGTAAAAATAATAGAACCCAAGAAAAATTGGTACCATAAAAAATTTCATTTTAAAACCTACTGACATATCTGACAAGTTGATAAAATTAATGTCTTTAGTATTTTCAAGTTAAGTGCACAATCTGACAGTTCCTTTAATGATTCTCAAGACAAGAAATAATTAATAATTGAGTAACAATCAGAAAAAGAAATGTTTGAATGCATATTATAGAGGTATTTTGCTAAAGTTTACTTTTGTGTCAAAAATTATTTACAAATTAGGTTATTTATCGAGCAGTAAATAATGAAGAAGTTTCTAAAAGATTATTTTAATGTATTTTAATGAAAGATGTTATTATTTTAAAACATCTAAAATTTCAAAATAATAATAATAATTGATAAAAATGGCAGGACTAAATTGTGAACACTAATTTTCTCTAGACATAAAATACATTTTCGAAAACTTAATATAAATTTTGAAATTCTAGCTTCATCAACTCATAAGTTTCATCGAAAGGCAATATTTTTGAAAACTTTTCAAGCAATATACATTTTTAAACCACAGATTTTATTACAAAAAGTATATTTGAATTCATTTAAAAATTACTACAAAAGAAAATAATAAATAATATTATTTCGTGCTTAATAAAAACAATACTTATAATTTGCTGAATAATTATTGTATGCCATTTCATTATAAAATTACAATTTTACTGGAATATAGGTATTAAAGTTGACTATAACAAAATTGATTTCTAATTGTTAGTTACATTTTAAGTTATGAGTTTTGTATGTTGATATATTGTTTATACACGTATGCGTGTAAATAATCATATTGTTAAATACTTTATTTTATTTCATAATTTACAAGATTTAGACCTTGGATATCAAATGTCAGGCTTGGAACTCGTTGCTCGAGACAGCAAGTCTGAAATAGAAAATAATGCTGAAGCTGCCAAAATCTACTTTCACGAAGTCTACTGCAGAGACGACGATGAAAGGAATTGGTCTTTCTCTTATCTCAGGGTTAGTAAAAAGAATTTGATGTTTTAACAACATCCTTCCACTAAATGTATCTTTTCTCATTAACTTTATGAGTTTAAAATATGATGGTTTTCTTGGATTTGTGGTAAACACTGAATAAAGCAAACATAGCTAATGAAATTTTTTTAATTTATAGCCAAATTTTAATACTCTAAAATTATTAGTTTACTTTTTTATTAAGTTTTTAACAACCGTTCACATTTGATTTATCTATTTTTTCTTCTTCAAATCATAGGATAAATATCAGATTAATTACTCTTATTTTAAAATCTGTTGTACAAATGAGGTATAAAAATGAGTAGAAACATATTTGCTTTGAGAAAAAATTTATTTATGAAAAATGGAAACTTGGAAAACATTTCGTTAGAAATTAGAAATTTAAAAAAAATAAATAAATAAATAAATAAATTCTTCTTGAATTATTCGTCTTTTTTGTTCATTTCTTTCTATAGTACGTAAGAGAGCAAAATAAATTTTTTTATATTAAGTTATAAACGACACAGAATGTATGCATGGAAGAAGTCTAATCGATGTTCGCCATGATAATTTAATTAAAAAAATTCTCATTTCAGAAAGAAATAACTTTAAATGTATGAGTTGGGTCGGAGTGTTATAACCATTTTAATTCGATTGAATTAAATTGGTTCAAATCCTAGGTATGGCAGATTGGATCTTATATTGATCTTAAATACTTAATCCAAGATTTAATTTGTCTTCCAAGTTAGATTGAAAATTTAAAATAATTTTAGTGGCACATCCACTTTTTGAATCGAATGTTTAAAGTCGGTAATAAAAACAAAGGAACCACGGTAAGCCAAAGCGTCGAAAGTTACTTTTTTGTAATGCTCCACTTAATAAGTAGATGTATAACTATTTTAATTATATTTTTATTGTTGTTAACTTGAAATTTTTTTTACCTCGATAATAGTTTATGTTTGAGAGAAACTACTAATTTACTAGAATTTATCCATGACCTTTCTGAAAAAAGGCCAAGAGCTTCAGGCTGTTCCCTAAATACGCCTCTGACCTTTCTGGATTTGCAATTAGAACGGTTTTAAAATGCTGTTTAAAGCTTTTGATCCTTTCATTTATTTCATAATTGCAATAAAAATAACTTAATTCTGTGTGATATACTTTTTTAAATCTGCATTAATTTGTTGTTAGTTAAATTACAAAAGTAGTTTCCAAATTTACTACAGAAAATTTTCAAACATTTTCTGCTTCTTTTTTTTTCTTCTAAAAAAAGTATTTTTAGATCAAACAAAGACTGCAGGAATTTAAGACATTAATTAATTTTATTAATGCTTTTGATTGGTTTGATAAAGTTTTATTGACTAGAGCATAGTGTAATTTGTGCCGAATTACAATTTACTTAGCTCCAAAATGGTACGTGTTTTCAATGTATTCAGTTTCATTACTGAGTTAGAGTTAGCATATTATGTATTATCAGCTTCTATTCTTTCATACACAAAACAATGACTGTTACTTTCACTTTATTTTAAAAAAATATATAATAGCATATCTGTTTTTTGAGGAAAAGTAATTCTTGCTCTCATATAATTAACTACACTGCTATTGATTGACCTTTACCCATTATCAAACTAATAAACGTACAGTTAAAATAAATCTATAACAAGTTTTTTTTAAGTAATGCATGCTGCCCCTTCCTTTTAACTGTTTGCCATAATTTTTAGCATATTTAAATATTAGTTCACCCCAGTTTATCTCATTTGTCTATGAACTATTTTTAAATAAAATAATGCACGTTGAGCCCCAATATCATCATAAATAGAATTATTTTTTAAACAAATAATAATCTTGAGAAATGAGTTGTAAATTGTGTTACTCCTAAACCATGATGAATATTGTCTAGTAAAGAATGCTTTTACGTGAAAGAAATAGAGCCAAATTCGTTTTGGAAATTTGCATTTATAGATTCTAATGAAAAAATTGCAAATATATCACCAAATTCTCTCTAAGATATAGATTAAGTATTTGCCATGTTATGTTCAAATTTAGTCTGCTAAATATTATAGAAAACTTGCTTTACATAAAGTTTTCTAAGTTGTTTTCCTTAACAAAATCAACGTTCTTCAACGTATCTTTAATGTATGAGCATTCATTCATCAGTTTAATATTCTGGAAATCACTTACTGAGTTTCCCAAAAATAATCGAAAGTATGAAAAATTGTGTAAAGAAAAACGGGAGGAGATAGAAATGTACGATTTGCTGTGTCTTGCTTAGGAAACTAGAATTTTATTCCCGATAAGTTTCGAATTTCGTTATGAAGTTCGCAAATAAATTGTGCAGTTAACTGAGAAAAACTGCAAAACAAAGTTTTCAAAAGAACAAACATTTGCGGAAACGAAGTGACGATGTTTGAGGACAAAATTAACGGAAATCCATGAAAATATTTAAGTTCGAAGAGTCTGACATGCAGCAGAAGATATAGTAATAAAATGATATTAAAAATCCTGTATAAAGCAGTAAAATACTACAATTCCAAAGGAAAGTTACGGAACACAGAAAAAATTCTATAAGAAAATTGAAACCAATATAAAATTTTGAAGAAGTAAACAATAAAAATAGTGAAAAATATAATAATAACAACTGAAGCTGACGTTGTTAGGGGGTACCAGTCCCGGAAGTCATAAAAATACAAAACCTTTTCTATCGAGAGAGCACGACAAATGTCTAAAATTTGCTCATTCTGTACACCCAAAGGTTTTGCAAAAAAGTTCAGGAAGAGAGAAAAAAAGAATACAAAATACAAAAACTAAAGTAAAATACATAAACTAAATACAAAAGGAAAACGATGTTCAAAAACCGTACTTAAAAATATTCCTTTGTTAAACCAAAGCGCACTACTTTCTAAAATCCTTAACCAAACTGAAATTCACAAACCAACTACGCCCCCATTTTATGAGCAGAAAGAACGCGCAGCAGAAAACACTGTTTTAAAAATTTTTCTGCTCACCAGTGGCATTGGTTGGCGAACCAAAGCCAGAACCAATGCCCCTGGTGAGCAGAAACTGGTGAGTAACTAATTTTAAATCTTTTTGAGACTAAATAACACCCTTTCCTAAGCGGAACGCAGCAAACCGTAATCATCTTTTTCCTTACGTTTTGATTTTTCAGTTCATCGGTCATATTTGGAGGCATCCAATATATAGTAAACAGCAAAATAAATAAATGAAAAATAAAATAAAAAAAGGAAGAAAAAGATAAAAAGCTGTAATTGGCAAATGACACTTGGGATACCACACCTACTGTATTAGTAATTGTGCATAGCTCACACCCGAATGATAAATATTTTATCACCATCAAAACAGCAATAGTTAGGTTTTTCTAGGTTAGAACCAGTTTGCTTAGTTTGTGTTAAAACTGTTCTCACTTATCTTTAAAAAGAATGCAACTATAAAATTTTTTATTAATACTATAGTAATCAATTTTTTATTGTTTTGCGCATTTTTATATTTTAATTAAATTTTCTTTAGAATTAAATTTACTTTAATTTTATTTCTTTCATTACTAATTGTTATTTTTTATTTATTTAGGAGCAACTTTTACTGAAAAATTCCCAAGAGCTGTTTAGAAAATATCAAATGAGAATACAACATGCTTTGTTTGTTGAACTCCTCGTATTCAATTTAGCATACAATGCCTTATCATTTAGTGCTTTCCTTTTTCTGCCACAGGTAATGCAATTATTTTGAAGTCATCACCTCTTAAGAGTATTGCTTTCATTGTTATTTCTACAAAACTTTATAAAGTTTATTCATTAAACGAACCGAAGCATTCGAGTACTTTCAATTTTTAGTACTTTTTCATTTAGAGATGTCTAAGCTGAGGTCACTTTACTTACCTATCCAATCGCAATCCATTAATGATCAATTAGTTACAGATACAACCAATAGGAATACGTTTCTATTGGTATAGGAATATGAATCGTCCAATAAGAATAATGTAAACGGAAGTTGATTGGATGATAGTGGAACACAGATATAGTTCAGCATCTGACTTGAACATCTCTATTTCCAATGGAGGACATGAAAACATGTCCAATAAATCCAATCAAGAGCATCTGATATGATGGGCAATATGAGCACGAACATAATTTTACTCATATTTCTTTTCTTTTTCGTGATTACCTGGAGGTTGTCACAACAACGAGAGTCAGTCTGAAAATGTCACAACATAATTTATCGATGATTTCAATTTAGATTAAGGAAAAACTAAAATTTTTAAAAGGTTTTTAATCTAGTGGTCCGGTTTGAAACTTTTGAGACATATTTCTACACAACTCGATAAAAACTGTTGAATAATGTTTATTACCATGTTGCAGCCACTGTTCCATCTACTATCTAAAAAATAGGGCCTTGCTAATTTAGGCAAGATGACAAAGAGAAATTTTAACCCCACAAACAATACAATTTTATTAATTTATCATTATTTGTTTTTTGCTTTATCTTAGGAAATATTGTGTTATATCAAACTGACTTAGTCTAAAATTATAAAAATTATTTGCGTAAAGATAATTTCAGAAGTAATAATTTTTTTTAAAATTATGTATTATTTTTTATTTTTAACTCATTAATGAGCGAGAAAATCTATAAAATAAAATCGGGATGATTTTTGGTCCAATTTTTAGTATTTTTAGACTTAATAGGCACCACTATACTTTAGAATATCAGGAACAAGTATTTATTTACTCAATGTAATTTTTTTTTTGTTTTTGATAAAAATTTAGAGTTATGGAAGAATAATCAATGCATTGACAGGCATTTTAAGATCAATTATGAAGAAAACGTTTTAAGTTTAATGTTATATTTTGTACAAAATTCGTATAAAAAAATTGGATTTATCGTATGATTGTTTACCTTTATTGTTTCAATAACTGAGTTTAACTTCAGTTAACCATATGTATCACTAAACAAATCATGATAGTGGCTTTAGTGACTTTAGTTTTTTATTCATTTTGTGAGAAGATGAAATGAAAATTGTTGACATTATTTAAAACATTATTATATTTGACTTTCCTTTCATTTGTGACAAAATTACAAATTAAACTTAAAAATTACTTTTATTAATTAAACATTTTTACTTAATTACGTTAAAATAATTTGCATATTAACAGTTGGATTCACTATCTGAGGTTTCTATTGGCGCTGTAAAGACTGGACGATGGTGCAGAAGTCTTAATTTCTTTCTGAATCTTGTCATTTTCATAGCAGCTTACTGTAAAGAAAACTTGTTTAAAAGTCCTTACACAAAAATTACAGTAGCCGGCGTTGTCTTGGGAAGCATGGTCACAGGAGAAATGGCAACAACAATTTACAGGTAATTATTGGTTTAAGTCAATAAAGATTAAGTTCTTCTAAGAATAAAAAGTTTGTAGTTTTTGCAAGAAATGCCTTAAAAAAACAGGATACCAGCTGGGCACAACGTTAAAATCACTAACAATTTATGGAATTTATTTATTAGAAAACTGGACGCTTTTCGGTGTGTGTAACAAGGTGCAACTTCCTTTGCAGGAAAACGTGACTGGTAAAAACAGGAACAATGTTTTTTCTACAGATGAGGATGCATCTTGTTTGAAACGCGGCTAGTTTTTGATTAATAAATTATTTTTTATTTTAACGATATAGTATTATTTAATAATTAGCGACTGATATTTTTTGCAACGTTCATTGTTATTTCATGCATTACGCACTTACTTCAACATTAACTAGTTGAAACATATTATTCCTTAAATTTGATTCCACGATATTTTTAGTTTAACTTGAACGGAAACACAAACGGAACGAATTAAACAATTTATTAAGTTTGCAACTTATTAGTAGTATTGCGGTTCACGGTACGTATATTATGGTTAAACGAAGAACCAATTTCTCTGAGAGTGTAAAAAAAGTGAAAATTGTAAATTAGAAAATGTTTTTGAAAATCCTTCCTATATGGGCGAGTTCTTTCTCTATGAAGTTACACTGAGAAAAAAAAGTATGAAGTATGGTCAAAACTACCAAAATCACGGATTGAAATTTACCATGTTTCAGGCTCTATGGGGCAACAAAAAACGCTTTGGTAATGATTTTTGTAAAATTAACAATAAAATAGGATTTTATATTAAGTGACAAAATTTGGTAAATGTGGTTAAACTTGGTAGTTTCTCATGGTACCTCAGAGCATGCCATAAAAACCTTTTAGACGGTTAAATTCACTTTTCAATTTGTATTTTGATAACTACCATATTAAACGAAAAAATTACAAAATCAATGGTTTAAATACCACATATTTTGGTTTTTAATTCAAGAAATTTTTTTTACTAGAAACTTCCTTATCATACAGTACGGTATTATACCAGAATTTTTCTCTCACCGTTATAATAATAAATTTTTCGAATAATTCTAGATTAATATTAATTAGATTAATTAATATTAATTGTGAATTTGTTGCAACCCTTTTTAAAGTGTTCAAAAAATATTGTTTCGTTTGAGTTGGTATAGTTGTGTAATCAAGCTTCAAAAATACGATAATTCCGTTCAACTTTGCACCATAATAAGGTTGCACAATTTTGAAATAATATTACAGTTTAACACGCCCTAAAGTTTATTTCTAACAGCGTAATATTTGAACTACTAAATTACTTTGAGTTTAGTTGAAAGTTTTTCTTACTTAGCACTTAAAATACTATAAATAAATTTATATAATTGTTTTTGTGCAACAAAAGATATATTCTATAGAGAACTTTCTTAAACAATCATACTTTAATATAAAACTAAAAGGCCATTATATTTCAATTCAATTATATGTCTCATCATGGTTCAACGATATCTAAATATTTTAGGTGTAATTTGATTTTTTCCATTCACTCAAAACAAACTCATAAAAGTGAATGAAAGTTGCAGCTGCTCCTATTTCAGCTATTTTAGCTAAACTTAATCATTTTCCGTGGAACCGTAACTAAATAATATTTATATAAAAATTATATATTTACTTATTTATTAGTTGAATTTCCGGTCTTCTTCGCTGATCGCAAATAAACATAAATCGGTTTTATAAGATTTTACGCAGTCATGAACAAATATGAAAGGCATGTACTGTACATTTTAAATATTTAAAATTATTTCCTTTTTTATTATTATTTGTGACTCTTCTGGGAAACTTTGATTCATTAAACTAAGCAAAAATGTTTTTGTAATTTCAACGCCTGAAAAGTAAGATTAACTAAATTGAATTAATTTAAATGATTAATTATAGACTCGGAAGATTAAGGAACTGAAAATCATGGCCAACACATGATGATAGTCAAGGTTTAGCCCAATCAAACAATTTTTCTGACGAATCATCACTTTAGTATGTAACTTAATTTTTTTCAAAATTTCAATTGCCGTTGACATTACAAGATTTAGATATATAGAAACTAGTCTCAAAAGCGTAATTATTAACACTGTAAACGTAGTTTCACATATCATTTAAAATACTAATTCGTTTATATTACTTCAAGATGTCATCCCCATGGGGTTTTACTTGCATTCTCCCTAATGTAAGGAACAATAAATAATTATTAAAGACGTGCAATAAACTTAAGTGAAGCTCATTTTTGATGTAAAAAAAATCGTAAACTAGAAAACAACCCTGGTTTTATCTTTTAAATATTTGAAGAGAAAAATTATCAGCAGTGTTAATTGCAACAAAGTGCGATTAGTGCTCAATGCTAATCCTATTAGAAAAATCCGTTTTTCATAAATCTCTCTTTATTGGAAAAATTAATTTTTTAAAATTATTTTTGGGATTGAAGGCTAAAACTGCACCTAACATCTGTTGTCCACATTTCAGGATTTTTGTATAAATGTTTCTGGTGTTACAAGAGGAACACTTAGACAGACTCGCAAGTTATTCCTTTAATTATTATAAATAAAGTTTTTTGTAATACTCTTTTTTAAAAAGAGAGCGGAAAACTTGAAACAGATTTTGTGCACTGTAAAACCACTCCCATTTTTGTCAAGAAAATCCGATATCTGACAGACATTAATTCAGACTCAGTATTAAGAAGTTAATTACTATATTTTTCTTAATACAATGATAGCTTGTTTCTTCACAGATATCTTATATCTTATATCAAATATCTTATCTCAAAAGCTCTGAGTACTAAAAAAAGTCATACAATTTTTATTTGTCTAATTTTAAGGCAAACGCCTGAACTGTATCTTCCTATAACCTATACCTGCAAGCTCCCCTTACTTTGAACTTTCAAACGTTCAAAAATTGATATTGCGTTTCCAAGAAAGTTAGCATCAATTTCGAAAGAAAATTGAAAGCAAACACATTAAACAATTGTAAAAATTTGTTAAACTATAAAAATTTCATTCTGATCTCCCCCTTTAGGGCAATTCTACCCTTTAATGACTTTTTATGTTTTTCGAAGAAAAAGGTTTGTACATTAATTTTAATCTCGTTCAAAGAATATATATTTTTTTTTAAGCTAAGGGAATTTTATAATAATCTAAATCACTAAAAAACTAACGAAACTGAATCTGTTTAATAAGATAAAATAATAAGATAATATATAAATAGATTTAATAAGATAAAATATTGCAACAATGTTCTAAGAATTTCTGTCTGACACGTGAGGCCACGCATTTTTGTGATGAAGCATTACTATTTTCATTTATAATTGCTGTCTTTAAATTGTCTGACAGGAAGCGATGATTTTCGTGATAACGTATTTCAGAAAGCTTCCAATCACTCTGCTTTATTTAGACTCGACCAATCGATAATCAGGATAAATTTTCCTGAAAGCCCAATACTTCATCATCTGGTTGGTTTTACAGTTACTTGCTGTTAGAAAAACTTAGAAAAAATGTATCATATGATTGTTGAACATTGTTTTTTTCTCTAAATAAAATAAAATAAATAAAAAAATAAAACAAACATGAAACAAATTGCAAAAAATTAATAGCAGTTATAAGAATTGAAACATCGAGCCCAGCGATTTTGAGATTTAGTTTTACGATGCTGTTAACACTACAAGGATAAACCAAAAATTGTTTCAATATTAAGCATTATTTAAAAAGAACACTCCATAGTGTCAAAATATACAATATTTAAAAAAAGAAACTACCAAATTTATATTACACAAAAAAATTTTGATGTAAAAGTTTGACCATACTTTCTGTATCTAGATTCCAACTCCTTAAATATACACAGTGAAAAAAAATTCCGGTAAAATTATGTTACTGTATGGTAATAACATTCTAGAAAAAAAGTAATAAATAGAAAAGAAACTTAATTCCGATGAATGAAACCGTAATATTTGGTATTTGAGTCATTCATTTTATTATTTTTAAATTCATAAGGTAACTGTCGATCGGAAATTCTGGTTTTCAAAATTATAGTTTTTATTACCATACATTTAGTAAAAAATACAAGACTAAAAAGTAAATTTAACCAAATAAATAGTTTGTATGCCATACTCTAAGGTATCATGATAAAATTATAAAATTTTATAAATATCATATACTACACAACCATACTTTTTTGTAATTTTTTCAAAATCATAACCAAAGCACTTCGGTAAAAATTACCGAGCTTTTTGGTGTTTCCATTGAACTAAAAACGTGGTAAATTTCCCCATACTATAGTAGTTTGGACTAAACTTTTTTTTCGGTGTATACAAAAAATATTCAGGCAAAACCATATAATTTAATGGTATATTGTATTTTTGCTAAGATATTTAAAATTTCAAAACTGCTTTTTAGCATTTCAATTTAAAACAAAAACGTTTTCAGGTGTAATTTTGTACTTATTGGTAGCTTTTAAAGTTATGTATATCCCCTTAATATTTCAGTTTTTTGATATAAATAGTTCTTATTATTATTGCAGGATCACTAAGGGTGAACTAGAACCGACAATGAGACAAACATACTACGTAGTTCTCACAACGTGTGTACTCCTACCATTTCCTAGAAAAACTTATAGTGCAATATCAGGGGCTTCAGTCATAGTTATTGACATCACATTATCAATTTTCAGCTCACTCAATTCTAATAAACTAGTAGTTGTAAGTTTGCTTGATTTTTTATTTTTATTTTGTCGGAATATGCTTTAAATTTAACATGTATTAGGTTAGCGAAAAAGTTTCTATATACCACCTGCGCCTTGCTAATAGATATAGAAATAACTTTTTTATTTATACTCTGTAGTTCAAATAACAAGTATAGTAATAAAAAATATATTAATTTCTTGAAAGAAACTAATAATAAAAGCTTAAATCAAAAACATTTAATAACGCTTTTAAATTTTTTCGTGAAATGTAAAAAAACTAAGATAGAATATTGTAGAAAAAAAAATGCAAGTGTAATTGCGAATAAAAAGTGTGAAAAAAAACTGCAAATGCAAAAAAAGCATTAAAAGGAGATTAAATTAAGTACATATTTTCAAAAATTTATATTAGAAGCATGTTTATTTAGCATCAAGTTAACTAAAATATTTTCTCGTCAATAAATGCGTCATTAAATCATTATTTCAGTTGTGCAGTTAATCTTATTGAAGAAGATGCTACTATACAAATTTTTGTGTTCTGGTTTACTCAAAACAGGCACATATTATCAAGACTCACCAATACGTGAATGATGAAAACAAAACAGATTCATCTGTTTCATGATTAGTCTCATAAAAACAAAATAATCTATTTTATTTTTATCATTCATACGTTGATGAGTCTTGATAATGTACGCCTGTTTCGTGCTCTCGAAACATGTCGAATTTTTCCCCTATAATTTTTTACGTTCATTAAGTTTTTTCATTGACAATTCGTTTCAGTTTCTTGGAACTATTCATTTTAAAATATTGTATGACCAATTACGTTTTCATCCTCAAAACGAATTGTCAATAAACTATTTTCTAAGGATGATCACGAGTGTTTATTAAAGGAAAAGCGTCGTTAAAGAGCGAATAGGTTGGACTAAAAACATATTGCTAATTCGATTCTATAACAAGCGTCATCCTCACTGGCAAGACGGAAAATCTTTTGTTTTTGTGGATTGTGTGTTTTGGTGTGTATGATATAATAAATTATCTCGATTCTATTGAAATAATTGAAGTTTCTTTATCGATTCTGTTTTTGTCCATATTTAACAAATTTAACATTCTATAATCATTTTAAAGTAAAATAAACGATATATTTTCCCCCCTAGCTGCTTGCTGATTTAGCTTTCATGACTACGACACTCTTTGTTGGTTTATTCATTAGATACATCATAGAAATCATGAATAGGCGTGCATTTTTAGATAGAAGAGAATGTCTTGAATCGAAGATTAAGATAGAAACTGCAAAAAATCAAGAGGTTGGTATAAAATGGGCTTTTTTATTATCTATTAACGAAATTTTATATTTAAAAAAAATGTAGTCAAATATTGAAATATTTTTTACTTTTACTTCCCATACCAAATTTTGCTTCACCTTAATAAAAACTAATTCTTTTTTGTAGTTTTGAAGTAAATGAAATGAAACTAAGAAAAATTTTCAGAGTTGGAAAATAAAAATAATGGGTTGATACAATAATATTAATCATTTCTCTAACAATTACTGTTAATATTTTATCTAACATTCCAAATTATGCTCTTTATATATTTCAACGATTTTTATCTGTTGAAAAATAAAAGATGCATTTTAAAAATCGAAGTTTATTTTTTAAAATTTAAACCAACTAACAATTTGACAGCTATTAAATTATCACAGATTTCTTTTTAAATAATAGTTAGATTTTCTTCGGTCCAAGTAATTAACGTGAAAAATACATTTTTTACTTTTACTTATATGCATTAATATTTAATCATAGATAAGAATATCCCAATCATAGTTACAGAGAAAACTATCTTACTTTTCTCTTTTTCTATGGACTATCTCTTCATCTTTTACTATGAACTATTTCTTCCTCCTGCTTCCTGAACTTTTTTTGTACTTAAAATTTTCAAGAAATTTTTTTTATCCCGAGATTTAAGTAACAAAGTGAGTAAAGTTGTAACACATAAAAATAAAATTTAAGAATTCAATAATGATTAATTTTCTACAACTATTTTCGCGAATATTTAATGTGTAAAGACATTCATTATTAACACTAAACACTTACATGAATGCTTTGTTAGAATATCAGAGTAAATGCACTTAATGAAAATATGAATTTATCCTTTTCATTTCATCCTTTTCATTTTTATCGTTTTCATTTTTATCCTTTTCATTCTCGAGATATTGCCATTTTGCACGACTTATAAGAGAGAGGGGGACAAGTGTGGGCATTACTTTTTAACAATAATTTGGTCGTTTTCCTGCATTCCGGTTTATATCTGAAATTAAAAAGTTGTTGAATTTTTCCATAATTGTTTTTTTTTAAGATTGTTTTTGTACATATTAGCCCCACTACACGAGGCAAGTATGAGTAAACTTGATAACTTCTTAAATAGTTATTTATTACAACTCAGAAAGGTGAATCTAAAGCCAAATCGAATTTAATTTTAATCTAAGCCTCATTGTAGTATCATATATATTGATGTATAGTTTTTAAAATACTAATAGATAACAGAGCATTTCATTATTCTAGGAAATACATTTTGAACGAAAATAAATATTTTTGACAACTATTATTCAATTTGGTTTATTTGATAAAAATTTTGAATTTTTTTAATGAAAAAAAATTGAAATGTCAACGTGTATGTCAATGTGTATTAAGATGTAATTCTAGTTGTTCTCCTAGTTACTTGTGATGGAAGTTAGGAAAATATTTCTTAACTTGTGATTTGAGAAATGTCTTTTATTCTTCAAAATAACGATAGAATCAATATTATGGAAATTACGTCCATTTTTTCCCTTAAGAATTGGAAATCATAATTTCCAAATCTATAAGCAACTTACACTATACCAACATGATGTACAACATTGTTTTTTCTTTTCTTCTTTTTCGAAAAAAAGGTAACTTGACAAGCACCAAATCATTATCTTGATTTACCTAATCGCAATCCATCTGACTAGCACCAAATCGTTAGCCAGTGTTGTCAAGAAGTTTAAATTTTTTAAAATCCATCTGATTTCATTGCGAATTAAAAAAGAAAAAAAACTAAAATTGATAACTTATTTTTATAAAAAAATCCAATTAAAGCATGTCCACACTTGCCCCACTACTATGTGCTTAAACTATAGCCCTACGAGAGACTTATGTTTGTTTAATGACTATTAATTGAAACTATAGAGTGCAATTGTTAATACTAAAATAGGTTAAAAAAAATCATTTATAAGCAACAGTATCATGCCATAAATATACTGAATAAAGTTGATCTGTATTTTCATAGGATGAACAACTAAAAACGTATTTTTTTAAAAATCTAAACTTAAAGCCATTGGCAAGGACAAAAAGTACTGTAAATAAATAAAGAAAAAAGTTAGTCTTATTTCAGCTTCACGAATTGCATGCATATATTTTTCAGTCTCGTATATTTTTTCGTAGTGTTTGTTTAGTAATGCGTTATTGACAGTTTACTTTTATTTCACCTAGTACGGTTAATGCGTATTCAGCTAGCTCAAACTTCAAATATTAAACCTCTCAGAAAGAACTCTGCTTTTTTTTTGTCTTCTGTAGAGTCGTGAACAAAACCTCTTCCAAATGAACAAAAAGATAACCCAATAATAGAAATGAACTTAATAAACTTAAAAACAGATAAATAAATAATAAACCTGTTAACAAAGTATCGTCTTCGATAAGTGAATATTTTTCAGTTCAAGAACAGCAATTTGAATGTCACAACCATTAATCAATTACAACATTATTTTTTCTCGATATTGACTTTTTATCTGTTATAAATTTTACAAATATTCTGTTTTAAAAACAAGCAAAAATTTAACATGCAATGTATATTTCTAAATGCAACGACTTATACATTATGTTTATTTATTTATTTATCTTTTAGGAATTGTTTTTACAAAGTATTCTTCCAGTGCATATAGCCAGAGAGGTTCGTGAAGATTTAAGGAATATCATAAAAAATGCGAATCAAATACGCATTGTTCACAAACCATTTAACAAGCTCTATGTAGAAAAGCATAAAGGTGTCAGGTGAGAAGCATAAAACATAACTTCATTTTGATTTCTAAAACACATTTCTCTGCCGTCGTATTAAAATTAAATTACAACTATACTCCCCATTTTATTTTTTAGAGAAAATATATGTAATCTATAAGAGAAAATATTTTAGCCATTATAATTAAAAAAAAAAAAAACGTTTTCGCAAGAAAAAGTATTATTTTTTGTTGTTGACTGATGACGTTAATTAATAGGAAATTTAAAGAAAAAAAAGAAATATGCAGACTGTTTCATAAGAAACACCATCAATTTGTAGTTTTAGGTTCTTCATAAATGAAGTGGTGAAATGTACACTTATTAGGGTACGTAAATTAATGATTGAGCAAGGAAAAAAGAAAACACGATCAAAATCTGTCGAATCACTACTAGGGAAAGCGGGACTAAAAATTATTAATGCATGTTTGATGACATTAAAAACAGAAAGGAGATGAAAGGCGGTTATGAGACACACCACGAAATTTTATCATAAAATCAAACTGGTTTTGTTGTTTTTCTTCCATACATCTTCATTAGTGTTTCGTTTGAGTTTGATAATCTTTTTTTGTATAACCTCTAAGAGTCTAAAGAGGTAATTTTGCATAACCTCTTTTTGTCTTAAATTTTATTTTTATACATAATTTTACTTAATTATTGACAATTATATATACAATATATATATATACAAATATATGTATGACAATATATATATACATATATATATNTACTTTCATCTGTATATATATATATATATATGTATATGTATATCTATCTTTTTGGTGCAGACTATAGATAGACTATATATATATTGCTATATATATATTATTCACAAGTAACTATTTATATCTTTGTAAACACATTTTCTTTATTTAGCATTTTGTACGCTGATATAGTGAATTCCATGCTACTTACTGCAAGTCTTAAGGCATCGGATTTGGTTGCAACACTTAATGATCTATTTGGAAGATTTGACAAATTGACAGAGGTAAAAAGTTTAAATCCTAAATCATTCTTTTAAAAAATTAAATAAATTACCAATTCTATTAAAAAAGAATAGTTAATTATTTTAGAATTACATTTCTTTATTAATTAGCACCCTAGATACAAACATTGAGAGACATTACATTTAATAGAATTAAATTTAAGGAATTTTAAATAAGAAAAAAAAACCTTATAAAGGCGTTCTTCTTAAAACACAGCTAACTCATTGTCTTTATTAAATTAATTTCTTGATATTGATTTAACTGAATTATTTGAAGCTATGTTTAGAAAAATATTTGATGTAAATATAATGTTAATTTTGTAAATTAAGTTGAAAATATAAACTTTTTGAATGCTGATTTGTTTATAAATTAAACGAATTTATAATTTTTATTATTTTCTTTTACAGAAAAATAATTGCATGAGAATAAAATTTCTCGGAGATTGTTACTATCTAGTAAGCGGTTTTCCAGAAAAAACTTCCAAGCATGCAGATAATTGTGTTTTGACTGGACTTGAAATGATTGAGACCATTAGGCAAGTCTTTCCTACAGAAAGAGTGTTCCGTAATCATCGTCCTTAACATATAATTTTAAAATCCTAGTCAAAAATTACAGAAAAAATATAAGCATTAGAGGTCACGAATCCTTCGTCAAGGAAAAAAAATCGCATTAGAAACGTATCGAATCTTTATTATATGTCAAATGCAATTAGTTAATTTTTATGAAAAATGGATTAAAAAGATCAAAGCAGGATGACCGTGTGGCCGAGTGGTTAGCTTGGTTGGCTGCGAAACCATTGGTTGCAGGTTCGGATCCCGCTCGGGGCATGGATGTTTTCTCTGTCGTGTGAATGAGTCCCACTCTTTGAACTGGTTTCTATCGTGTGGCTAATATTGCCCGCCTCCGTGACTAAAGCAATGTTAAGCTAGCAATATTTCCGGCATGTTTTGAGGCAAAGAACGAGAGTTCAGTACATGCCATTAAAAAAAAAAAAAAAAACATCAAAGCAGTATAGTTATCGGATAAAAGTGGAAAGAATTTCCAATGATTCTTTTTTTCCCCACAACTTTTTAGTTAATGTCCAGGAATAAGCTTAATTTTTATTTTTGAATCCTGTTTTTATCATATTTTTTCACTCTTTTTCCCCCTCTTAAATATTTACTTGCAAAACGTAATCCGTGTATAGTTAATTACTTCATTTTTGAAAAGGATTCTGAAAATATACTTAAAGGCCTATGATTATTGAATGATTCGTAGAATAATAATTATTTCAAAGTGTGAAAATCTTTCATGATTTTCCCTTTAGATAATAAACGTTTGAAAATACTTTGATAGTAAAAAACAATTTGTGCTTTGAAATTCAGTGAAAAATCCTGAAATATTAATAAGTATATTATTATTAATATTTTTTTATCGTGTCCATGGACAATTAAATGGCCTCGTGTGCCTTCAAAGCAGCATCCGCAAGCTCCAATGCATCATTATTGTAAAGGATCTCACGAAGTAATATTAATATTAAAAATTATATATATAGTCCCTCTTCCTATGTAACATTAATATATTCCCTTTACATAAATTCATTTGTTATTTTGTATTAATATTAAAAATAACAAATGAATTTATGTAAAGGGAATCATTAAAGTTGAATAATTCTTATTTATGGGGATTGTAAAGAGTAATAACAAAAGCATTTATGTTATTATAATAACAAAACATACAAACTTGGAATGCATTTATTTCATGCCCATAGCAAAATATTTTATATTGGATTTCAGAAGAAGAAAGCTCTGAACAAGAGGAATCAAACATTTCTGTAAACGCTGTTATAGCTCCTTAAAGGAAGCTTTGCTTGGTTTTTAATGTCAAAAACCATATTAGAAAAGGAAAATTATGTCAAATTAAGAACATAATTTAAATCTTAAACTGCAAAAGTGATTCTTTAATTCTAAAAAGACGCATCAACTTTGATTTATGTACGTAAAGGAAAATTTTATTTGTTAAAAAGCTGCAATACAGAAATTTGCATGAAAAAAACCCCAACTGAATACATAAAAACTGTTTTATTAAGTTATTTATTAAATAACATCCTTTATTTAATATATATTTTGTATAAATGAGCTTTTAAATCTTAATTTATTATTTTTTTAACGAAAGTACAATAATTGTTTTTAGTTTTTTTATAATTTATAATGTGAATTGAGTTGTTTTTAGAAAATTCTCTTAATTTTCTGTTGCCAGATGTAGAAAAAAAAACATCCAAAAATAAAATTTTCGGGAGCCCAATAGCAGCTAAGATTATAATGTACTCCATATTATAATTGTATATGAAAAAAAAATCAATTGGTTAAAATTTTAATAGGACTATAGAAATTGTTACTACACAAAAAGGAAGATTTTTTAAAAGTGAAATATTAAGTTGACAGAAAATGTAGCATTCATAAAAATATTATAAGTTTTAAACTTAACGATTTATTATTTTTTTTAACAGACCCAAGAAGAAATAACTGAATGCAAGTTAAAGTAAAAATGTATTGGATCAAAATCCAATGGATATTATTTACAGATTAATTTTTACAATTAATTTCCTTACCTTATTAATTTATTTCAAAATTATTTAATTTTAATATTTTTGTTTCAGATTTATTCTTATAATTTTTTTACGAATTCATCCTTTTTTTTCAATTAGTTTTTCGGGTCAAATTGTTCTTATTATCAAATTTCTTACAAATTCCTTTCAGTAAATTTATATTTAAAATTATTTCTTCTTTTATTTAAAGATTAAACGTATCTTTTTATTCTCTTGTTTTTATAGGAGGGTTCGTGAAAGAAGGAATGTTAATGTGGATATGCGCATAGGTGTACATAGTGGTAATATTTTAGGAGGATTGCTTGGACTAAGAAAATGGCAGTTCGACATATGGTCAAAAGACGTTACGATTGCTAGTCACATGGAGCAAGGCGGGGTGCCAGGGTACGTATGAGATTTTAGGCAAGTAAATAAAGTTAATTCCAAAATTCAAGTGTTATTTCTATTGGTTTATATCACTTAAGAAATAAGGTAAAAATTAATTGTTGCAGACTTTCTGTTACCTTACGCTTGACAGTTTGTACTAAAAACTGTAGAGTTTGAAAAATCAATTTTACAGTTACTATTGGAAAATTAATGTATTTTATGAAATTAACATGTTTTAATAGATTTATGTTGCTAAATAGGCATAAAAGACAAATTACTGTTACCCAGAAACTTACATGTGGAATTTTTTTTCTTCAAAGAGCTTAACAATTCATGGCTACTGCTTACATAGCATTGCACTCAGATAAAGATTCTTTTATTTAGTTTCGTTAATTTTTTACCAAAGAGTTTTGATGAGTGATTATGAAATGAACTAATCATATTATTGCAATAAAAAAAGATGCATTTTCAATTATCTTCTGTTGTAATATTATAACAATATTTGATTATGCGTAAAATAATAATTACTTTTATGTCCTTCAAGTATTTTAAACTACTATTTACTTTCCTATAGTTACTTTATATACTACAGTTTCTTTTATTTATTTATATTTTTTTTAAACTTCTTTTCTTTTCAAATTTCATTTTGAAAGTAGCCTGAATTAGAAATTATAACATTATTGTTAGTCAAAATAATTTATTTTCAAAAATTTTGTTTCCTTGTATAAAAATAATTTATATTATTATTTTTAATCTAAAATTATTAGTAGTATAAGATACTTACCATTCGAAACATTTCAAAAATATTTTTAAATTTTAATAAATACATGCGTCGAATTAACAATAATTAAAATTTCTTCACAGTGTTCTTCTTTCCTAGCCAGGTCCATATCACGAGGAGCACAAAAGAGCAATTAATTGATACTGATTACGATATTGTTCCAGGAGAAGGTTATTTACGTGACAGTTATTTACAAGAGGAAGAAATCGAAACATTTTTAATACGTCCCTCTCGTCCATTGAAGGTACTATAATCACGCTGTTTCAAATTATGTAATGTACGCTTATATCTTAATTAACAATACCGAAAGTGAAAATATATTAAGTAGAATTCATATCTTAAAGAAATAATATAGTAATATAAAATATAATTAAATATGTTGTCAGTTTTTTTTTAGTCAATAAGTTTTTTGACTTTTTGTTTTTGTTTATCTTAAGAATATATCTATTTTATGCAACTGGTTCAGTTTTTGAAGTTATAAATAATGGAGCAGAATATCTGTTCGTAATTTTTCCCACTTGTGTGGGAAAACTATTCAATATGTCTTGCATATTAGGTACATGTACTGCGTTTTTTGAGGAAACGTGTGCAAAATTTCAAGGCTAGATTAATTATTAAATAAATTAATTTTAGTTATAAATGCGCAAAGCTTACCAAAAATTATGCAGTTCCGATTTTTTTTCTTTTAGAAATTATTTCTACTAAAGATTTTTAACTAGCAAAGAATTTTTTAGCACTAACATTGAGAAAAAAAAAGTAAAAATCGAAAGCCCCTTCATTTGCGGCCAGTTTTTGCACATTTATAATCCCATGTGAAAAACCTGATACATTTATTCATTAAATTAAATCCTATCCTAATGTTTTTGTGATTTGAGTTTTCCGCAATAGCGGGAAGAACAATTGTTAATTAAAAATAATCTGTAATAAAGGATAAAAATTATTCAAGTATTAGGAGTTCAAATAAACTAAGGTTAAACCATGAAACTTAAAATGATGAAAGAAAAAAAAAAGATAGCAAGAATCAAACAGATTATGTCAGGAGAACTTGGGAATATGCAATGGAAAAGTAATCCTGCAAAAATTTGGCTGCATTTTGATATTTTGAAAACATTTTTTCAGCATTTGAAACTTCATGGTTTACTTTAGAATTACCTGAGCTTGCTTTTTCCACAACTTTAAATTCTAAAATACCCATGGAAGTGAAACAGAATTTCCTGTGAAAAGAATTTTACGCGGTATAGCGCTCTCTTACTTAATAAGTAAGGCATTACCTTATTAAGAGATGAAACTTTCCTGCAGTACAGTTATCCTTCGCAAGTGAAGCACGAAGGGAAAGCTTTTGATACTTATTTTTCTTATCCTCCGGAGCAAATTTCACCTACTATGATTTTATTTCACTCGTTATTTTGTCTGTTGAAAAAAATATGAAGCATTTGTGCTCACATCTTCAAAATTTGCAAATGCTTTTTATAGCTACTTCTTTTTTGATTTGGAACAATTTAATTAATCGCTTTTCGCTTTCTAAATTTTATCTTTTTCTTAATTGAACTCATTATTTTGTCCACCGAAAAAACATGAAGCATTGATGCTCGCATCACTGAAGCTTACAAACGCGTTTTGTTACTAAGTTTTTTCCCCCCGTTTGGTGACTATTTTATAAATTGCTTTTCTTTTACTTCTTTTTTGGGGCAGGGGGCTTTTCTTTTTCTTAATACCTCTTATCATTTTGTTTGTCTAAAAACATGAAATATATGTGCTCTCATTTTCGAAATTTGTAAAGTAGTTTTATTACTAGTTTTTTTTCCGTTTGATAACTATTTAATTAATAACTTTTCTTTTTTTTAAACATTTTTGTAAAATTTTTTCTTTTGTTTTTCTTTTTTCAATTTTTTAATTTTGGTTTTCTATTTCGTAATTCCACTCATCTTTTTGCTCGCAGAAAAAATATGAAGTATTGAAACTCGCATCTTCGAAGTTTGAAAACCCGTTTTATAACCACATTTTTACTGTTTACTAACTTTTTAATTAATTGCTTTTCTTTTCCCTAAATATAAAATAACAAATGAAACCTTTAAGAACAAAATTAGAAATACACGTTTGAATTTTAAAAGTGCATAATTAAAGAATAAATAAATAAAATTATTAAAATGCAAGAGACGTTTGATATATAAAACTTCAATATAAAACTTACTTTTTATTGAAGTATTAGTGAAGATTTTTTTATTCAAAAAATTTAATTTAATTAAATGTGTGTGGTTTATTTATTTATCAACCGCAAACCTAAATTGTTTTTAAAGTTTTAGTGCCATGGTAGTTCAAAATTATTATCTTAATTTCTTAATATTTCAGGTTTAAGATCACGAATAAACATTGAGATAGTCTTCACCTTTCTAAATGATGTGACAAATTTGAAGTTTTCTTAAAAATGATTTTTCAGATTAGTCATCAATTTGATAATTAAAATGCTATTTCAGTCAAAGTTTTCAATTGTTATTAATGGTATAATATATTTAACATTAATTTTGAAGTTCACATAATAAGGTAAGTTTATTGTACTTTTGTAAGTTTCATAATGTTTTCTCTATTAAAAATTCTCGTTATTTCTTAAAATATTTTTGAGAGCTATTAATAAAATTTCTGGTTTAGCTTAAGAGTATGCTATACCATTGGAAAAACTGCTCATTGAAAATTCCATTTCTCCTTTAGTGGCGTTTTAAAATTCAGAATTAAGAGGAAAGTGAGTTCGAGTGAACCTAGAGTAAACCATAACGTTTCAAAAGTTGAAAAAAAAATGCTTTTAAAATATTAAAATTCAAACAAATTACTGCAGGTTAACTAAACCACCTGCGTAATCTTAAGTAATTAATTCTCCCATAATTTCTTTGAATTTAGAAATTTTTAAAAAGAATTTCCAGCATTTAGAATTTCATAGTTTACACTATATCTGAACTCACTTTTACGAATGAAAAAAAAGCAGAATTTGCCAGAAAAAGTTTCTCCCGTGGTATAGCATTCTCTCAAGCTCGAAAAAGTTTTATGAATTTTCAAAATAGGAGAATTAAAAGAAACTGAATAAGGTTAATTTTAATTAACTCGCTTTTTTGTTTTTTGAAGTTAGTTTTTTTTTAACTCTGTGGCTTTTAAAACTATTAATCTGTATTTTTTTAATGTATTTAATTTTATTTTTATATTTTACTGTTTAGTAAGTGATGCTCAGTTTAGACCTAATTTGATTATTTGTATTGCCAGCCAAAGTTAATCACTTTTATTTTAAAAAAACAGATAGCATTTGATAGCTTAGATAGCTCAGAGAGCGAAATGAATAAAGAATCGAATAATGCTCGATTTCAACGACAAATATCAAGAGGAATTTCGAAAATCAGTCTTAATGCAGCTACAAAGGTAATTATAATGGTTTTATTCAAATTTGAGTAAATAATAAAAAAGTAGCTTACATGCTTAAAACACATGCCTTTATTTTTAAAGTTAAAGAAATAAAGAAATATAAATTTTTTTTGTCTCTGTTTAAATTCACACTTAATTTTTTCATTGTTTATCAAAAAGGTCCTTTTTTCACTTTTAAATGCAAGCAAACATTTTTTATTAGAACATAATCATCTGATTCATTAGACACTTATTTTTACTGATCTTATGACTGATTTATTAATCACGTACTTCTATGAATTACTCTATTTTTTGGTACAGGGCACCAAAAAATAACTTTTAATAATCACCCTAAATAACTTTTGATCTATTGATCGGATCTTCACTTTTTAAGACTCAATCTTAATGGTGTTAGGCGGTGACCTCAAATATGTTAATTAATTATAACAGACGATATTTAAGTTACAAAATCTGGCACAAAAGCGTACTTTCTCTAAATAAACATGCCTTTTTTTTTTTTAACGAATTCAGATTTCTGACTCCCAAAATATAGGGGGTAGTCGCAATCTGGGAAATATGGTCCCCATAGTTGGATCAGGAGAGCGATGCAAAGTTTGGATTCCTTAATGTTAATTTCACTTTTTCGTAAAATTTTAAAGCGAATTGAATCTCTGACGATTATAAATATCGTTTATCCAAAGGTAAATTACGCGAAAAATAAATTTTAGTTAATATTTATTATTTTTTATAATTTTATTTAATAATAGTAGAAAACATTTTGAATTGTTAGGTATAAATTTTTTTACGTCATTTCAAAGTATGTAATTGTGACGGAATACAATATTTGGGCGAAGTTGGTTGAATAGTTCCTGAGAAACCAAATTTCAAATATTCGAATTCTTTGAAATTAACATATTTGAGGAAACCTTTGAACCATTTAGAGTGAGTCCAAGAGCGTAAAGTTCAAATCATTAGATCAAAAGTTATACAGGGTAGCCCATTTTTTTGGAGCACTGTACATGCACTGTACATAATAATGTGGAACGTCTCTCTTCTTCATTAGAATAATGATAATATAATTGGAATAATAAATTATTGATAATATATTGTTTTATAGCTCATAACTGCACACAATTTATAATTTTTTAGCATTTCTTTCGCGTTTTCTTCTTTAAAAAATTTTACACTCATAAAACCTCGACATATTGCGTAGCATTATAGCACTTACATAGACAATCATTAATACATTTTACAGTCTTCATTCAAAAATTTATTTTTTATTCCTCTTTACCTAACTCTTTCTCATTTATCAACTTAAATTTATAAATATGTTATAAATTTAAATTACCAATAAATGTTCTATGTTAATTTAAATAATTTAATCCGTAATTTAAAAAAAAAAACTTAACAATTTTTACAATTTTACCTTTTTTTTTATTATTGTTAAAAATTAGGGCTTGATAATCGAGTATAATTCATTAGAGTATTTGTAATTTTAATAGAGAAATGCAGTTAAACACAAACAATGAAAATTAAACAAAACATTGAAACTTTCCAATATCTTTTTTGATTTATTAAATACATAATTGGGTAAATGATTTTATGAATCAATTCGAAGAAATTCTAAAATGCATCTTTACCATCACAATTAAACACGTGAATTTTATCTCTAAAACTTGCAATTTTTCAATTACGTTTTTATTAACCTATTTTCATATTGCAATAATAGAATCTAGCATTCTAAATCAACCGCTTTCCAGTAGTGAGAGCTCTCAAATCTAATAAGATCAAATTCATTAAAAACTGTTCCACTGCGCTCGGAATTCAGCGTAATGTTATCGTCAAAGTGAATAATATCTTCAATGAAAATTTCGGCCACTTTCCGAGCAGCACAAAAATGTTCATTGTAGTTTTGTGCTGGATGACAGCACGAAGCTCCAATTTTAACATTTTGTAATATTCAATGATAATATAAGTTTTAATTGTTTTCTGACTGGTACAAACAGAATTTATCGCTAAATACAAATTATCTTTAATCAAATGTCTACCATTTCCAGACTATTTACTGCTCAAATTTCAAAAAGATGTTGATCAAATTTCAACATGATTATTAGATGATAATTCAAATAACAATAATTTCTTAAATGCAGTACAGCAAAATGTTCTCTCTTTCATTGCCAATTGAAATTACTGGAATTGAAACTACTCCTCATTGCCAATTTAAATTACTCTTCGTCATTAAAAAAATAAACGAATTAACTTAAACTTTAAATGGCGAAAAATTATTAAATATTTTAAACTACGTTTTTTTAAGTAAACTTCAAAAGCGAAAGAACCTATAATGCTTAAAATGTAAATCATGGGTGCAAGGCGCAATATCTTCATAATGGGATACTGTGGGTATCTCGATCCTGATTGGCTGTTGAAACGTGACATTTGCTTACGCTAGCAACCTTTCTTTCCATACTATTTCGAGTAAGCCAAACTTATCTCGTACCATTTCTCTTAAGTAACGCAGCCTATATTTTCACCAAAATTCGTTCACTAAGATTTCAGTTCTACTTCTACATATTTGCACAAAGACTTAACACAGCGAAGCCATGTGGAACATGAACAAATTTATTACGCATCGAAGTTGCCAGATACACAAAACAAAAATAAATCACAGTTACAATTAAATACGTAAACAAATAATAAATCTAAGTAAAGTAAAAGAAGTGGACTAGAAAGAATTATATTTAAACAAGTTCGATGTGATATACGTCTCTGTATTTAATTAACTTAACGTTAATTATCATTTCAAGTTATGTAGCGAAACTTAACTCAACTTTGATCCTCCATATTGCTGATATAGATTAGCTGGTGCTGACGTCATAGGTCACATGCGTGGGTATTGGTTGAAGTGCAAATACCCAATTAAATTTCATCTCCACCAAAAATCACCAGAAGTGATCAGCCCTATGTTTTTCATTGTAGGAATGATTAAATATTAATTATTTTCTCCTCTTAAGAACAATTAAAATGCAGTTTAATATATTTTTTTAAATTTTATCCTATTATTTACAAATTTGAAATCAATAACTCATTAATATAGCTTAAAAATACAAGTCAGCAGAACCTAAATGTATCATCGGCATCATTTGAAAATCTATCAACGCCATAGTCAATTAGCTTATCAAATTTGTTTTGAAACGCTCTTTAAACTCACTATGTGAGTAAAATAATGAATAACTCTTTTTGTAAAAAAAACAATTGATAGTTGTAGTATAATCATTTTGAGTAGGTCATTTAATTTAACAGGTGCTGGTATTGCTAACAATCTCAGTTAAGTCTCAGTTTCTGTTAAGTTGTTGAGTTTCAAAGTTATAAAAAGAAATTTCTAATAAAAATTGCGATTATTTTTTGTTAAAATTTACCTCAAATGAAATAAAATAAAATAAAATTAACAAATAAAAATTGAGATTAAATTAAATCAATAAAATTTAACTATGTTAGTAAAAGAAAATAGTACTGCATGAATATTAAGTACTGTATCGTTTTTATAATGATTTCTCTTCTTTTTCTAATTTTAATGAAGAAAAATAAAGAGAGGTAGAGTACGCTATAAATAGATAAAGAAAAATTCAGAGAAATAGCTCTAAATAGATAAAATATTAGTAAACGAATCATGTTTCAGAAATAAATTTAAAAATGTTAAATTCAATAGTTTGTTCGCATTTTCAGTTTTTTCTTCTTTTTCCAGCGGCAGTCCAGCAATGAAAGCCTTCTACCGCTGCATAGACGTGGTGCAAGCACAGTTACAACAGACAACAGGTAAATTCAAAATGTGTATATTGAGGTTAAAGTGGAATAATACCGGGTACCTGAGATTCGAGCTAAGCCATTCGACCTATAAACCGTCAGATTTAACCAAGTTCATCGTTTAGCTGTGCACAATATATCATTCCTGAAATGCTATTGATGCACAGCTTTTTATAAAAATGATTTTTTCTCGAAGTCACCCAGTCCTTTCCCACTATTGGAGTAAATCCATGTACACCAGGTACACTTTATGGAGAATTTGGAAATACTAGAATTTGAGCGAAAATTAACAACCATATACATTTTATATGCATATCTAAGAAAATGATGCATGAAATTTACATGTCACGTAATCAAGGTCGTTTTCAAGGGGGAGGGAAAGGGACAATTGTTCTTTCAAAAAATATAGTGTTTATTAATTAGCCTTTTTAAAAGAAAATTGCAGAGAATTTCTTTATAGCTATATAAAAACTATGATTTTGCATAAAGAGTCTTCAAAAATTCTAAAAAATGTGAAAATAAGGTTTTATTAATCCTTTAAAAAAGAGTACCGCAATAAATTTTGTCATGGAGCCCGTAATGACATTTGCTCAGCCTTGAATAACGTTGTCCTCCGCTGTACCCGGTTTTACCCTACAACCCATTCCTACCCCACTCTCCCTTACGTATGCATTTCTTGCGCATGTAAATTTATTCTTATAAGATATATACAAATATAATATGTATTTTTAGCATTTTTGTCGAAATGCAGTTAAAAAAGTATAAACGCACCAGTGCGATAAAGAAGCAAAAACAATGAAGAAGCATTTCGTACAGCAAGAAAAGCGAGAGGAAGAGTACCAAAATTAGTTTGACTGTCCGTTAAAACGTGTAGATATTTATGAAAATAGCCTTCTATCTCTTGTTTTCTCCAACTATTAAGCAGATGTCGATGCCTTCTATTTCGCCAAACACACACACTGTATGTTAAATTTCGATAGCTTTTTTTTATTGGCTTAAATATTAGTTTGAGATTCCTATTATGATTAGATTCTTATTAGATTTTAGTCATAATTAAATGTATGAGATTTAGTCCATGAGACTATACTAGACAATGAAATTTAGTAATGATTAAATCAGTTTATTGATAGGGGTAAAATATTCAGGATAAAGTTGTTAAAATAACACTCTAACTATTAATGTTTTTTATTTTTATTTTATATTAGAACCGTAGTTGAACAGCCGAGACAAATTTTGGGTTTACGACTACTAATGTTCAACTCCGTAACCTTGTAATTTTGAACCTAATCTGGAAGACAAGAGAACTCCTGTATAAAGTATTCGGAGAAATTTGGCTTCGATGAGGACTTTTTTTTATGTAACTAACCCGCATTTGCGTTACATGAAGAGGAAGACCACGAGAACCTGCCACGGTCAGAATGACTCTATCCAATGATTCTTCTACCACTAAGGATATTTGACGTCTGCACTGTGGTTGGTGCGAGCCAGATGCGAAACTTATAAAACGTTAACTTAAGCATAACATTAAACAGAACGCCTACTTTATACCAAATATAACCAAATATATACGTTAGGCCACTTTTTTCAATCATATTTATAAAATTAGTTTATTTGAGTAACACTTTTGAAATAAGTTTTCATTGTTTCATTCACTTCTCTTTTTAAAATTACTGTTTTTTCTTTGAAAAATAAGTATTTTATGGCATGTTTTGTTTACGCAGTTTGTGGTTCATCTAAAAACTATAACTTTCACCCTTAGTTTAAACCAGTTCAGAAAGATGGTGCGACATGTAAATAAAATAATGGAAAACACTATCTATAAGATGGCTCTTAGCAAAAAAGAGTGAGTTGAGTATCCCATTTTTTATCACTCTTTAGTGGTTTGTATTTATGTAGAATAAGCAAGGAATGCATTTAAGTATTATGAAATGCATTGCATATTTTCAATGTTTAACCCTTTCGGACCGACTGTCACAAATACGTGCCAGCATAAAACTGTATCAATCAGGGTAAAAAGATAAAACTGGTAATCAAAGTAATTCTTTAGCAGTTTATTTGTGGGCGGAGTTATAATTGTTTGACTTATTTAATTCATCATTACTTTGTTCAAAATAAAACTATTTAGTTATACTTTGAATTAACATTGATTATATATATGATTAAACTAACAATAATTAAAGTAAAAGCAAAGTAAGTCTGTCAAATTAGCAACGACTACATTTAAGTTATCGTTTTTTATTTAGTTACAACTTGATTCTGATTTTGTACGAATGCTTTTCTGAATCAACCGTCTCCAAGGGGTTAATGAAACTTTGACAACTCGATCTGAGGTCGAAAATTGATCGAGTTATTGAAAATTCGAATAATGGTTAATAAATTATTCATAATTTTTAAAAAATTCTTATTCTTATTTTATAAGGTTATACATATAATACTTATTATAATCATATTACTTATATTATTATACTTATTGTAATCATATTACTTACATTATTATAAAATCATACTACTCACATTATTATACTTATTATAATCAAATGACTTACATTGTACATATTTTACTAGTGAGATATACATGAGAAATCGCATGATCAATTCAGATGCTATAAAATAATTCGTTAAATATTTCAGGCGAAATATGAAAAAATTTATTAGTATAGAAATGTTTCCATTATTTTGTCCATGTATTAGGTCTAAATGAGAAAAAAGTTTTGCTTTTAATTTTTTTAAGTTTTGTTTTTAATGTTTTGCTTCCTTCATTTCAGGAAGAATTGCAAAAAGTTAAAAATTTTAAATCTAAATTGGTAAACGTTAAGTATTAATTTGAAATATATTGGCTTTCCAATTAAAAACAAGAGTAAAATAAAAGACGAATTATCATTAGGCAACTTAGTTCCAGACGAATAATCTTTGGAAATTTTCTAAATGATGATCGACTTCTTACTCACGAATAATTAAATGGTATATAATAAAAAATAATAACAAAATATGGCGAAAATAATAGTTTTTTTTTCGAGGAATTTGTCCTGTAATCAATTATATGAGGATATTTCAAAAAGCTTTGAGCGGCTTATCGATACCAGATTCATGTGTATTTGAATTATTTTGATAATTCGCTAAGACCAAACTAACAAACATTACTCAGTATTTCTAAATACAAAAATTTATATTAACTCAATCGTAATTTCAAGTTTTTCATATTTCTTTAAGGAAGTCAGTTTCATAACAAGATTTTCCTTGAAAGACTAATAAGTAAATGAGCAGCTCTTTACAAATTAAAATAATAATTATTACAAAATAAACTTCTTTTGGTTTCGCAGTCAGTGGTCAAGCAGTGTTGGTATTCATCCTCTCTTATTGTTTTTTCGAGAATTTGGAAAAGAAAAACCGTATCTGGAGCAGCCAGATCCACTCTTCAAACATTATTTACTCTGTGTGGTTGTAATTTTTCTTGGATTAACAACTATTCATTTACTCATAATGTCCAGGTAAGAATAAACTTTGTTGTCTAGAAATATTTCTGAGACTACATAGTATTTTGTATGAGAATTTCACCTTACCTGAAACATGATTGCTAGATTTTCAGCTGATTAATGGGTCCTTATTTTATTTTTTCTCTAATAAAAACAAAACCAAGTAATTGTCTCACTGCTGTCTCCTAATATTAAAAAGAAGTATTAAGAAACTTTACCTTTCCATTTTACCTAAGAAATGCGTTAAAATTAGCTTCAAAGCTACTCGCAACTTAAAAGCTATACTGTATTTTCTGCGTGAAAACTTGTCAACCGACTTTTATTTTTCATGTAGGATATTTTACTCCAAACATAAGTTCCAATTTAAAAAATATATGCCGAAAAAGCGCCATTCATGGAATTGTTTGCTCGGGAAATTAGGAAATAAAAAAAAATAAGTGTAGACATTTTTCAGGTCAAAAATTATTCTTAAACAATAACCTGAAAGATGTCTCTTTCTCTTTCCTACGTATATAGAAGCGAAAGTCTGTATGTATGTTCTCTAATAACTCGAGAATTGGAGCACCGATTTGGATCATTTTTTTTTCTTCTTTTTAAGAGTTTGAAAATTTATATAGGGTGGTTCGTAAACTACCACCAATTTCCGGCGTCATTTACTCCAGACGCAATATCGAAAATACGAAATTCCATTGTTGAATACAGATTAAACTTTCCCTTATATCTTTTAAATGGCTTCACTGATTGGCATGGCGTTTTTTGTTACAAATTGCTAATATTTTTGTGATCATTTTGCAATATTTTTTATCCCTCTATATTGAGTTGTGAGCATACAATATTGAAAAATGCATTTCCATTGTCTTAACGTTGCACTGTCATCAAAACAACATGGCTGCAAAATGTTTTTTTTTCTTCTTTTAAATAAAGTAGACGAATCTTGGGGAAAAATGAAAAAGCTAATTAAAGATCTCATGATTAATTTCTGAAGCAAAAACGCGAGCTAGAAACAAATACGCGTTATAACCGTAAATGTTTTTATAACTTTTGTAGTAAAGTCATCAAAATTAAATAAATATTATATTTTCCTGTAGCAAGTAATTTTAAACATTAATATGTTTAAAATTATTATTTTATAATTTTAAGCATAAATATGGTTATTTTTATTTGTTTAAACAACATTTCAGATTCAAGGTGTTTAAAAATATTAATTTCTAATGCTGAAACTTTCTGCTGCTAAACATTTATAATAATTATTATGATTTGACGTCTTTTTTAAACACAAATTTCAAATTCAACTACATATCGCTATCTTTTAAACGAAAATAAATATCATAAGACTTATAAAAATAATCAAAATTTTTAATGGCGAGAGTTTGGGCACCAACAGTGACTAGATGCTAAAGATAAAATTATACGTTTGTGTACTCACATTTATGGCCTAGATCAGTTAAGTCTTAAATCCTGGGTCTAAATATTAAGAAGAAAGAAATTTTAACGTTAACAAATATTTAATGTTGGCTTAGAAGAGCTAAATAAAACTGATTACGAATCAAAAGTTTATTTTAATTACCAAACATGCCATATGGATGTAAAGACTGATTTTACTTATTATTGTAAATAGTCATTTACTTGGTTATGCTGTGTTTCAGATCTGAAACAATGGTAATAAGCTGATTTTTTCAACAAAAAAAATTTGCTTTAAGGTCTATTGTTTACTGTTTTAGATATGAAAACTTTTAATCTTATAACAGTTAAAATTCTTTTATTTTGGTGAAAGAAACTCTTACAAATGAAATTCATTGATTTGCATGCTTAATAATAGGAAATAAAAGCACAGTTTTATTTAACAAAGTTGCTGATTTGTTTTATTATCCATTAAAAGCATCTGAGATAATTAACACATTTGTATTATTATTATTTTTTTGTACGTTGTACTGAACATTTTAATATCAAATCCACTATACCATTTGGATATATAATATTTATTTTTCTTACTCGACTCTGGTATTATTAAGTTGTTGATTTTAATTTCTTTCTAATTTAGGAGATTAAAACTAAAGATTTATGTCGTTATTATAACGTAATTCTATGATAATGGCTTTATTATCTAATTTATTAACCATTTATCTCAGATAAACGGTTTCTAAACTTATTAACTTATAATTTGTATTATTGTTTGATGTAAATTACATTACTATGCTATAATAAATTACCGTTAAAGAGATTCGCAAAATGATTTTGAACTTAACTATCAGCTGCATGTGATGACGCATGCAAAATTGTATTTAATAAATCAACCTGTTTAATAAGCGAAAATACTGAATATCAATTGTGAACACCCTATATTTGTTATAACAATAAATCTGCAATTTTAAGGGTTATTTTAAAAAAATGATTACCGGACAAAATTGTTTAGGTTCACTGTAGTGCATCTACGACTACAAAAATACAATTCCAATTTTCTAGTATATAAGACATGTTAACTCGATTCTATGTTGGGGTACATTTTCATAGATGAAGGTTGACATTGTTGATATATACAAGGGAATTGGAATTGTATTTTTGTAGTGGTAGATACACTACAGTACTCCCCCACCGGAAATTTGATCTGTGATAGAATTCGATGAATGGGATACCACTAGTTAATTCATTGCTGTTTTGTGAGAAGCCGGGAGAGCTGTATTAAGATCGCCGTACTTTTTTTTTATGCTCCCCACATTCCCTAACAGATTTTAATAGAATCCTAAGGAAAATCTTTGAACCTGGGAAGCGTAAACTAACACAATTCTTTTTAGTATACACTTTTTAATACATAAAATAATTTCACCTTTTGTTGTAAAATTGCTTTATACTAACACTGTACGAAAATCTAGATAAAATTACGATGTATGTATTATAATTAAGTATGTATTATATTTATGTATTATAATTATGTATTATATTATGTATTATTAAGCTAATGACTTTAATACATTTTTTTTGTACGTAATTACATATTTTAAAGTACCTTAGAGTTTTGGCTTACTTATGGGGCAGCTCTTGTGCTTATTATAAGTGCATGCGTTCCTGCTTGGTATGGATACATTTGGATATATCTAAAGGTATGATGATTAAGTTTTTAAACTCAATAAAAATAGTTTATCTAAAGAAAGTTTAAGAGCTATCTTTAAATGTTTTCAGCAAGATGAAAACGATCAATTACTAAACTCATCAGCTCTGAAAGTTTCTCGAACAGTATGGAAATCTACAGTGTTGCGAATGACGATATGGTTTGTTGTATCCAGTGTCGTACTGTTTTGCTCTCTTCAAGGACTAGTAAGTATTTTTCAAAGCTATAAGAAAGGTGAAACGTACTGGGTTTTTCAAAGCAACCACCCTTCATATCGATATTAAGAATGTTTATGAAATATTGATTAAAAAATTCGCAACATAAGGAATCTTAAATTAATTTCTGAATCATACAAGAATAAAAAAAAACATGTTATCATGCTCAATTGTGAAATACTTATCGATGTATTTCTGGTCAAAGGTAGGATAAAAAATACTCAATATCGTGCTTGTTTGTCTTACAAGACTGGAATGGGTCCGTCCTCAATTAAAAATCTTTTTTCAGTTATAAATGAATTTGAAGATTTTAACCCCTTCTTTGCTTTGATCTCAATAATGATTTGTTAGAGTGTTATAACATTTTTGTTTTATTTTTCTTGATCAAATATTAATTTATAAGCCTTATTGTGTATACTTTTTACTTCCGAATTACTAAAGGTGCTTACTTAAATACATATCAGTCCTCTTTAAACATTTGAGCAACTACAGAGACATAGTTATATAAATGCTGTTTCTTTATAGCCAAGTGTCTCTTTGTACTATAAAGCGACGACCGATTACAGCGCCACCTGATATGAAAATAAAGTATTAAAACTCCTATCTTTAAAACGGTATGAGGTTTGGGGAAACGGTATGAATTAGAATGATGCTGATCATCGTCCATTTAGTACGAACTTGTGGGCATTCAACTTATAAAAGTACGTTTAAAACGTTATGTTTAAAACATTTGTTTGCTTGTGATTTCCTATATTGTGACGTGACAAAACAATTTTTGATGGAAAAAAAATCAACTAATTGTCACAAGATATCTTTATTTTTCATGTACAAAGCTTAAGAGATGTTTTAAATTGAAATAAATATTATTCTTTCTGATTCCAGAGTGATTGTTTCTTTAATCCCGCTCACCGAGGAAATTCATCCTCAACACCAGTCAAGTTTTCTTCGGATTTAGGCTGCGAATATCCTTGGGTTCGTATATTCCTAATTAACTCGAAGAGTTTAAAATTATGGAATCTACAGAAGTAGAAATTATTCTTGATCTATGCAGCAATAAATATTATTACAATTATTAACATTATTAATCATTACTTAGTTCTATACACTGTGTGCAGCTCTAGCCATGACAACAACGTCTGTATTCTTAAGAATCCATTTCCTTTTGAAACTCATTCTCAATGGAGTAGCTTTATCAATTATTTGGTATAGGATGGACGAAGGCAAAGAAGACATTTTCGAACAAGCATCTGCAAAACTAAGTGATTGGTAAGATTATTTTTTAATTAACATAATTTCTAATTCAATAATAATTTTAGTCTTACCTTCACAGTTTCGCGTTAGAAAGCGTGAATTATCGATACAAAAACTGAATCTACAGCATTTTGTAAACCTAGTATTAACTCATTATTGGCTTCTGTATTTTGAGAGGAAGGAAGAGAAAACCTAATTATGTTTTTTTTTTTTTTTTTTTTTTTTTTTTTTTTTTTTTTTTTTTTTTTAAATAAATATTAAATATTAAACCCACACAAATTACTTATTTGGCATAAATTTAACATGATTTATTTTTTAATTATTATTTTTTTAAACTTTATTAAAGGCAGAACATATTACGTGTGAGGATTTCAAGCGATAAGTATGCTAAACGTTAAACAAAGGTTCAAAAAGCAATAAAAAAATTTAAAAAATACAATTTTGTTGAAATATAATCTATTGAAAACTATTAGATCACTTTCTTTCCAACTAAGACTTCCGTCATTTACAATTGTTTAATAGAAAATTCTGCAAACATTTGTATACAATTCAAACTAAGCGTTACAATTCAAACTTTCAACCAGAATTTTATCCGTGACAATCAGGCCCACCCTATGAAACCACTAAGTTCAGTGCAGCTGGGTACATACTATCGTGGTGAGGTCTAATCTGTTAATCCCATGACCGGCTAAACAGAAGATAGAATCCCAGTGTTCAACCCATATTATTTTTTCCATTTCTTCAACACATTGAAAGACTACGGGTTTTGATTACAATGACTCTAGACTATTGTATTATGAAAATCTCAATCATTCACAGATGTCAGAAATGAAGATAAAACAAAGAAAAATTATAGACATATGTTTTTCTTAACTTTCTGCGTGTTTTCTTGTATTTATTTATTATATATATATATATATTCTGCATTTAAAAGCATTAATTTAGGTATTTTTCTCTCATATGGTAGTATTTTTATACTGGTTCCTCGAATTATAGTTCTGATTTCTGCACTTTTAGTAACAGATACGAAACTAAGAGATAAATTTAACCAGTTGAATGGTTCATATACAATGCTCCAAAGTATCATGAAATATTTATCAAAGTTCAGCGTATATTACGTAACCATATTTTATTGTTATCCCCAAAGGAATTCGGTAAAAATAACTGAGCTTTTGTGTTTCAATAGAGCTACAAACATGGTAATTTACACCCTATTCTGATAGTTTTGGTCTCACTTTTTTATAAGTTCGTTGGTGTGTCAATAGAAATAATTTTTGTTCCCTTATGAACTTAACTCAGAAGACAATTTCTGATAACGGGACTCTTGATTTTGTGATTAACTTGTTGAGTGTAAATAAATCACATTTGTGCAACTCAAAGAAAAAATATTCCGAAATCTTCTTTCTATCAGCCCGACGACTANAAGAAATAAGATAGTGCACACCTTTGGCCGTAAATGGGTTAAGGTGAGGTACTCTTCAGTTAGTCGTGCCCAAGCGAAAACTCGCCAAAAACCTGCACCAATTTTTAATTTTACTTTATTTATTTATTATTACTATTTTCTTAATTAAATATATATATATATATATATATATATATATCAATTTCAAACATGCTTTATTGAATTTTTCATTTCTTATAGGGAAGAATTCGGCTTTCCGGCTGATCGAAGTCATTGCTATTATTTAACATTTGTCCTTCTCATTCTTCATATCTTAGACAGACAAGTATGACATGTTTTGCTTTGTGAAATGCTTCAATTTTAAATTGTTTGGTATTATTATAATCAAATGGAAAATACAAGGATTTCCAAAAATTCCTTTGAAAGGCGAAATCTGATGTGAGTTATTAAAAATGGGCCTAATTTAAGGAAGTAATTCAGAAGAAAAAACACTGAATGTATTTTAAATTTTATGTCATTGCGTATGTACCCAATTAGTGCAATATACACACATTACACATATTTTAATCGCGTATATGCACAATTTTTGTAATAAAAGTTGTACAAAATAGCATTTTACCAATGGCCGTTCTGAATACTTTTTTTTTGTATCGGTCTGAGCATCAACTGTTTAACTGACATGAAATAAATAAGTAAAATACACTCTCAACATGAACTTAAATAAAAATATAATTATTTTTTGGATGAAAAAACTATTTTTGAAAAAAAAAAAAAAACGCTGGTTTGCCTTTTATCATTTACTAATATATATTTTACTTTTTAAAACAGTTTTTCATTTAAATATAATTCAATTTTAAAGTATGTTCATTCTAAAGAAAAAAAACACTCCAAGTGTTTAATTTTTTTAGCTGTTTTAGTATTAGAAAGAAAAATACAAGATTATCACATCTCATTTTACAAACTTCTGAAAAATACATTTTTCTTATCATTTATTGTCAAATGGATATGCATATATGTGACAACAAATGATGACAAGTCGCTAAATTTATCAAAATTTCTGAATTTTGTTGTTGTTCTAAATTTACAAAAGTGAAAAATTTTCCCACCTCATTTAAGTGTCAAACGGAGATGACTTAAATACGGCTATAGCTACAATTATCGCAGAAAATTCAGTATTCAAATTGTTCTTCGTATTTTTACGTTCCTGTTTAATAGCTGCAACTCGAGATTCTTGAGTTGATCAACAAGAAGTAAATCAAATTTTAATATAAATAAATAAAATAAAAAGTTTAAAAAAATTGAATTATGGTATTAAATCAATCTGTTTGAAGAAAAATTCCTGTATTAACTGGATTTGTTTCAATATTGAAACTTATGTAAAAACAACTGCTGGACTCTCGCTGGCAAAATACATTTGTAAATATGAAATTTTGTATCTCTACATTGTTTGGGTTAATTTTTTAATATACATTTTTCAGATAGAATATGTTTGTCGGTTGGATTTTTTGGAGAAGGTCAAGCTAAGGGCAGAGCAAGAGGAAGTCAAAACAATGGAAATGTTGAATCGTATTTTGTTGTTTAACATTCTACCTCCACACGTTGCCCGTTTTTATCTCACCATGCAGTTAGAAAGTCATGGTCAGCGAGTGGAGGTAAATCAAAGTATTTGGGAAGTAATATATATATATATATATATATATGTATAAAACTAATATTCTCGTTGCTTGCCCTCTTCAACTGTCATCCAAATATTTCTCTACATGAGGTCTGCTTCATTTTACATTTTTACCTTTATCTGTTCTAAAACCTTATCCTCCCTTTTCTCATAAACATCCGAACTTCTTCTTNTATATATATGCATTTTTTAATTATGTAAAAAAATATTAAAAATCCGGAAAACAAAATAAAGAAAAGATATTATCTCTTCATCAGCTCACACGATTATATCCGTGAAAAGGAATGCTTTCTAATATTGTATCAATATAAACAAAGCAAAATATATATTTTAAAAATCCACAATTTATGAAATTTTTTATTTTAAAACTTCGGTTATTGTTTAATTTTTAAAAAAGGCATATCGTGAATGTGTTTTTTTTTAATGAAAAGTTTTGTATACGTTATCAGAAACTTGAAACGTAATTTTAATGTACTTTTGATTTAAGGAAAAACAGGAAGGACTATAATCTTTCACATTTTGGGATAATAGAGCGAATAAGTAATTTTGCATTTTTTTTATTTATTTTTTATTTCCTATAAAATCTATCGTAGATTTAATTTTCGAACATCCTGGTTTCAGGCCCAGTCTCTTTTATTTTTCGTGCTTTGGATATCAAAAAAAAGGAAGAAAAAAAGATCATTAAATGATTAAATATTATATTCAAAACTTCTTCTAATTTTATGATTTTTTAGCACCTTGAAAATATTACATCTATGTATTTTTACTTGTTTAAATTTAAATTTCAGTAAATTTTAAGATGAAGTCGTTAAAGGGTTATAAAAAAATTGACCTTGCACTGTTAGCAATCGTTTAACTTATTTTATTTATATGTTTGAGTGATTGATTGTATTTTTATGATCTGCAAAGAAGTAAATGTGATTAGATTTGACCTTAATAGAAGTTAATGATAAAAAGAACTTAACGTGGTGATATATCGTCTCTCAAAGAATTTATTTTTGGAAGTAATACCTTTTGACTCTTGTTATCGAAGCATAACATTTGACTTAAGAATAAGTTCTGTCTATTATTGAAACTCTGAAAAGTTCAAGTTATAAAATTTCAATAATAGCACTAAAAGTTATAAAAACATTCAACAAATAGAAGTACCTATATACAGAACTAAAGCTGTACAGAAATGAAAAGAGTGATTTATCCACTAAGTCTTTTATCTACTTCATTTTATTAAATTTTGTATAAAATTATTAGATTGAATAGATTATTATAGAGTATACGTCTTAAATACTGCATGTTTTCAATTTTATTTTGTTCTGAAATATGTTAGATCCATAATATATTGGATAAATTTATATTTTTATACAACTGCAAAATAAAAAAGGAAATACTTAAATAGCCTTAAATAGCCTATCTCTTATTAAGATACAATTTTAATAACCCTTAAAATATGGTTCCAATAGTTAAGTCAGAAGATCAATGTAATGTTAGAACCCCTTATTTCATTTTACAAGTAATTAGCCAAATCTTTGAAATTATTTATACGACGGAGAACAATTTTACATGCAATAATGTAACTTGTTTACCCTAAGTTAGTTCCATGCAAAACTTTATTATTTATTAACACTTAATTTAATAAAGAAAAATTTAAAAATTTTTTTTAACTGTCAGGTATATAAATTTCAGAATAATTTTAAACTATGTAATTTTTAATGAAACAATTCAAGAAATTTGAACGGAATCGATCAATTAGTTTGTGAGCAAAAAACTATAAAATAATCGTGAGTTCACATTTCTGTATTTAAGGAATTTATAGAACGATTCCGTTTTAACTTTGGACTTTGTCTCTTAAAATAGTATAATTTAAATTGAAGCCGTTTCTTAAATAATTAATAATAATTTCTACAAATTTATTTATTTATTTATCATAAAATTCGCTTCTTTTGGTTAAGTAAGTTTCATAATTGCGTGCAAAATTCTTATGTTAAGTTTAAATAGTTTCAATAGTGACACAGACACACACAAATAATTCTAACAAGGGGACTCAAATTTTACACCGCTTTCCGGACTTAACCATATTTTCCAAATTGCGTTATTCATATTTTGAAGACCAAAAATCCGAACTTGTCAAAAAAAAAAAAAAAAAAAAAAAAAAAAAAAAAAAAAAGGAATGGAAAATGAGGGAAATGAAGGAATGAAAGGAATATAAAAATGCAAATGCATTGTTTTTTTTATATCATAAACTTATTCTATAAACAATAATAGTTTCAGGAGTACTTTGAAAATGTGTGATCATTAGTAGTCAAAAATACGTTGTTTATGTTCAAATTTAAATTCTAAATAATAACTATTTACAACAGGTAAAACTAAATTATTCAAAGATAGTATGCGTTGTTTCTTGTTTTTCCCTATCTCGTTGCTATGAGTGCTAAAAATAATAATTCCAATATTCATTTGATCGCACATAAGATTTAACGGTAATTTTAACAAATAAAAATGCGTGCTGACCAGTTTTAACCACATCTAAATATTTAAAAATCGAATTCCGATGAAATGTATGTTAATGATTGTTTAACGAAGTGCCAGGGAGTTGTAAAACACAATCGATTGAATTGAAGTTCATTCGTCGTACAAGTTTGCTAGCAAAATCGATAAAAAGTTTCCCAAAACTTTTTTTTAAATTAAGATATATATGTATATATTATCGAAACAGACTAAAAATTAATTATTAAGATAACAAACAGACGGGTAGTCTATATAAAAATAGTTAGTTATGGCTAGATTCTTCAATTTAAATATTAGTTACGTACGATTTAAATTTTTATGCTTTGTAGTGTGAGAAAAGCATGGAATTACTTTGTAAGAATTTTCATTCTAAAGTTATGGTAAAATAACCGGTAGCAATCTGTCCATTCAATTAACCGTGAAGTTTACAGTAAAGAACATTTTTAACCTTTATGGTTTTGAAACTGACATCTAGATTGATCAAAACACTATGAATGCAAAACTAGTATACTGTTTTTTTAACCAATTACAACTACCATGACTTTAAAATCATGGAAAAGAAATTTAACTCTACTTTTGAAAGAGCTTAGCAACTTTAGGGCGCGATAGAATTTTCATTGACATTAACATAAGAAATTGTATTCTAATAGTCCGCAGTCACAAATTGAGGAGGAAAGGATACTGGAAACTATTCATAAGAAGGGAATGGAGGAAATATTGCGGTGTCAACACTGGGACTCGAATCCTCGTTTTGTCGGTATTGGCAGATTAGTCCTCCTGAGCTATAATATGTTCCCATTTGGGAGTAACAAAGTGACTTTATTAGTCGGGCCTAGTTATTGGGATAAAATACTGGTTGCTCAACCATATTAGGTGAAATCAGTTAATAAACGGTTTTTCTTACAATTAACAGTTTGAATACCATCTTATATATGGTTATTTTACTGTTTTGCTTGAATATGGTAAAAAAAAAATTTATAAATAAAATAAATTTTTATTTAACCATTTTTCCGAGAAATTTCTAATTATATAACCAGTAGAGTTTAGTGTGCGTTTTGTAAGGCAAAAAGTTTGCATTGCAAATGAATTCTTAAATAATTCTATTTCACTTTTTTTCATAATTTGATTTTCTATGTTAAGAGAGAATTTTTTTAAATTACCCTTTAAAAACATTTGATGCAAATTGAGTTGTTCCATTATAATAGGTGAATGTTTTTCATAAATAAATGTATGCGAAAAATATGAATGCATATTCCAGGTGGGATCATTCCATGAAGAACGTTGCGCCGTTGCTGTTCTCTTTGCATCTATTCCAAGTTTTGCAGATTTCTATTATGAAGATAAGCAGAATGAAGAAGGACTACGATGCATTCAGCTCCTGAATGAAATAATATGTGACTTTGATAAAGTAAATATAAGAACGTTCTTTTTATATCTATGAAGTCAACATATGTTTTTTATTATACGAAGACAAACTTCTTTTCGCTGTAACTAGAAAGCGCACATGGAATTAAATTTTTTATTTATTTTTATTTACATCTAAATGATACAGCAGAACTGTATTTTTCAATATATGTAAATTCATAGCGTTTTACTAAGTCACCAATTTTATCAGCCGAAACTCAGTCCCCTGCGATCTCAACTAACTTTTCATAGTGGTTTGAAATTCCTCATTTTCCGTGAAGTTCTACATGAGCTCCAAACAACTTCTTTATGGCAGTGAATTGGTGATAATCAAACGGAGGCAAGTCCGGAGAAAATTATATTTAATTACAAAAACGCATATTAGTAACAAGAATATTGTGGTATATAAGTTTTTACAAGTAAGTCGCCTTAAGTCTATACGGTGCTCGTACACACAAGTACATTCACAAGTAAGTCAATACGGTGCTCGTACACACAAGTACATTCACATGTAAGTCAATACGGTGCTTGTACACACACAAGTACATTCACAAGTAAATCAATACGCTGCTCGTACACACAGAGGCATCGCAAGGATTCCGGCTAAAGACGACTCTCGTAAAAACGGGGGCGTTACATGGATACCACCTTAATACAACGCTCGTAACGAAAGTGTTAAAAATAATATAATTTTATCTTTGTTATTATAGAGATAAAATTAAAAATATACATAACCAAACGAGCTTTACCCTTTTTAATTATAAAAATAATTTGTTGTTGGAAAAATCCATTTTTTTAAAAATTAATTCTAGCAAATGGAATAAATAATGTTTGGAAAATTTTCTTTTCAGCTTCTTCGTCAAAGAGAGTTTCAAGCCGTGGAAAAAATAAAAACTATAGGCAGCACTTACATGGCAGCATGTGGGTTACAAACACAAGAAAAAGTAAGAAATTAATATTTCATTCCCAATAAATAAATGAAATAAAAGAGAGAAATGAAGTCAGTGCAACAAATTAAGACATAGGTGCGGTGTTGTGTTGCTTATGGTGGTGTATTAAATTAAGGAAATTCGACAGTTGTTTATTACACAGGAGACAAAAATAAAATTAAAGACTTTCACGAAAAGAATTCATTTCTCTTACTCTATTTTACTCAGTAAGTTTGGCTGTTTAGAAAAATTTTGTTACGCTTTCCTTTGAAATTGCTAGACAGTACACTTGATTGTTAAATAGCAAATTAAAAAGACAAGGCTTTGATGATCGAAAAGCCATTTCTTGATTTGCTCTTTTAATTGCCACTTTAGACTAATTGTATTCATCGTTTTTAATAATAATACTGATAATTAACTCCTTCCCTCTCGCTCCCGTCAAAATCACGAGGTAAGTTTTTTTTCTTCATATTTCTCGTGCCCGTAATATTTCCGGGCTAGAACGTTCAAAAATTATGCACCAGAAAGATTTAAATATATCCACCTCTTTTACGCGAAATTTTTTTTATTTATCATTTTGCACACTAGATTGCTGCACCATTAGATGGACTATTTTTAATGTAACTGAAGATAGTTTATTTTAAAATAGATGTCAGCGCTAACTAAATATATGTATTTCTGATAAGTATTTCTTACTCTCTTAGCTCAGCTACCAACGCTTTTTGTGAATACACGTGGTATGAGTTCTGTGTGTATACATTATGGAGTCAGAGTTACATGGACATATGGAGTACATATGGAATTTTAAATCTCGAGCTAAAAAAATTCTAAAAATCAATATATATATTGTACTAAACTTTTTCAAATATAATTTTCTTGAATATAAAAATACAAGCAAAAATAATGAGATCATGAAGGGGTTAACCGATAGTGATCGTGGAAAATCACAAATGACTCAAAAGGGCTGTGGACACAAGACTGTTTGTGTTAGGGTCTGCCTTGCCTTGAACATTCCAATATTAAGCTTCTTATGGTAAAATTGTGTTTTAATTCTTAACATTTCTCACATTAGAATATTTATTTACCATATTAAATTAATTTTGTAAAGAATTTAATTTCTTTGCAAATTTTTACATTTTAGTTTTTAATGATGAAAAAAAATTAAAAACTTAATAAATTCAATGCTTTTGTATATTCGATAATTTAGGAAAAACTAATGATTTAATTAATTTTAAGTTTTTTGAAATTTAAAATATTAATTATATATGGTCATATTAATATATTAAATATTAATTCTATCAATTGGTTTAATATAAGTTGTCAATTTCATCATTTATCTATTCCAATTCCATGTTATGGGGTTAGTTATGTTAATGTTAGTGAGTAAAAAAATCAATTTTTTTAAAAAGAATATTTTAAAAAAATGATATGCATCAAAACTAGGTTGTGTCACTTAAAAGAAAAAAAAAACCTTTAAATTTAAATGGTAAAATATTAAATAATTTCAAAATGATAATTAGCAAACTGTTAAAAGAGTTTTCCTTAGAACCCAGATTATTTTAGATTTTGATAGTTTTTTTAAAAATTTTTTTTGACATTTTTCATCATGTTTAAATGTAACAAATTTTTCGAATTTCTAAAATTACAAAAAATTTCCTAGTAATTAATTTTAACATATAAAATATTATGTCCGATGATGGTAACTCGATTATTAATGGATATTAATGCTTTTACATAATAGGTTAATATTATCAGGTTTTATTGATCACCCAATTCGGAGAGAAAAGGTGAATTAAATTACAAATCTTTAAAAAATAAATTTTAAGAATATTCCCATGTATCGTATAGTGAAGAGTTAGAATTAGTTTGTTTGCATAATGCTTTGCAAGATGAATTGGTTGAATTGAAAATGGATTATCAAACTAAATACCTATTTGTAAGACCTATTTAAAGAGCTACCAGAGCATTGTTTCTATTTAGGTAGACTAGCAATTGTGAGTCAACTTTGTCATTTTCCCCCCACTCTGTTTCAAATGAAATTGAGCGGAGGCTGAAAGTGGCCATCATGGAACTTTTTTGACTATTCCACATTGACGTTTTGAAACAGTTGAAGTATTTTTTACGTTTTTAAATTATTTGCGAATGTAAAATAATTAGTATACATCAAAATTTTTACGCTTTTGTTATTTAACTTATGTCATCAAAAATGATACTCTAAATCTAAAGAAATGAGATAAACGAACAATTTTGAAAAGGGAAAACAGGCCAAAGTACTCTAAAACTCTTTGTTTAATATATCAAGTTTAAGAGAAGTTTAAAAAAAATGAAGAAAATAAAAGGAGTTAAAGATATATAGGTATTTAATATAAAGATGACTTAACAAGAAAAATAAATTTAAATAATAATCTGCATTTTGCGAATTATGATTAAAAAAAAAAGTTTGGAATTTCCTTCACATTTCTAGAAAAAAATTACCAACAGCTACTAAAACAACTGTCAGCTTATATATATTGATACAAGACTCAGCTGAAGGAAAGTGATAAAAAGATGCTCAGATAAAATTGTAAATTTTCTTTATCGATTTCGTGATTTTACTAAGACAATAAACCATCAAAAAATGATTTTACATTTTAAATGCGAAATATTTTATTGTTAAATCGAGTCATTCATTTATTTTGGGTTTGTAAAAAGCCAAAATAACATTAAAAAAGATTCTGTTTCTGTTACTGAATTTAGTATTTAAATCATTATAAATTTATAACTATAATTAATTTCCTGGAAATTATTAATTTTGTTTGTAACCTTAATGGTACAGGTAAAACATAGTCAAAATTTGATCTTTAATATGCCATATATTATTAGTCTAAATTATAATGAAAATTCAATTTCTTATTATTCCAGAGGACTAGATATTAGTTTTTGCAAATAAGAAAGTAATCTGGGAAACTTTTTTTTCATAATTTAAAAATAATAATTATATATTCCATAAACAATTTACGAAAATACATAAATCCTAACAAATTAGACCAATAAATTTTTTTATAAAATAAAGGAACAAAGAAATCTTCGATTTTTTTAAGGCTTTTTCTTCTAAATAACTCGACACAAATGGAATTTTATAAAAACCTTCAGACAATCACTCTTCTCTATAATCCTCAAGATCAAAAAACTACTATTAGCAACGATTTATTTTTTTCGCATCTGTATTAATTACACTTTTAGTAAATGCTTTAATTTAAAAAAATATCAATTGAGTATACATTATTATTATAATATAAATAAAGATAACTGTGATTTTTATTATTCTTAGTTTCTCTTTCTTAACACTAGAAAGACGGAAAATTAGTATATACCTATATTGCCCAAAAGCAGTCAAAATGACTGCATTGTGAATGCGTGAATAAATTCGTTTAAAATTAATTTTTAACATTTTTTATATTATTTATAGTTATATAACAAGTTATTTGTAAATATTAACAATAAAAAAAATTATATGTTGTACAAAAAGTCACAAAATTCTAAGAAATTGTGTCATTATATACATCATTGTTTTTCTAATTGAAATTGAGAGCAGTCAAAATGACTTCCTTAGCAATCTAGTGTTAAGTATCAAATTCTACAAAAGTGAAATTTTACAAAAAAAAAAAAAAAAAAAAAAAAAAAAAAAAAAAAAAAAAAAAAAAAAAAAAAAAANAAAAAAAAAAAAAAAAAAAGGAAAAAAAAAGAAAAAAAGGAGTAATAAATAAATAAATAAAAAATTAAGATAATCACTTCTATATTCTCATAATCGAAAAATTGCTTTTTTTTGCCCCAATATTAATTACTCTAACAGTGAATGAAATCCTTAATCGAACTGTTAGTAGAATATTGGTGAAAGTTCAGTAAAACGCCCACTAGAAATTAAAATCAATTCTTTTTCAACACCATTTGTCTTCCATGTACAGTGGTTGCGATTGTCTTCACGCTTAACCTTACTAAGCAGATGATAAATGAAAAAGTATATGATGTTATCCGAAATTTGCAACGAACACAGATGAAATTCGCCTAAAGATTCTCAATCTAAACGAAAGCATAAGTTGGACAACTAGCCCGTTATTAAAGTGAAAATATTTTGATCTATCACTGACGAGTCAGATATTTAATTTATTAGTTAAAAAATTAATTTTCATGAACAGAATTGAATTAATAAAGTAAATATAAATAAGAAGTTTCACTGGAAAATTACAAAATAAATGGTAGTGTAAGTAAGTAAAAGTCATATACTTAATGAATTGATTACTTTGAGATTGTTATATAGCCTTACAATTTACAATAGCTTTCTTGATCAATTTTGTATTACAAAATGTATAATTTTATATAATTCCCTAACATTTGATAAAAACAATAATTAATAAATAGGTTAATAATTAATAAAAGGTTAATAATTTTGACGTTAAAACTAAGCAGTTTTTTCGTTTTCTTTTTTATCTTTGTTATTCATTACCGGCACCATGATTTTCAAAACGAATGCACTAAAAAAATAAATAAATAAATATACTAAATTAAAAAAAGTTTATTGCCAACTTCCGAGACTTTAAAAAATATTTCCGAGATTATTAAAAATTTAAGTTCTTCTTTTAAAAATAAGTACACGTGATTCTCCCAGTGCATAATGAGCGAAATAAAAAAGTTAACATTCTGAACAACTTATGATCTTATGTTTGGATGCATTCGGATTTTTGAATCTCAAAATATGAAGAGGCAGTCGTAATCTGAAAAATACGGTCCCAGTAAAGTTTGTCTATAGAAAGGACTCCCCTTGAAACAAAGACTAAGGCTGCTGTGTGAACAAGAAATAGTGCGTTTTAAAGAGTGTGGCTTCTCTCTCCCCCATTCTCTCGCTCCCCGAGCCTTGTCTTAAATATTGACCCAACTCCTCTACATGAAACAGTTAAACCTTGTAACCATAGTCACAGTCACTGCTCCAGACAAAAGGCAACGGGAGTTCTTTCCATAGATAGACTGTAGTTTGGTCTGGAGGGTGACCATTTACTTTGCTTGCATTTTACTCACTGTCTTCGCGTATTTCGCTGTGTCTCGAAAACTTTTTCAGCGAATCAAAATACTTTTACACGCAATTGTAATAAAATTCGTTTATTCAAGATAATTCCATGCAAAAAAATAATTAACCGACCATTAAACCAAAGTTATTCAAGGTGTTCATATTTTATTTTACGCCTTGCATAGCATTTTTATATTGGTTTAATTGGTAAATCCAGAATAATAAATGAGGACAAAACTTATTGGAGTAAATGGCTCTATAAAATGGATTAACTGTCTTGAAAAAGACATGGATATTCAAAAAACAAAATGTTGGAGGACAGTTGTCAAACGGAGAGATATCTGGAAAAGGCATCTGACAGCTCTGGGTAGGCCCTGGCTCACACAGAGCTGTCATACCACCGGATATGATGATTTTTATTGCTATGTTAATGATTGAATGACCGGATATGATGATTTTTAATGCTCTCCAGGATGAGCGATACACTTGATATACATATGCTTGATCTAATTTTCATATCACTTACTTATTCCAATTAAGGTATCAATAACCCGGACATTTAGAGCGCATCAAGCCACTTTTTCTGGCATCGAAAGTAAAATACATCGAAAACATTAGATAATAAATCAGGCTTGTGTGAGCCGACGATCACCAATCCAATGCTTTAATAGGCCAACTATTGAGTCGTTTATGCCGATATGTGAGAAAACGCAATGCATTGAAAAAAAAATTCTATTTACAGCAAAGTTTTCTTAATAATTTCAGGGTTCTTTAGTTTCAGAAGAAAATCCAACCGGTAATGTTGCAACATTGTCTAAATTTGCCGCAGCCATGATGCATGCATTACATGAACTTAATAAAGATGCAATGCAAGATTTTCAACTCAGAGCAGGTGAGAAACAATTTAATTTGATGAATTTGCCGAAAATAACCTTCTTAGAAAAATCGAATGTGTACGATTGTGCTTGCATTTCTGAGGAATTCGTCACTATAACAGAAAATACACAATTATAACTTTTTAAGCAGCATTCATTAATGTGATATTTTTAATCGAAGTTTTCAGCCTTAATTTTTCATATCGAGATTAAAACAAGTAATTAGAGCAATATGGGCCAAATAACCTCAGTAATTAAGATATCAATCAATATCTAGAATGTAATATTTTAATACCGTTTATGTCAATATATTTTAGAAACAAAAAGGACAAGGATCCTGATTTTATTTTGCAAAAAAAGAAAAAAAAAAAGCGAAGAAATTTGTAATGTAAATAACTTTTAGATTATTATTTTATCACCACGCTTCAATTAGCACGTCTTTATGTCAGTTTGTGATTAGAATTGAATCGATGTGATTGAAATTGCAATCGAAATTTTTATTACTTCCAGACTAGCTCTTCGACTGGAGCTCTGTGGCAGGATCAGGTTGACAATATAAATTTCAATCAGTTATTACTAGCAAAATTTATCCATTTTATCGCCAATAAATTAAGTTAAAAAATAATTAAAAAATTCTTTCTAAAGCTACTTTTTAAATGGACTAAAAAAGAGAATATAAATTTATTTTAGTCGCACTTAAAACAAAAAATTTGAAGCGCAATAAACTCCCTTTAATTTCTTGTTTGAATGGTTACAAAATTACATCTTTCTTTTTAGTCCACTTGAAAAATAGTTTTAATTTTTTTTAATTCTAAGCACAATTTAACATTTAATCACCAAATAAATGTACATTTCAGGCATTTCAGTTGGCCCCGTGATGGCAGGAGTAGTTGGAACAGTAAAGCCTCAATACGACATCTGGGGAGATACTGTGAATGTCGCAAGTCGAATGGACAGTACCGGCATTCCCGGAAGAATACAGGTTACGATTTAAATTTATACATTTTATTTATTAAACACTACCATTTTTACATACAACAATATTTAATTCCTGTTAACCTACCGTTGCTTCAAAGAAACATAACAGATTCTTCAAAAAACCTCTTTGCTCCAAGGAGACATTTATATGATTTGCTTAATAAAATTACTTCTCTGTTTGTCCTCTTTAACGCCATTTTTCGACGTTCTGTCGCCAAGCAAAATAAAAAAAGCCATAGTTTAAGTGTCTTAAACTTGAAGCAATGCGATGATTTTAAACTATATATATACAGTCGGACCTCTATTTAACGAAGTCGCTAAATCAAGATAATAAGTTCGTTATGTGGAAAATTCGATAAATAGAAAATCGCCTTTTGAAATACTTAAACAACACAAAACAGGTTTCAAATTCATAAACACTAGACATAATTAAAATAGCAATTGATACACCTTTATCTTGTAAACTAGTATCTACCATTTATTTTATAAATCTTAACCATAAAAAAAATCTGCATGCAAAGCAAGAATAGAGCAAAACTTTATCCAGCACACTATCATCTTACATACATTTTCAACTAAAAAAAAAAGCTAAATTTATGCATAAAATTATAGCTGCATTTATTATAAAAGTAATTTTAAACATACATTACCACATGCTTTCTTAAGTTTAATTGCTACTGATAAAATCCGTTAATTTTCTCCGAGTTTTTCGTTTAAAATGTAAACAAAAAGAGAAAGGAATTTTACTGCTTTTTAAGTGGTTTCGAAAATCCATTCAAAGTCATTTCCCAAATAAAATGCGTTAACAAGTTTGAAATATTTTGGGAAATAGGGAAAGTGGATCTCAAAGAAAAGTTCGTTAAATAGAAAATTCATTTCTTTGTTTGGAAGCTATTTTACGAAAAAATTTACAAAACGTTCTTGGTTCCTCGAAAAAAAATCGCAAAATNAAGCTAAATTTATGTATAAAATTATAGCTGCATTTATTATAAAAGTAATTTTAAACATACATTACGACATGCGTTCTTAAGTTTAATTGCTACTGATAAAATCCGTTAATTTTGTCCGAGTTTTTCGTTTAAAATGCAAACAAAAAGAGAAAGGAATTTTACTGCTTTTTAAGTGGTTTCGAAAATCCATTCAAGGTCATTTCCCAAATAAAATGCGCTAACAAGTTTGAAATATTTTGGGAAATAGGGAAAGTGGATCTCAAAGAAAAGTTCGTTAAATAGAAAATTCATTTCTTTGTTTGGAAGCTATTTTACGAAAAAATTTACAAAACGTTCTTGGTTCCTCGAAAAAAATCTCAAAATGGAAGTTCGTTAAATGAAAGTCCGACTGTATACATATAATCTTGCCTTGAAGAAATTTTTTTTTAGAAAAAGCATTACAAAAATGATAAATTAAGAAATTAAGGCATTTACAGTTGAATGTTTTCAGATTATAAATCCCTTTCTTATACTTATGTAATGAAGGACGCCATAACATAACATCGATTAGTTACTCGCTGAAAAATGGAGCGTTCGATGTTCCTAAAGATTTTAATTGATCACACGACATATACAAACTTCTAATTGTAAATGTTAGTTAACATGCAAAAGATATCCTGAAAAGGTATAAGGAAACAGTTTTTCTCATACTTACAAAAACATTTAAATTGTGCTTAAAATTTTCTCATTACTAAAAAATAGGCATTTATCTGACATTTCATAGAAAGGCAAGGACTAATTTATAAAAATGCATTCATTGCACATGTCTAGAGCATCACAGAAATTAGCATTAAGTTTTTGCATTTATCCTTTCACTATTATTTATGTAGTTTAATGTACTTTTCAAAATCTTTTTATTTAAATTGAAGAGCGGTTTTATTTTGAGTAATTTCTTTCGGCTATAAGAACTTAGACTGCATACTCACCAGTTACCACGAGCACATGTAAAATATTTATTTGAAAAGTACAAGAGTAATGAAAACAATTGTTGGGTAGTAATTATCATAAAAATAACGCTCAATGTATAAAAAAACTTCAACGATTCACTCAAAATTTGTGCTTTAAATAAAGAGTATTTTAATCAGGGTATCACCAGTTAAAATAAAGTAAAAACTTACAAAAAAAAAAAAAAACACTATGCAGAAAATTATGAAAAAAAAACTAGTTTTTCATGAAAGATATTTTTGAATTAATAAAATGTTTTTGATACCAATATTATTTTGACATAATTTTTTCAAAGAAGCAAGAAAATAAAAAATTAAAAAAAGATGCTGAGAGAGTAAGGACAGTGTGCATTCTTGAAATTTAGTTTTGATTTATTCTAACAATATATAATTTTTATTTACTCTGATAATTTACTTTAAAAATTAAAATATATCTTAAGAGGGAAAATGAGTAAGACAGTTGTTTAATTCAATAAGTTACATGCAGAATTTCAGAATATTGAACATGTTTCAACAATTTTTTTTCAAAACAGTTCAATTATTTTATATATATGTGCGTGTGTTACAATGTATTATATAAAATTATAATATATTTATTTCAGTTCAACCTTGTGGGGGCTAAGTTTGTTAAGAAATAATTATACTAGCTGGATACACTATAAAGTAAAAAAAAAAAAAAAAATTCAACTCATGTATATCAGGTATTTAAGTCCATTATAACAAAAGATCACTACACTCATTTTATTTTTCTTCAGTGTGTTCACCGTACCGCAAAAAACTTTCTTCCAAATCTTCAGAAAGAAGTCTTACCTATTTTTAAATTATTGAAAACTTTGTTTATGTTGTCAATTATGACGTCTAGCTGACAAATTATATAGTTGAATATCGATCTCTTTTCATAGATGAGCTTGCAAATCTTATTTCTTCGAAGTTTCCTTTTTAATTAAAAAAAACCAAAGTGAAAACTGAGCATTTAGCACATTTGTTTACAAGCACAAAATGATGCCGACAAATTTTTTTACATAAATGGACATTTGATTTGTAAAATCACAAGAGTTTCATTAAAAAAAAGTAGTATTGCTATTGGATAAATAGTCCCTAAAGTAATGCAGCTGATTAAAGAAGTTCTTCCTTTTCTAAAATCTTTTAAAATAGTCTGCAACCGTTGTACTGTAAAAGCTAAAGTAAAATCCGAGTAGTCCTTTTTTTCTCCATTAAATCAAACTTGAACAACAAAAGGCTATGGCCCTGGGTCTAAATGATTAGATTTCTGTAACAATACGTCAAACAGAACAGCAACATTTAAAATCAAACATTTCTAAAAATTCCTTTATCATTACAGTCATTTCTTATTATAAATTCATCTAACAATTATAATAAATACATTTAATTATTTTTTAAAGGTCACAAAAGAAGTTGCTGATTTGTTGTCTTCTGCAGACAATCCTTATCAAATGGAATGCAGAGGAGAAATTTTTGTCAAAGGAAAAGGAAAGCTTACAACTTATTTGCTAAAAACTTCTTATGATGAGCCAGGTTTTGAGACAACAGAGCTTTAAACAAATATATCTCTTGAAATTTCCCATGTATTGACATTTACTATGTATTAAAACTGCAACATTTCAATCTTTTCACTTATGTCAGTTAAAACTAGCTTAAATCATATTTTTCATTTAAACTAAATAAATATAAATAAAAGTCTTTTAAACTAGGATTTCGTCTTTTTTTTGAATAAGGGGCTTTTTTTTCACAATTTTCAATTAAAAAAAGGAGATAAATTAAGATTTTTATAAAGTTGTTAATTACTGTAAATAAAATTGTTCAAAATCAAAAGTAAATGTTTTTTAGGCAAAGTTTCATTGGATACATAACATCCAAATTGCACAAATGTGAAAAATCATAAAAATTTGAGCATGCATAGTATATTACATACAACTATTTTAAATATAAATAAAACATATTACCATGAATAGTAATTTTAAGTTTTTTTGCAATACATTTTACCATAAGATGCATTTGGTTAACACACAAAAAAACTGCCACTTATTCTTAGTGATTTTCCACTAGGTAACTACTTTTCAATTGTAAATCAAATAAAAATTCTTAGTATAACATTTATAGATTTTATAGATATTTTTTATTAATTTTAGAATTTTAACTGGACCAGGGGTGATTGTGAGCCCAAGTCAAAATTCCAGAAAATTTCTTGAGTCAGAAAAAAAAAAAAAAATTTTAAATCGAAAAATTAGAAAAAAAAAATTAAACAAGATTTTTTCCTTTTTCTCAATACTTCTTAATTTACTTAAAATATATTTAAAATTTTAACATACCTATACCACTTACATATACCAATGATGACTTTGAAAAGTAAATATGTCTTTCTTTGTTGAGTTTATGATTATAATAACTATTTACTGATAAAAAAATGAATATTAATCTTGAATATAAGCTTTTAAAGTATCTGGCTCTCCCTTGCAAACAAATAAAATAAACTGAGATTTTAAGTTCCACCTTTGAAAATTTTATTTCTGGAAACCTTTGTGATCAATGATTTTTTTTAACGTCTTAACCTTAGATCTCCGGAAACTTCCGGATCACAGTTAGCGAAAAATCCGAAAATCCGGATTTTTTCCGGAGCACAATCAGCCCTGCTGGACAAAAACAACATAATTTAACTCTCAGTCAATCCCGCTTTTAGAAAACTGCATTTCATTTTTAAATTTCACTTCACAGAAAACCAATTTTTTTTATATTCTATTAAATAAGGAAGCAGTTTATGAAAGAAAAACATTTTTAAAAAATATATAGTTAATAAATTAGTAAGTGGATTGGTGATAATGGATTACAAGCAAATGTTTTTAAGAATTAACATACTTCTCACATATTTTTCTTTTAAATAGGCATAAAATATGTGTAACTATACTTCATATGGCCACATTTTATGAATATAGCATGTGTGAATTGATACTGTGTGAATTACTTTATGATGCTGTATGAATGATATAGTATATGAATTGATAAAAAACAGTATTTGGATGTCCATATTTGAAATGAAAAGTATTTGGATTTAAAAGAAAACTTTATTAAAGCTTTTTAATGCATACATACAAAATAACTANATATACAACTATTTTAAATATAAATAAAACATATTATCATGAATAGTAATTTTAAGTTTTTTTGTAATACATTTTACCATAAGATGCATTTCGTTAACTCACAAAAAAACTGCCACTTATTCTTTGTGATTTTCCACTAGGTAACTACTTTTAAATTATAAATCAAATAAAAATTCTTAGTATAACATTTATAGATATTTTTTATTAATTTTAGAATTTTAATTGGACAAAAACAACATAATTTAACTCTCAGTCAATCCTGCTTTTAGAAAACTTCATTTCAATTTTTAAATTTCACTTCACAGAAAACCAATTTTCTCAGAAACGTTCACATTTTTTAAAAATATATAGTTAATAAATTAGTAAGTGGATTGGTGATAATGGATTACAAGCAAATGTTTTTAAGAATTAACATACTTCTCACATATTTTTCATTCAAATAAGCATAGAATATGTGCAAATAGGCTTAATATGGCCAAATTTTACGCACATAGCAAGTGTGAATTGATACTGTAAGAATTACTATATGATGCTGTATGAATGATATAGTATATGAATTGATTACAGGCAAATTATACAAATGTTTTTAAGAATTAACATACTTCTCACATATTTTTCTTTCAAATAGGCATGAAATATGTGTAAATATACTTCATATGGCCACATTTTATGAATATAGCATGCGTGAATTGATACTGAGTGAATTATTATATGATGCTGTATGAATGATATAGTATATGAATTGATAAAAAACAGTATTTGGATGTCCATATTTGAAATGAAAAGTATTTGGATTTAAAAGAAAACTTTATTAAAGCTTTTTAATGCATACATACAAAATAACTAATATATAACTCTGTTTTGAAGTCCCTCCACATCAGGTAAACTATCTAGTGTATTTAAAAATTCTATGCTGTTTATTCTAATAAGACAATAAGGTGTACGAAACCCTGGAAAAAAAGATTAAGAAAAAAGCATTACAGAAAAAAAAATCAAAATTTTACATCTATCTTATAACTAATTAAATAAAAGAATTGGCAAAGCTTTAAATGACACATTGAATGAAAATTAATAATTGCTATTTAAAATATACATTCTGCATTTAAAATTATAATATTACTTAGTCGCTCACAGCTTCTTTCAGGATAAGGAAGAAACTTGTTTTTAGGGTTATATATAATGAAGATAGGTAGAATAAACTAATAATGAATGAATCCCTATTAGCATGATAAATTAATAAATAGTAATAATTTAAAAAGTAATTTCTTTCCAGGAAAAAAGCAAAGAAATAACATTTTAGTATAATTTTGTTAAAAACTGTAGTTTAACATACACTGTTCATATAAATCATCACGCATCAGTTATACATGAAAATAACCCATATGCAGTGTGGAAAATGAAAAAAAAAAAAAAAAAAACTGACCACCTTAAATATCTTTTGATCTAATGATCAGATCTTCATGTTCTAGGACTTAATCTTAATGGTTTAAAAGGGTGACCTCAAATATGCTTATTAATTAGTGCAGACAATATTTTGAGTTATGAAATCAGACATAATAACGTACTTTCCCCGAATAAACATACCTTTTTTTTTGACGGATTTGGATTTCTGACCCCCAAAATATAGGGGGTAATGGCAATATGGGAAATACGGCTTCCATAGTTTGGCTAGGAGAGCCATCTAAAGCTTGGACCCCCTAATGTTAATTTTACACACAATTATAAAATTTGTTTATCCAAATATAATTCCATGCAAAATGTACTTTTTAGTAAATATAATATTTTATTTAATAACAGTCAAAAATTTTTTTAATTGTAAAGGTACGTAATTTCTTACATCATTTTAAAGGATGTAATTTTAAATGGCAAAATACAAAATTTGAGCAAATTCGGTCCAATATTTCCCGAGAAATTGAATTTTAAAAATATGGCTGCTTTAAAATTCAATTTCTCTGGAAGTATTCGACCGATTTCTCTCAAATATTGTATTTTATTATGAAAAATTACATTCTTCAAAATGATGTAAAGAATTCCATACCTTACAATTCAAAATTCTTTTGACCATTATTAAATAAAATAATAAAGCTATAATTTTCCTTGGATAAACAAAATTTATTATTGTGTGCAAAGATTTTATGAAAATTTCTCGAGATATGGCGAAATACGCAAAAAATTAAAATAATATTAAGGACTCCAAGCTTTGGACCTCTCTCTTGACCAAACTATGGGACTATATTTCTCAGATTGCAGCTACCCCTATGTTTTGGGTGCCAAAAACTTGGAATCTGTCGGAAAAAAAGATATGTTTATTCAGAGAAAGTACGTTTTGTATCTGATTTCATTACTTCGTCTGCACTAATTATTTAGCACATTATAGGTTACCCTCTCCAACCGTTAAGATTGAATTCGGGAACACGAAGATCCGATAATTAGATCAAAAGTCATTCATGGTGGTTTGTTTTTTATTTCGTGCAGTGTACATAGATATATGAATTTTGAGATATTGAAAAATTGCTGACATAAATTTATAACAATAAAAGTAATATGAGAAACTAATCATATTTCTTTCCTTTTTTTCTGTTGTTTCTGATTAAAAGTGTCATTGCATTTTTACTGCAATTAAATATAATGTATGTCTTTGTAATACGATTAAAAAAACAAATAACAATTTTTTTAAACTTCACTGAAATTTAAAATATTTATATAAAAGTTGTTATACAATTCATAAATCTCCATAAATTAACAAAAGTTAAATAGTCGATTAAAAGTAAGTAGAAATATAAAATATATTTTTATAACTTACAATGTAATCTTCGATATTGTTTAAAATGTCGATAAATAGGTCTTGGAACAATGTAGGTTTTTTCAATAACTGTAGCCTCTATGTGGACTAAATCTTTGCTAAAAAAATACAAATACTCTATTTAAGATTGGCAGTTTTATATTTAGCAACAATTATCTCAGCTTATTACAGAGACAAAAGAAGTTTCCAAAAATCAGCAAAATTTATATGTATAGTGAGTAAAGAAAAAACAAGGTATCACATCCAATAACGTTTGACTTAATTTTTTTCTTTTATCATTTTATAAGATAAAATCATCGATACAAAGGACTTAATTAATTAGAGCTATCTATGTAAACAAGTAGTACTAGTCAATGTACGACAGAACATACGACAAATTTTCCACAAATTTTGTGCCCTTTCAACTAATTTAGTGCCCTTAAATATGGGGCAAGAATTTAGAAAATATGATCCAAATTATTCAGTCAAGAAAACAGTCTAGAGTTTGATCTCTTAAATGTTACTTGTATTTTTTGCATTTTTCACCATAAATTTGCAGTTAATTATGCTCAACATTATTACATCTATTTATAAAACTTGTTAAGTATAATTTAACATAAAAATTTTAATTCAAAAATGATAAAAAAAAATCTTAAATAAGGTAAATAAATTTTGAAAGCTTCTTTAACAAAGAATTTTTCATTGCTAAAATAATATTAAATCTGGCAAGACCAGCTAAATAGTTTTTGCGAAATAAAAAATCAAAATGTATTTTTGAATTGTATCAACCTTGCATATTCTGAGCTTCAAAACTCTAAATCTATTGAAGAAAAAAAAATATATTTAAGCAAAGACATTTTTATGCTTGAATTTGTAACATAATTTATAAATAACATTAAAATTAGCACATTTGAAGCAACTTCTGTAAGCTTTTAAAGGAAAATTCGATTATTAGATCAAAAGTTGTGAAGGGTGATAAGATTTATTTTCTTTTTTGTTTATCTTATCAAAATTCTAAGTTAAAAGGCCAGTTGCTATCATCGGTAAGTAAATTATTTAATTTATACAGAGTGAATGATAACATTTAATTAATTTTCTGATGATAATAGCTCATTTATGTCTGTCTATTTAATACAAAAGTTTTAACATTATTTATACTTAGATAGCGGTTATGAAATGTTAATTTTAAATAATTCTGAAAATTCAAACTAACCTCCCTCAGAATCTCATAAGATTTTTATTAGCACATCCTTATTATAAAGTAAGTTTTCAATAAAAAAACGTGAAATTATCTAAGTTGTTCTAGAAAGCATAAGACTAGATTAAATATGAAAGACTGTTAAAGAATTAAAAAAAGAAAATAAGTTATACAGATAAAATTTTAGAGCATAAAAGAAATTCAGAAAGAAAAAACATATTTTAAACATACTTCAATAATGGTCGTCCCAACAAAGTGAAATCTGTACTCCCCACAAGCAGTACCTGAAAAAAACATGAATTTCAGACAAAATTTAAGAAGATAAATTATTTTTAATTGTTACAACAAGTAACATAAGTTTTTAAATACTGATTAATATGAACATGAGCTCCAAGAAAATTTCTGTATAGTGGCATGATATAATAAAGAGCATTGCTTTGGCACATTTTTTCCTCTTTTTGGAGAAAATTAAAATAATTTTATGAAAATGCTCAGAACCATCATAAGGGCAAAGAAAGTGAAGCTGTTGCCCAAGGCTCCATGCTAATGATGTAATAATTTTTTTTATTATTATTATAGAGTAGAGGGTTTAAAGTGGAATTCAGAAAATTTTAGGACAATACTTTTAAAAAATTTTAAGATAATTTTTAAGGCGCTCAATAATGATTCAGAACATTATTTTCCTACTTAAATCCATAAATTTTAAATTCCATAATTTTACCAGAAATCCATATCAAATATTAAATTTTGATTAAAAATATACCAAGCAACTTCAAACATATAAATTATTCTGGTGAAAAGTGTCAAGTTACAACAGAATTTACAAAAATTTGACATTTGTCGGCTGACATTCGATGTCGTCAGAATATAAGATATATTTTGGCGTGGCTATCATCTGCACAAGAAAATTCTACCATTTTTTAATTAAAAAAAATATTTAAAAAAAGTTGGTGGAGGATTACAAACAATTTTGGCGATTTTTTCGATCATGCCTGACTAACCTAAAAGTACCGAAGATAAACTTTGATTTTTGGTCAACATTTTTGTTGGGTGGAACAGATGGACCAGAATAGCAGGTGTTATCACGTTAAGCACTGTCAGTGAAAAGTTAAAAAAAAAAAAGAAAATATAATAAGAGTTTCAAGAAGTTTTATTAGCCTAAGGCTAAAAATAGAAATTTTTTATTTAGATAAAATTTTGCAAAATATTTAAATCATACATTAAGTTTATATGATAGGTAGAATCAGAATAATATGATATGTGTCATTAATTAAATTAAGAAAACAATAAATTTATTTGATATGTAAAAAAAATTAATTATCTGGTATTTATATCTGAAACATAAAATCGAAACAATGTTATTTATTTTCTAGTCATCAAACAGATAATTATCATTTTATACTTTGTGTGTTTCACTTAATAAAGCAATGTAGAATTTAGAAAAAATACTTATAAATACATTTGCTAACAAGTTAAGGCGGCACAAGTATGATTGAATATTAAAAATGCTTAGATGGTAATTAAAAAATATACAACATTACAGAAAATTTCTATTAATAGAAAAATAATTAAGAAGAAAATTTGGCTCATAGTTGAATTACGCTTTTAAAGAAACTAAAAAATTTGCTGTATTACTCACTTTCTCAAGGCGAATTTTTTCACCGACTTTAGCAGGAAAAAAAGATCCTACTGAGATGATATCTTCAGCAGTAATTTTATACTGATTTTCACAGAACTGAATGACTGCAAACAGGCGACTATGTGCCTTCTCTTTGATTTGTGTATTAATCTTTGAAAGAATATCTGAAAATATAAAATAATTTGTCATAAATTATATAGCATCAGTGTAAATGTTTTATAGAATCAAATGTAAAATTCGTGATTGCTATTTCAGCATTCTGACATCAATAATATTTTTTTCAATAACCTACACTTACTTTAAAAAATATATGTTGTATTTGTATACCAAAAGAATATTTAACTATATACTAACAAATGCTAATTCTAAAGATAGTTGAGTATCAATAAACTGAACATTTACCAAAACTGATACATAAGTTTTAAGCACAAAATATTGTGTAACAAAATAATACTGATATTGCCTGGTATGGTATACAAAAAAAAATCATAAGCCTGACTTTATAATGGAAAAAAAATTGAATTTATGAGTATCTGATAATAAATATAATGTTAAATTTAACAATTTACTGTTCAAAGGAAATTAATTTTATTTTAAGATTTCTTTTCAAATGAAACACAATAAAATTGTTTAAATACAAAAAAAAATTATAAAATTAATAAAACTAAACAACATGTGAATTAAAATGACCAGAACTGCCAAAAATTTAATAATTGTATTAATTTATTGGGATAAATATTGTTATCAACATCTTAAAGAGCTCATTGCAAGGAAGGTTTAATTTTTAATTACTACTTTCGTTAAACAAATTAAAAATGTGTTGAAAAGAAAATCTTTTGTAAAAGTATCCTTTTATTACATAATTTAATTGTAATACAAAAAATGTAAATTTTTTTTATTGACAAAGATTTTCTTATTGCTTTTGAATTATACTTTACAGAGTGATACAGGTAATAGATCATGGTGAATTATCCTCCTGCAAATAAATTTTTAAATAATAAAAGTTTTGTAACTCTACACAGGAAACAATTATAAGAAATACAGGAAATATATGTTTTGGGAATATAGGAATTTCCTGTATTCTTTTCCTGTAATAAAAGTTTCCTGCAGGAAAACAAATAGGAGTATTCTGTCAGCACTATCTATTTTATATTGTTTACACAGTTATTGGAGTTGCTTTACTTTTATAATGAAAGATATGATTAAACGTAAAACAATTAAGCCAAAATAAACAAAATTTAAGATCAAGGAGTCAAACTTCTTTTGCAATGAATGACACTTATACAAGAAGATAAAGATGTAAATTTAATTTTTGAAATAAAACATAGTTGGAAGTTTATTAATTAAATAAACAGAAATTAGCATAATTTAAATTTCAATAGTATAACTAATTCATGAACATAATAAATAAGAAAAGGATTCCTACTTTTTATAAAGCCAACCTAAGTTATCAAACCATATTACTTTTTTCAAAATATTGAATAAATAAATTAAAGAAAAAAAGATTTAAACCTATAATAATGCATTCCTCATGGAGGATTTTATTTTTAATAAACCAATCCATCACAAAGCCCACTAAGAAAATGAAATTGAAGATAAATATCTTAACAACTAGCAAATATTAGTCTTTTTAAAAAGACTATTTTTTTACAATACATCACTGTTTTAAAAAATTTGAAGCACAAACCTTTGGTGATAATTTCAGCTTCTACAGGGTTCACTTCTTCATTTACAGGTTTGGCAATTTTAGAAAATTGAATATTGTTGCTTTTTTCAGGAATATTGTCCTTTGATGTGACAGTAGAAAATTGAACTAAGGAAGGTTTTACCACTTGGTTTATTGACAGCTTGGACACATTTCTCATACCTAAAAAAATGAGTAAAAGTAGTTTAAATAATGAATAATTTAACTTAATTAATCCACAATGGGACACAATTTCCTACAGTGCCTACTATTTATTTGGTCCTTACTTGTTTAAAGGGCTTCAAAAAATCACCAAAGTATAATTGATGTCCATGATACTTAATAAAATGTGGTAATGAACCAGAATAATTCCTGATTACATTTCATGGGACAATAATGATCACCCTAATTTTTATTTTAAAAATTGATCATGATGAATTTTTAAACATGGACAAGAAATCTAGGTAATTTTAGTATAAATATAGACTTTTTGATTAATTGTAATAGGTTGTTTAATTTATAAAATAAAGCATCCTTTAAACTTACTATACTTGCCATTTATAAAACAAATTCTTAAATATGCAAAATTTTAGAAATTTTTTTCTCCTCTTCTTAAAAATAATTAAATATTGTGTAATTTTTTACATATTTCATCGATAAAAAGGCTAAGATTTTGATTAGTTGTTTCATATCTATTGTAAAAATTAAATTTAACAACAGTTAAGTACATCAAACATTACCCTCTATAAGTGTAGTAATTTTTAATCACCAGGGTAATTCGTGATCATTATAATTTCTTGTTATAAATTCAATAAAAAAAATATCAAATGCATTATTTTAGTAATTTTAAGCGACAGTTCATATTTATTAACTGTAATAACAATATTTTATTAGTTTTTTTTTCAAACTTAAAACAAAAAGAAAACATGCGCTCTGATTTACATTATATCTATCATATTTGATCTTGCTTCAATGTTAGCAGATTTTTTAATTATTTATTTTCAAGGTTTTTAGGTACGCTGATATATATGGGGAAAAAATAATAATCTAGAATTAAAAATTGATGATGTAGTTCCAAAAACTTAAAATGAAAAATTATGTGTTAGATTGGCGACTGTAGCACTTACACTTTCCTTCTCAAGTTTATAAACTCTCATTAAATGAAGTTAAAAGTGTGGAAACTATTTCTATATTTCTGTACAATATACAAAAGAGCTGGCTTTCGAAGATGTGTGCCAAAATCTTGATTTCCCCTGTCTCTCAAAGAATTAAAGGAAAGTAACTTAAATTATCTTATAAGCAGCTTAACAATGCTTTGTAAGTTTCTTTATTTAATCTTTTATCTAATCAAATGCTTAGTTTGTTAATATATGATTGTATAATTTGTAAATAGTTGTTTAAGTAATATAAAAATATCCTTTATTAAAAAACTAGAAACTTCAGTAATAAAAAACTATCCTTTCATTAAAACTTTTCCAGTCAGTTTCTAGAAAATGTAATATCACAAACTTTTACAAAAACAATATTATTACCTTTCCCAGATAAAATAATCACTAAGTCAAGGACATTTCATTATAATACAGTTACCTATGTTCCAGTAATTACAACAATTTTGTTGTTAATCGAAAAACGGACTCAGGAATTACACGAACAAACAATTTATAGAATATACGCAAAATTTGAGACTGTAGAAAAGAAGGGAAGTAAAAATAAGCTTTATAAAATGTTTATATGAAAATTTAAAATACTCACATAGTAGAACTTTTAAAGTATTCATCTTTATTACAAATGCGAGACAGATAATTTTAGTTCAATAGTTTATGAAAAAAATATTGTTAGTTTGTTAACCATCAAAGTATATTTTAAATAAATCTAGTTTAAATCTTGAAATGAAAATTTTCATGGACCTATTGTTTATTTATTTTTAAGTAAAACTACAGTTGCAGTTACATCGCCAAAAAGGGCTATTCTCGCTTCTTTCTCGGCTAAATATCCAATCAAGTTCTAATTCGCATATCCAAATTTATATACAGGAGTTATTTTTATACAGTCTGAATGGTACCTAAGGCAATGCAATGGAAGTTATGAAAGCTAAAAGCAAAGAAGAAAAACAAATCAAATGGAATAATATTGTTCAAAACGTACTCGAGCATGCGATGCTCGTTGTTTGAATTATAAGTATGGGTTGGTAGAAAAGAAAAAGAATTTATTCTGGTGTTCAAATTACTTTTAACTGGTATGTTAGCGAAATTAATTCTGTCTCTTAAGAAGCTCATTAAAACCGAAGTTGCATGATTATTATAGTTTTTATTATTATAAATTTATGTAGCTTTTCGCAATTTTAACGTGTATGGTGCAGTTACTTTTGAGGAAGTTAAAAAGTAGAACTTTGAAGAGCCATGATTTTTTTTTTTTTTACACTGAAGTGTTTTTAGTTTCGAATGCCTAAATTAATAATCTAATTTTAACAACATCTAGTGATCAAAATTTTATATTTTCTGCACTGAGGAAGATAAACATGTTACTCACTTTAGTACCCGCGCCTAATTAATCTAAGTTTTGACAACTTCCTGGGAAGATTACCTTATCAATCTCTATTTGTTTAAGACATCCTAGCAAAGAATTGTTTACACCTGTTAAAAAATATGACTGGTCAGTGTCAGGCAAAACGCTTGAAAAATATATAAATTAAAAGATTAAGTTAAGAGACATCACAGAAGAGAATCAACTTCGGTATAACACGTGGTAGTGATATTTCACTATCCCTAAAGGGTTTTTGTATGTGCAAAAGTTAAAAAATATAAGTGTATATAGTAAGTATATGTAAGGGTTTGACTGCATATTATACCCTTTGAGTTAGTCATGGATTGTACCGATACAGATGCAGGGTTCCCACGGTCCTTGAGAGTCCTTGAATTTTTTTTTGCTAAATTTAGGTATTTAGGTCCTTGAAAGTGCTTGAAAAACGTCTTAGGTCCTTGAAAAACTTGATACTGCCGGCGGCCCTTTTTATAAAACACCCGCGGATCTTTCTCGTTCTTTCTGTTTTGTTCCCGAGCTCTCTCACGTGATTTTTAACGGCACCGTTTCTAACCGGGCCTAGCGTCTTGGTGTCTGCCAAGCGCGCGGAGCACAGCAGACAATCAATGCGTTCGGGGCGAGACTCCACTTCATCTTCTGTCGCATATGCTTAGATCTTCTTTTTTCTTATCGAAACTGGAATACTCTCGAATTTCGTAACAATATGTACCTTGTAGTTTTCAATAAATTTGCCGTTTTACCATCCGCACTTGTCCTTACGTTTGCGTCATTTCAAAACTTTATTGTAAAGCGTATTCGCAAAGGCACGGCTTCGTATTTGTGTTATGTAGTTTAGACTAGTTATGCCTGGGAAGTGCTATTTTAATCCCCAATGGATGGATAATCAAGCTTATAAAGAATGGATTTTATCGATGCCCGAAAAGAAGTTCAGAGCCAAGTGCCGATTATGCATGAAGGAGATCGATATCGCGAAAATGGAAGAATCTGCTCTGAAATCACACATGAAAGAAAGGTAAAACAAAAAAGCAGTCTCATGCCCTGAGTTCTCTTTTTCCAAAGACATCAACATCTAATTCATCTGGTGTAAATACTCCTTCAACATCGTGTGCCCCATGTGAAACAGAAACTTTAGTGGCCGAGGTAACATTGTCTTCTTATCTGGTCAAAAGGAATGTGCTTGATGCTGAAATTCTCTGGAGTCTGAAGTGCATCACTAGTAATTATTCATGTAACTCCTGTGAAGGGATTAGTAAATTGTTCTCCAAAATGTTTGCTGATAGCTGTATAGCGAGACAATTTTTTTGTAGTGCCACAAAGTGAGCCTATTTGGGCTCCTTTGGATTGGCACTATACTTCAAAGGGATTCTTATAAATGAGCTGAAGAATGTTGATTGCTACACTGTACTCTTTGATGAGACGTTAAATCAGTCTCTACAATCTAAGCAGATGGACATTATGGTAAGGAATTGATAATAAAGTTTGCACTAAGTATCTTACCTCCCAATTTATGGGTCATGGAACTGCAGAAAATATTTTGTCCTCTTTTTACAAATGCATGGATGATGGTTAAAAGCTCTCTAAAATACTTCAATTATCCATGGATGGACCCTATGTCAATTGGAAATTCTATTAGAAGCTTCAGTGTGAATTAAAAGAGAAATATTCCCACCAGGTCATATTCATTGGCAGTTGTGGATTACACATAACGAATAATGCTTTTAAACATGGTGAAAATGGGATATGTTCCTTCTAATTTTTATTTTCAGAAAGAATTGTTGCTGCATAACATTTAGAGAAGGTTGTGTAAATTATGGATGAATAATTTCAGAAACGATGTTTAATAGAGGAGAGGAGGGGGTTATGGAATAGTCATGGAATATGGAATACCTAAGATTTAGCTCTGTCTTTCATGCAGCCTTCACATGGAAATACACAGGATTAAAGGATTTCACCATTAACACCTCATTACCATTAGTTATAGATTGTGCTGAAAATGATTTTGTGAATTAATATGTAAAACCAGTAGGGTTGTTTTTAAAAAAATATAAATTTTAGTCCATAATACATATACTCTCTTCTCTCTATATAGGCAAAGCATTTAGGTATTATATTTGAAATTAATTATTGCCACAACAAGCATTGTTGCTTCTAGTAAAATAGAAGAGAATAATTTTTAAAATTGGTCTTAGTGTGGTAAGTTAAAATCCGAAGTGAAACTTTTAGAAATATGAACTGAAACTTATATGTTAGCGCATGCGCGCATCCATTGGATAACCTCCCCCAAATACTTCTAGATTAGTTGGCCTTTACGTACGAGATCTGGATGTAAGATGTTATGTTTGTCTGCTTGTTAATTGTATACCATTGTTGATGTTGTTTTGTTGAATAAAATATGTTATTAAATAGTGCTGGTATTATCCTGGACCTTCTAATCAGTGACACTTAGATTAAGGTCCTTGAAAATTTTGTTGAGGTCCTTGAAAAGTCCGGGAAAGTCCTTGAATTTCAATCTCATCATAGAGTGGGAACCCTGAGATGTAGCTGGAGAATCTGAAACTTAGGAAAACCAGTATAGCCCAACATTTTTTCCTCACTTTTTGTAAGTTTAAAATTTTTTGGTGTCTTGGGAATTGTAGTTAATGCAAACATGTGCCAAAATGGAAATTATTTTTTGTTTATACATTTTTTGTTTATACCTAATATTTTGTACTAACTGCCATCTTTTTGTTAATAGGTCAGGATGTTCAAACAAAGCACTATATCGACTCAGTACCTGAGGTCTGGAAGGATTGCTGTTACAATAATCGATGTAAGATTACATTTTTCAATTTCCTAAGTGATTAAATTTTAAAATTCTTATTTGAACTTTGCTAGCTATGATAATCGCTGTTACAATAATATAACTGTAACAATAATCGATGTAAGATTACTTGTTTGAACTTTGCTTTCTGTCCTTTTTTTTATAAAATTTACTGCGAAGCTACTCATATCCCTTCTTTTATTGTACACTTCTATTGTACACAAAATCACCAATTATAAAAGTTAGACATATTTTTAAATATATAAAAAATTAAGTTTGTTTAGTTTGCATTTAATTTATCATTAAAATTAGTTAGCTTTAAAGCTTGTTTGTTTAAGATGCTTAGATTCTTCAGAAAAAGTTTTTCTTTCTTCTAATTTAACTTTTAACTCTAAAGATAAACCATAATAGTATCATCTTTAGTGCACTCTGGCTGCAGCATGAGGTTCTAGATCTCTTTCAGAGATCATTTAAAAGAGCTCTATAAATAAGAGTCTCACACAAATATTTTGAAAACATTTTAATCTGCTTTTTTTTTTCATTAATATTTTTTTTGGACATTTTAGTGTTTCCTTAGTCAACCTTTTCTGCATTTGTTGTGAGAATTACCTGGTTGCTGGGAACAGTTTTGATGGTCTCTTTCGAAGGTTTTTTTCAAAACAAAGTTTATAAGGAAAAATTTAGTGCTTTCCAAAAGTGGTCGTAAATAGAGGATGTTAGTTTGTATAGGACAGAGGTGGGGAACCTTTTTACCATTAGGGGCCACATTTAAATTAGGCAGCAATAAGAGAGGCCGCATAAGCTGATTGACCTAAGAAAGTGACTTTTGTGAAATTATTATAGTTTTTCTATAGATTTAACAATTTATTGCATTGTATAGAAAAAATAAAATATAATACTACAAAATTTTAAATATAATATACATATAAAATAATAATATAAAAATATTATAAAAAAATACAATAAAAAATATTTTTTTATTAACTAAGTTAGTGATTTATTTGGCTTTGTTTTTTGTTTGACAGTAATTGTATATTTGGATCAAGCTTCGTAACACACAGCTTTAATTGATCCTCTAAATGTGCATCTGTAATTTGCGTTCGTAAATTTGTTTTTATTTTTGACATGAGAGAAAATGTTGTCTCGCAACAGTAGGTATTTCTGAAGCAGGAAAGTAAACGTCGAGCATGTTCTGGAAGGCATGGATATTCAACAGCATTTTTCCAGATTTCTATGGGATCCTTTTTAGCGTTAAAAAGGGATTTGATGATACTATCTTCCCCTAAATCAATTAACTCCATTTGTAGTTCTGCAGGAGCCTCCGATATATCTATTAAGTGTGGTTCAAATGCCAGTTTCATAGCAGGAGTGTGCTCGTCAAAATCACAAAATCTTTTAGTATACTCTTCTATTAAACAATCCAAGACACCTACATATTCATCGAATATTTTATTTTTACAGTTCTGCTCATTTAACATTTTAGCTAGCTCCGGGAAGTGTTGTGCAGATATTTCCGATCATCAAAGCAATGTTTTGAAAAATGATAATTTTTTTCTAAACGCTTGGATCTTTTGCCACATTTCATAAATATACCTCGTTTCTCCTTGCAGGCAAATATTTAAATTGTTTTGTTTTGTCATCATATCAGACAAAAATGTAAGGTTTCTGAGAAATACTTCATCTGATAGATCACATTGTTTTCCTTGTTCTTGATAAAAGTTTAAAATTTGTCGTCGTAAAGACAAAACCTTTATCAAAACCTGACCTGTTGATAGCCAGCGAACCTTGCAGTAGTATGGTAGGTCAACACTATACGTTTCCTCATCTAAAGAGAGCATCTGCCGAAATTCACGATGACGCATTGCATTTACGCGAATATAGTTGACAATTGCAATGGTTCTATCCAGAGTGTCTTGCAAAATGGTAGATTTTGCGCAAAGATTTTGCTGATGCAAAATGCAGTGAAATGATATCAATTTTTTCAAGTTTAAGTTTTCCTTTTTTAACAAAGCAACGAATCCTTCTTTTTTGCCTCTCATGGAAGGTGCGCCATCGGTGCAGACACTGACTAAATTACTGACATTCAATTGTAATTTATTACATACTTCTTTGAAGATTTCGGAAATATCGGCTCCGCGAGTTCTTTCAGTTAGTGTACCCAACGCAAGTAGTTCTTCGTAACATTGAAAATCTTTAGTTATAGCACGAATAAAATATAAAACTTGTGCCGAATCTGTTTTATCAGTGCCTTCATCTAAAGCAATTGAAAAATAAACATCTTCATTTTGTATAATTATATGAAGTTGCTCTGTTACATTTTGCGCTAATTCGTGCTGTCGATCTGTTACAGTTCTTTTTGAAAGAGGTAATTGTTTGTATTTGTCGACATTTCTTAGATCTAACATATTCACTGCTTCAACAATACATTCTTTAATTATTTCAATGTCACTAAATGGTTTGCCCCTTTTTCCAAGTACATGTGCTATTTTATACGTAACAGCAACTTTAGCGGAATTTTGATTTACAAAGGCACTAAAAGATGCCTCCTGATGATACTTCTCATTTTTCAACTTTTGAAGTGCAGCTTTTCGTGATTCACCTTCTAAAGCGAAATATTTATGTTCTTTATGAGTCAAATAGTGTTTATTTGCATTCGCTTTTTTTAAAGTATTTAAAACTGTATTGCACAACAAACACATCATTTTATCTTTCTCAGCAGTAAAGAAAAAGTCTAACTCCCATTCTACATTAAATGTTCTGTTTTCATCACCTAATTTTCTTCTCTTACTATTTGACATGATGGATAAAAAAACGAATATCAAATAATATCTTTAACAACTGTTATAAGCCCTGTAACTGTTATAAGCACGCACTGTTAACTACAGTTTGCTGAAGATGGCAACAGGGAAGCGTTGAGAGATGCGAGTCAGAGAAGCCAAAGCAAGGTGTGACACTCAAATGGGAGATCTGAAACCAACAAATTTTGTAAATAGTATTTTGTAATTTTAATTTATTTTCAAATATATATTACATAGAACATTATTCGTTTCTTTTAGATATGTAAATTACATAAACATTGTGGAATTTTCAGAAAAGGAATTTGTGGAATTTTCAGTCTTTGGCGGGATTTTTCGCGCAACTGTCATGGCGTTGATGTACACTAGTTGTTTTTTGAAACGAACTCTACCATTTTGTACTAGGTGACAAAGGGCCGCACAAGAACCTCGCGGAGGCCGCAGGTTCCCCACCTATGGTATATGCCAATAAATTATAGCGTTCCTTATTTCTCGCTATGAATTTGGAATATTTATTTATTGATATTTACCATGGGCAGGTATATATTCCCCATATATTCCCCATATAATGTCATTGTATGAATTTGATATGGGTCAAAATTTTACAAATAAGATTATTATTCCTTTATTACATTACTAAGTAATCGCCAATATTATCTGATTGTGAGACATTCTTTGATAATTAAAAAAAAAGAGTCTTCGGATGAAATTTCATTGTTAAACGAGCAAAATGATAATATTTATTTTATCTAGAACTCCAAATAAACTATTTCAGAACTAACAAAAAAACAAATTTTTGTTAAAATACCCCCTTTTAATATTAATGACTTCAATTGTGAAAAATTTTATTGAATAAAATTTGTGGAATTGAGAAAAAAAATGGAGCAGCTTGAATGGTGCAATAAGTTTAAAGTAACAAATATTGCTAGAGTATTCGAGATATTGAATAAGAATCGACCTTTTTAACAACTTGAGATGAGTTAAATCTCATAAAGGAAACTAGAAAAAGTGCCCGTAGCGGGATATATGAAAACTCACCCGTAACGGGATAGATAAAATATCAAGGCACTCTAGATAAACCCGTAACGGGTAATATGAAAACTCAAATTCCGCACAAAACTAATTCTAAAAAATCAACAACTTTCTGGTGTTCTAATTTTATCGTCTGCTTTTATTATTTGTATTTCGTCATAAAATATTTCATTGATGTGCGCATGCGCTTCTTCTCCGTTACATCGTACCGAAGAAAAAAAATTGAAGCCCATTTGAGAGGCACAGGGAACCGGTAAAATCCTTTCGTACCGCGCATTGACTCGCGTTTGCTTTGGTGCCTTTCATTTCTTGTGGTGCCTCTCATTTTTAAAGGCACATTAGTTATGTGCCTCTAACGCGAGAAAATNGTAACAGCAACTGCAGCGGAATTTTGATTTACAAAGGCACTAAAAGATGCCTGCTGATGATGCTTCTCATTTTTCAACTTTTGAAGTGCAGCTTTTCGTGATTCACCTTCTAAAGCGAAATATTTATGTTCTTTATGAGTCAAATAGTGTTTATTTGCATTCGCTTTTTTTAAAGTATTTAAAACTGTATTGCACAACAAACACATCATTTTATCTTTCTCAGCAGTAAAGAAAAAATCTAACTCCCATTCTACATTAAATGTTCTGTTTTCATCACCTAATTTTCTTCTCTTACTATTTGACATGATGGATAAAAAAACGAATATCAAATAATATCTTTAACAACTGTTATAAGCCGTGTAACTGTTATAAGCACGCACTGTTAACTACAGTTTGCTGCAGATCGCAACAGGGAAGCGTTGAGAGATTCGAGTCAGAGAAGCCAAAGCAAGGTGTGACACTCAAATGGGAGATCTGAAACCAACAAATTTTGTAAATAGTATTTTGTAATTTTAATTTATTTTCAAATAAATATTACATAGAACATTATTCGTTTCTTTTAGATATGTAAATTACATAAACATTGTGGAATTTTCAGTCTTTGGCGGGATTTTTCGCGCAACTGTCATGGCGTTGATGTACAGTAGTTGTTTTTTGAAACGAACTCTACCATTTTGTACTAGGTGGCAAAGGGCCGCACAAGAACCTCGCGGAGGCCGCAGGTTCTCCACCTATAGTATAGGAGGTTGTTACATATAGGGGGACTTTCATGGCGATTTCACTGCTTAAAAAATGTAGCTTATAATGAATGAAATTTTATAAGTATAACTATAATTGAAAACATCATAATGTGTTTCAAACTATTTTACTATGTTGAGATGCATACTGTCAATAATTTTATACTAGTGCATAGAAATGTATACTTCAAATTTGTTAATAACTGAAAAGAAATGCATTAATTATTAACCCTCTAAAACTGGCTAAATTAAAAAAAAGTCACAATTTTGATTTTGTAGATTTTTCTTTAAATTTTAGATTTTTTTTATTCTCTTTTTTTTTCACCTATAAAATTTTTTATAGTATAGTATACAAACACTTATATCTGGCGTCTATTTTCTAGACACTTTTTAGCAATCAAAAATAAGTTTTTTTTTCTATATTCACGATTTGTTAAAAAAAAATAGTATTAGTAAAAAAAATATTTCTTGTTGCTGCTTTTGGGATAGCTAAATATTTATTCTGTCTCTAAAAGCACATTAAAAAAGTTGTTTAAAATACAAGTAAAAGAAAAATAATCTTGTTTCACCGAGAAGAATATAACTATGAATATTTAAAAGCTGCATATTAATAGTGTTTGAAAATAACACTAGCAAACAAGCTTTATTTTGCTTCAAATTATGAATGTTTTCATCTAAATATCAATTTCTCTGTCTTAAATTAATTTTTCTTTAAGTTAAGCAGATTGTTTTACTTATAAATTATATCGGATTATTTGCTAATTTAATTCCGCACATCAAATTGAAATAAAAAAGTAGAAGGAAATGTCTTTATTCGTGAAAGAGAAAGCTCAAATTTTCTTCTGCTCACTTTTATTTATTTTTTTATGCAAAAATGTTTTCATTTTTAACAATTTGTTGATTAAATGTGATTTAACCTGTCAGGAAACCTTGTTGTATAAAATTGACATCAATAATCATCTGTTATTTTTTTCTTGAATATAATGCATTAATTTAATGTTTTTTTTTTTTACATTAAAGACCTATTATCTTACATTAAAGACCTATTATCTGAATGTTGTCCCCCATTCTGGATATGGTACATTCAACTACATTTAAAAAATTACATGAAATTTTCACTTTGTTCTTAGTTTCTATTTGGAGAAATCCAAAACAGGTTATAAAAGTTCAAAATATCATTATAAAAATGACATTGAGTACTAATGTAATTTTTCTAGTTGAACACAGCAATAAATTTTAAAACTTCATAAATCAATAAAAATTTTAAGCCCTCCAATTATGCACTTAGCAAATTTTTAAATTGATAATATCTCATATCTTGGAAAAATGCATTAGATTTAAATTTAGCTGATTGGAATCAACAAAACATGGTTGTAACTTTTTTAAAATTATTTTAGTAATAATTTATTTAAGATTTTCAAACTCATTTCTGATATTCGTATGTTTTCTTATGGCAGAAACCAGTTAGGCAGACCTACTATCTCTGCCTTTGTTACTCATCAATACATATGCACATTCATATGTATTGGTTAATAACAGTGAAATTTTCTCCCAACAAATGTCTAGTTATGTAGCCTTTTTTTTATTTTGTAGACGTTGAGTAAAGTTTATTAACATTTATGTTTTGCTCTAGGTAAAAGATCCTGCACATTATGTTGTTAAAGAATATGCAAGTATCGGAGCCTCGCTTCAAGTTATTAAATTTATTGAAGTTGAAGAAACGATGCAAAATTATTATAGATCTATAGAATTGCCATTTAGCCAAATTCCATTAAAGGATACAGTAAGTGCAAATGTGCATTGAATCATGCATTTTCTACATCTGTAATTATTCATAATACTCTCTGAAAGAAGAGAAGAAAAAATTTCTTATAACTTAGCATTTAATATTTATTTGTTAGTTATTAATGTACATTACTACATTGTATAATAATGCTGTCTACATATATATATATATAGTTTTAAATGCTTTCACTCTACAAAAGTATATTATAAGTTTTGTAAAAAATATAGCTTTCTTGAAGTAAATCCAATGAAAATTAATCTTACTTTTTCCTATTCTTTTCTTTTTTAATTCTTAAATGTATGTATGTTAATTATTTTCTAAATGCTTTACTTTTTAAGATACAATAAAATAATATTTCTTTATTTGTTTTTATGATTTTTTACTGTTTTCAGATTGTGATTGTTTTGTTTAACAAGAAGTTCTTCCGTGCTCAAGTTCAAAGCATAATTAATACAACAAGAGGATATACTTTTAAGTAAGTTATGTTTGTGCCTAATACCAGTGGCCATGCTTTCATATGTGTGTATATTCACACAAATTAAACAATATTTTTCATTTATTACAGAGTTTACCTTTTGGATTATGGGAAAGAATGCACTGTACCTCGCTCTTGGTAGGATTTTTTTATTAGTGTCTTATTTTTGGGATTTGGTTATTGCCTTTATTTTTATATTCAACAATGATGAAATTTGATTTGCTTTGCTAGTTAAACCATTTTTGTCATAAGTCGAAAAATATTTGTGTCATTGATATTGCCAGTGTTTTACCTATTCAAATCAAGAAATGTAATGTGTGAGTCTAATTTAAATTTCTATTCAGTTTTCTCATAGCCTCTTTTCTCTCTGATTTGGTTCAAAAATTCAGTACTAATTTTATTTTTACCTTACTTGTCTTAAAATTGTTGAAGGTGATTCTATGATAAATTTTTGATTTATTATAGATTTTATTTTGTTTTTTGGAATTTTTTTGTTTTTTGATAAACAAGTTCTTGATTCTATTTTTTTTTCTTTTGTTGCTGTGCAGTTGTTTTATACTTAATTATGAATTTTTTATATTTTTATGAACATATATTAAATGGATATATTGTTTTCAATTAAAATCAAATAATAGTGTGTGAATAGATTTATTGAATATCAAATTTGTTTATGAATAAACATAAACATTTATAAACCTATAGTGTAATATGGCACTTAACAAACACACTCTTGTTATTTACTATTTGTAATTACTATTATTATTTTCAGTGTATATGAAATTAATTCTGATTTTTTGGCACATCCTTTCCAAGCAATTACTTTTAAACTATTTGATGTTGAACCAATTAGCTTAGTTGTGAATTCAACAGATTTGACTCTATCTTATGGGTAAGTAATATTTGTTTTGAATGTTTTACCAGATTTATGAATTTTTGTTTTTTCATAGAATATTTCATGATTACCCATATTTCATGATTTAATTTGAACTTAATTCAAATTAAACTGTCTTTACTTTTTAATGTGATGATTTGTTTAATAATACAATAAAATTGTGATATTATGAACACTTGGAACTTTTTATTGCCTTAGTTTTATTAGCTTCAATATAACTACCAACTCAACTGAATTTTTAGTAAATTACTGGATAATTGCAATTTCTCCTGTTTTAAAAGTTCTCTTGGTTTTTGTATACTTTTAGAAAATTCCTTTAAGTTGGAGAATTGTATATTTTTGTAATTTTAACTGATTGATTAGGATAAAAGGATTATCAGGGACATCAAATTTTATCAACCCTATGTCTGATTTCTCTGTCTTTTGTTAATGAATTATTGTGAATGCTGGTCATACTAAGGTTATTTTCATGTAAGTTAATGAACTAAATTATTGATTATCTATTTTCAAGTTTAGTTATATCTTTTGCTTTTATTGATTGGAAAATGAAATGCAACAGATTAAGGCAGTTAAGATGAAAAGTAATAATAAATTTTAAAAAAGTAATAACTGACTTCTATTTAAATATATTGAATTTCAATGAGAAATTACATTATTCTACAAAAAGTGAACAGTTTTGTCAATGTAACTATAAGTAAAAAAATTCTTATTATCAATTGAATATTTTTTGAAAGAGCGGTAAGTTTGTTAAAATTATGGAATTAAAATTATGGTGACATGCCATAATTTGCTTGGATCATTGCTTTTTCTCTCTCTCATGTTTCCAATTTTGTTTAACTATTTAATTGTTAATGCTATTGATGTGATTTTTTTTTCTTCAGTCCTGTAGATTCATGGGATCCTTCTTCTGTATCTTATATTACAAATATGAAAAGAGGTAATTCTATTTTCAACAAAACATCTTATTTTAAAATCTTTTTAAGCAATTGATACTTCCAACTTTGACTTTAAATATTGAATTAATTCTATCTGTGCTATCATTGAATATAGTGTTATTCTTGTTTTAGGGGGAAAAAATCAAAATAATCAGGTTGTAAAATTAGAATTTATAAAAGATTTTAGGATCCCTGCAAAGATATGTCTAGGAAAAAATTTTTTAGTCTGATTGCTGCATATAAATTTGAATTTTCAAAGTTTTCATTGAAAGTTATTCCAGAATTAAGAATAATTATCATAAGTATTTAAAGTACCTTAAATTAAAGATATAAAGTACCCAGGTTTTTATAGCTTTGGGAAAATACCCTGGGCATTTACCCATGTAAATACCCAAAATTCATAAATACCTGGATATTTATGAATTTTATTGAAAATTCAAAGATTATGTTTTTCTTTTGAGCTTTTGAAAAACTATGTATATTTAGGGTATAATTAAGTTTTCCTTTCATTGTCTATAGTTATTTATTTACTAAGAGGAAAAATTCCTTCATTTGAATATGTAAATTATTGGAATCATTGTTCTTTTTAGTTTTGAGAGTAGCTGTGGTTTAATAATCTTAAAGTTCACAGTTCTATTCATAATTTTCAATACATATGGTTTCAAAACTGACTCCTAAATTATTATTGCTTCTAATCAGATGCAGAACGAAACTGCTTAAACAAAATATCAAATGATTTTAAACTTACACTAAAAAAAAAAAATTATAATTTATTTTATTGTAGTTATTTTAAAAAAATAAAAAATTGGATATGAAATTTATAGTTTTATTTTTATCACTTATATTAAATTTATATAACTGATAGAAATGAACTCATTTAAGAAATTTTAAACTTATTCCCTGCACTCATTCGTTTCTTCTATTTCATCCTTCTCATAATTCATTTCTTCGATTTTATTGTCTTGGAAAAAAATGATTTTTTCTTGGAAAGTGTTTAACCTTCACATAAATCACTTAACATAAAGTTTTGTTTGTGATACTGCACAATGCAAACTTTTTTACATTAATATTTAGTGACTGCAAACTTTTTTACATTAACTTTTCTCCTCTGCAGAGTATTTATAGTTTTTTGTAATATTTTGGTGAATTTATACATCTTTGAGTTTTGTTGTTTATTTTTGAAAATAAAAGATGTTGTATTATTTCCAGAACTATAACCAAGATTAATGATGGTTATGTGCTTTATAAGGGACAAAAAATTATAAAAACCCTGATTTTGGGTATTAATCTAAGGCGGAGGTAAATACCCATTTGTGAATACCCTACTCACTGTGTATTTACCCGACCAACATCTATACTTAAAATATTGTGCTACCTTTCTTTTTTTAGGAAATTAAGTTCTTGTTCAACCTTAAAATATGTAGAAAAATTTCTTAAGCAGAATCAATATGACTATTAATTATAATGAAAGCAGTTTTTTTTTTATACATATTTTTATGTTAGTGGCTTCACAGAATGCATTTTCTCTTGTTGTTCAATGGATGTGGTTGGATAAATGGACTAAAATAGCCTGCCCTAGTATTCTATGGTTGATGTGTATTTGTAATTTTTTAATGGTCATTTAAAATGCTTGACTATATGTAATGAAACAGGGATGATTGTATTCCAGTATACTCTGGAATTCCAGATTTTTCGTATTATCCCTCCAGGTCTAGGAACTAGGAGCAGGGCATGTGATTTTTTAATTATTGTACAATTAAGTAAAATTCGTACATCGCGTTTTGTATTCACGTGATTTAAAAATCCAATATCGTGATTTGTATTTGCACATTTTTGATCTCAATGTCGTGATTCATTTTCACGTGAGTTTAAAGTCCAATGTCGCTAGTCATATTCATGGGATTTAAAAATCACACATCATGACTCATATTTACGCGATTTAAAAATCCAAAATTGTGATTTGTGTTTTCGCATTCTGAAATCCAACATTGCAATCCTTGCAAAAATTAAGTTTTCTTCTTAAATTAATTGCTATAAAAGTATGATATTTTTTATTGGTAGGTAATTTAAGTATAAATCTTAGTTCAAAGAGTTATATTAAATATGAATAGTATAGAAATTGATATCTTGTTATCCAATTTTTGAACCACATAAAATCTTCAGGGTTTTTCACTTTGTGTCACTATCACCCCTAATAAACAACTAATCTTTTTTTTTTTTGTAAATGTAGTTATTTTTAATCTTTTTTTCCCCTTCTTCCTTGAACTTAGATATGGAGGAAGCATATATTGAAGTAAAAGGTGTTGAAAAAAATATGCTTGTTGGATCTCTTTATGTTACTCTTTGTGATGGTGAAGTTATTTGCGTTAATGATGAACTGATTGGGAAACAATTTGCTCGTGCTTATCCTGATAGTTCAGAACTAAGTATGTTTAAAAGTTTTTTCTTTTTACTTTTTTTTATGTTTAACATACTGAAGATCTAAAACATTATGACCAGTTACTCAATAATATGTTGTGTCACCTTTCTAATTAAAAACAGCTGCAACCTTCCTTATGTATGCTACTAGATATTGGTAGATAAATGGAAGCAGGTTGTACAAATTTCTTAAGCAGTTCCAATCTAGCTGTCATGTCAGTTCCGTGATACTCGCTCCAAGTCTTCGATCCATTACAATCTGCCCTCTGTCAAATTCTCTTAAATCAGTAGCCTTTTCCATCACTCGTTAGAGTGAATGCAAGAATGATTGCTTACATTCTCCAGCAGCAGTTAAATACCGTTGCAACTTAATCACATGCCCTTTACATCATCCAAAGGAGTTCATTAGCAGATGTGGAGGAGGTCGTTATAGTTCATCAATGTACGGTGCTCAATAAAGAAACGGACCACCCTGATTAACTTTTGATCTAAGTATCAGATTTTCATGTTCTAAGACTTAATCTTAATGGTTCGAGGGGGTGACCTCAAATATGCTAGTTAAAAAGTGCATACAATATTTTAAATTATGAAATGAGGCACAAGACGTACATTCTTTGAATAAGCATGCTTTTATTTTCAACATCAAATTTTGTCAGGAGAGCACTTCAAAGTTTGGACCCCTTAATGTTAATTTTACTTTATATATACAGTAGAGTCTCGAAAATCCGAGGTAATTGGGGCTGTCACTACCTCGGATTACTGAAAACTCGGATTTTCCGAAAAAGTAGAAAATTTTTAACAACTACAAATGAAATTAAATAAAATGAGCATATTACCTTAAAATCCTTTATTCTTTAGTATAATGACGTAAAAGATTCTCTACAATTTAAAAAAATTGTCAATTTTTTGTTGCTTCAGTATATTACTTCTCTTTGTTGATGCGATAGTCAGCCAACTCTTCAAAAGCAAAACATCTGCAGGGGTGGCTTCAGTTTGCTGTTCTACATATTTTAAGGCTAGTTCTAAGGCTGCAGAATCTTCACTATGAGACTTTTTTTCTTCTGATAACGGATAGTCGTTTTCTTCTGTTTCATATTCTTCCTCATCTTCCATTATTTCTATAATACTTGAGTCTGTTATTTCCAGCTTGTCGTCACTATTTAGCCATTCATTTAGATCAACTGCATTAGAGTTTTCGCAGCCTGGTAATTCCTTCACCAAATCTTTCAAAACAATTGTTTCACTATCATCATCATTAATTTTCTCAATAGGCGTAACCAATTCAGGTAGAAACTTAGTCCACGATTTAATTACTGTCGTAGGTTGAACTTATTCCCAAGAATCTGCTACCCAGTAGACAACATCTCTCAGACTTACATTCCTCAAAACATCCGCAACACTTTCATAGACTGAACTAAATGTTGTAACAAACGGTGTCGATATTTTTTCTTCAAATTTTCCAATATGCCCTGATCCTTTGGCTGAATCAAACTTGTAACATTGGCAGGAAAAAATATAGCACGGATTTCACCACAACGTAGCTTATCATCATCCGCATGAGATGGAGCGTTATCTAAAAACAAAATTGCTTTGCAAGGCATTTTTTCTCAATGCCTTCCGTGTTTCTGGAACAAAATGTTCTAGAAACCACTGTTTGAAAATTTCTCGATTCATCCATGCACTTTTCTGATTTGTGTAATGTACTGGTAAGGCTTCTTTAGTGATGCTTTTTAAGGCTCTAGGCTTGGCAGATTTCCCAATCACAGTCAGTTTCATTTTATGATTTCCAGATGCATTGGCGCATGCTAAAATAGTTAATCGTTCCTTCCGTTTTTTGTGACCTGGAGCTGAATTTTCCTCTTTTGAAGCAAGGGATTTTGAGGGCAACATCTTAAAGTTCAAACCTGTTTCGTCACAGTTATATAACTGGTCAGGTGTGAGCTTTTCCGTCAATATAATGTCTTCAATCCGTTTTTGAAATGCCTGCACAGCTGACGTATCTGCGAGAGTATTTCACCGCAAATATTTAGTTGACGTACACCATATCGTTTTTTCCTACGGTCTAACCAACCAACGCTTGCTGCGAAATCTTCTTCTCCTTCTTTGAACTGATTTCTGAAAAACACAGCTTTTTCCTGAAGAATAGGGCCACTTATAGGAGTACCTTTGCTACGCTGTTGAGTAAACCAAAGAAATAAAGCCTTGCTAGTTTTCTCATAGTCTGATGTTCTCATAAATTTTCTTTTTTCTCATGGAGTCTCATTGCACTTCTGTGAACAAAACTGCTCAATTTTTATTCGATTGCGGCGCCAGTCACCAACTGTTACCTCTCCAACACCCAAATTGGTAGCAACACTTTTTATTGTTTCACCTGCATCTAATATTTTTATAGCGTTCAATTTAGTTGTCATAGATACAAATTTTCTCTTATTTTTTCCACTCATTTTCGCAGCAGGCACCTTAATGCAACACTTTCAACAGCAATAAGTTTCCAAAATGATAAGGATCAAGCACGTGTATTGAGTCCCTAGCTAGCATCTAAGCTACTAGTACAATTGAACTTGGAAGAATAAAACTCTTGTAGATCTGGTTTGAAAATTCCTTTCAAACCAACCCCTACCTAGCCACCTTCCAAAACAAAGAGAACAAAAGGTGATGGCTTACTGAAATTCTTTCCAGGAAGAAACGAAAAATAACACTTGCATTCTTTCGGTTGCGAGAGGAAATGGGAAGACCGCTTTTGGTTGCTAGTGGTAAAATTTGGCACCTCGAATTAAGCGGAACCTCGGACTTCTGAGACTCGAACTTTCGAGACTCTACTGTATTTCGCTATAACCCAAGAAATTTTTATGCATACTGAAAATTTTTTATACTCAATTATAAAATTCGCTTATCCAAAGATAATTCCATACAAAAATTAACCTTTCGTAAATATTTATTATTTTATTTTATGATGGTTGAAAAAAGTTTGAATTGTAAGGTAGACATATTTTGCATCATTTTAAAGAATGTAATTTTATATAGCAAACTACAAAATTTCAGCAAAATCGGTCGAATAGTTTCTATCCCGGTGGCAGAGTCGCAGTGGCACAGCGACTTTGTCGCAGAACGTTACTGAGTTCTTGCAGAAAGATTTTTCTTTTGAAAAGTAAAAAAATATTTCTTTTCAACCGAAATTTTCATGAATTATGCATTTAGATAATCACTTTTTGACACGCTCAATTTATGCCAATAGTATTGTAAATCGATGTAATGTTTCAATTGTATTTTCGGCAGTTATTGATATTGATTTTCATGTGAATTTTAAATATCTTGATATGTTTCTAACAATATGGAAAATTATAATCATGTATTTGAATATTTACTCTTTAAGGCAATAATTCTATAGAAATTTTGGCAGCTATTGCTATTGATTTCTCCATAGTCTTTAAATTCGATTTTTCTTTTATCTGATATTATTTATTACAACAACATAATCTCGAAACGAAACACGCATTTGAGGAGTCCGATTCACGTGATTTCGTCATGAATCTTTTTTTCGGCAATTACTACCACGGATTTCATGATATTTGATTTTTTTTTTTTTAAGCTGTGATTATTTACAAAATGTGAAGGAGGACATAATTTTTGCCCTGAATTGAATTTAAAAGAAAGTCAGATACTTAAAATTCGATTTCTCAGGAACTATTCGACCGATTTTGCTCAAATTTTGTATTTTGCGGTATGAAATTAGATTCTTTAAAATGATGCAAAAAAAAAATTTCGACCATTCTTAATTAAAATATTACAAATAATAAATTTTTAATAAAAGTTATTTTTTGCGTGGAATTACCTTTGGATAACTGAATTTTATAATTGTGTGAAAAATATTTTAAATTCACTTAAAAAGTTCTTGAGATATAGTGAAATATGCAGGAAGTAAAATTAACATTACTGGTTCCAAACTATTGGGACCATATTTCCCAGATCTCAGCTATATTTTTGGTGTCAGAAATCTGAATATGTAGAAAAGAAGGCGTGTTTATTCGGAGTAAGTTCCCTTTTGTGTCTGTTTTGTAGCCTAAAATATCATCTGCACTTATTAATTAGCATACCTGGAGTCACCCCCTCGATCTATTAAGATTGTGTCCTAAAACATAGAAATCCAATCATCAAAGATCAAAAGTTATACACAGTGGTCCTTTTTTTTTGCTCAGTGCACATAGTTAGCATTCCTACTATGGTGAGGTATAGTTAAAAAATTTTTGTTGTATTTCTGTAATAATAATTTTTCTGTATAATTTTAAGTTTGCATTTTATAAATCTATGCATATTTCTGTCTTAGATAGGGAGTATTTTACAGGTAGAAAAAACTTCTTATACATTTATATAGGTTACTACTTTTAAAAAAATTGCAGTTTCAATCCTTTTCTATTATTTATTGTATATTTATGTGTTTGTGTTAAAATACATTAACTATTTTAGAATAGTTGAACTTATATTATTTAGATTTTTTTGTAGTAAGTGTTATTTACCTCTTTTTTATGTTTAAAAAAAAAAAAGAATTGCATTTTAAATAAAAATATATTCATTTCTTCGATTGCCATTAGAAAACTAGATTGTTTTAGTCAATAATTTTTTTATTTTATTTTCAGAATAAATGTAATGTATTTTGTTTCTATCTTTTCTTATTCAGTAATAACATTAGAAAATTATGTGCAACAGCGGTCTCGTCCACCAACACCGTGTGCTAAGTTACCAATCTATTCTTCTGCAGAAAGTATTTCTTCTACAAGTTCTTCCAAAAGTTTTAAGGTATTTTATATTTTAAACTTTTTTGTTACAAATAGTATTGCTCTGTCTTTGTTTGTTTTTCTTATTCTTTCTTTTAAAAAGTGGCCTAGTAATCGGGTTAATTTTGTATAAATATCTACCATCTAATTATTTAGACACGTTAGATTCATGACGATGTTTTATAATCACGTTGTTACCAATCGTTTTTTCCGGGAATCCCCCGCAGAACTATTTGGTGAGGTTATTTTTATAATGGGAAATTTCGTAAAGAGGCCACTTTTCTGAATTTGAATTTTGTGAAGGGACTGATTTTACAAATTTGAGTTTTGTGAAAGTGTTTTTTAGAATTCAACCCTTGGTATGCTTTACAAATTTTTACTTATTTTTTATAATAAATGGACAGTTATATTGCATTTTTTATACCTTTATTTTTATTTCCAGCTATTTTATGTTTTACATCTAAAGATAATAGAAGATAGTTACGTAATTTCCACTTTCCCTTTTCTTTTCTTTTTTCCCTGTATGTTTTTTCTGCCTTGTTTTTAATATCATTCATGTTTTTTTTAAATTTCTGAATTATGTTTATATCTCTAATTTATTGTTTATTTTATAACAGAGAGTAAAATAAATTTAGTTTTTTTTTTAACATTCTGTTCTAATTTTCTGTTTTCTAATTTACTCTTTAACATATACCCTGTCTGCAAGATTCAAGGACTGTAAAGCTTACTTTCTGGATAATTTTACTTTTGGATAATTAATAGGGTTTAATCCCTATTAATTTTTACATTATTTTCAATATTTTAATTAAAAATTTTTGAATGCTTTTACTCTAAGCTCTTTCATTTAGTAAAGTCATAAATTTCTAATAAATTGTTAGTGTTTTTCTCTCTATAATGTTTGTGTTTTGATTCTTTTGTTATACTAAAGGGTCAAATTTCTTTTATTTGCTTCCTTTTTANTTTTACCAGATTTATGAATTTTTGTTTTTTCATAGAATATTTCATGATAGGAACTTAATTCAAATTAAACTGTCTTTACTTTTTAATGTGATGATTTGTTTAATTAAAATTGTGATATTATGAACACTTGGGGCTTTTTATTGCCTTAGTTTTATTAGCTTCAATATAACTACCAACTCAACTGAATTTTTAGTAAATTACTGGATAATTGCAATTTCTCCTGTTTTAAAAGTTCTCTTGGTTTTTGTATACTTTTAGAAAATTCCTTTAAGTTGGAGAATTGTATATTTTTGTAATTTTAACTGATTGATTAGGATAAAAGGATTATCAGGGACATCAAATTTTATCAACCCTATGTCTGATTTCTCTGTCTTTTGTTAATGAATTATTGTGAATGCTGGTCATACTAAGGTTATTTTCATGTAAGTTAATGAACTAAATTATTGATTATCTATTTTCAAGTTTAGTTATATCTTTTGCGGTTATTGATTGGAAAATGAAATGCAACAGATTAATGCAGTTAAAATGAAAAGTAATAATAAATTTAATAAAAATAATAACTGACTTCTATTTAAATATATTGAATTTCAATGAGAAATTACATTTATGATTTTATTCTACAAAAAATGAACAGTTTTGTCAATGTAACTATAAGTAAAAAATTTTTTATTATCAATTGTATATATTTTGAAAGAGCGGTAAGTTTGTTAAAATTATGGTGACATGCCATAATTAGCTTGGATCATTGCTTTTTCTCTCTCTCATGTTTTCAATTTTGTTTAACTATTTAATTGTTAATGTTATTGACTGAATTTGTATGTGATTTTTTTTTCTTTCAGTCCTGTAGATTCATGGGATCCTTCTTCTGTATCTTATATTACAAATATGAAAAGAGGTAATTCTATTTTAAACAAAATATCTTATTTTAAAATCTTTTTAAGCAATTGATACTTCAAACTTTGACTTTAAACATTAAATTAATTCTATCTGTGCTATCATTGAATATAGTGTTATTCTTGTTTTAGGAAAAAAAATCAAAATAATTAGGTTGTGAAATCAGGATTTATAAAAGAATTTAGGATCCCTGCGACGATCTGTTTAGGGAAATTTTTTTTAGTCTGATTGCTGCATATAAATTGGAATTTGCAGAGTTTTCATTTAAAGTTTTTCAAGAATTAAGAATAATTATCATTTTAGTATTTATTTCTTAATTTAAAGTACCTTAAATTTACTGGAAATAAAAATGTGAAAATAAAAATTTTATATATTAATTCCAGAACTATAAGCAAGACGGGTAGTAATATAAGGCGGAGGTAAATACCAATTTTGGAATACCCTACTCACTGTGTATTTCCCCGACCTATGTCTATACCTAAAATATTATGTAACCTTTCCTTTTTTAGGAAATTAATTTCTTGTTCAACCTTAAAATATGTAGAAAAATTTCTTAAGCAAAAACAATATAACTATTAATTATAATAAAAACAGTTTTTTTTTTTTTACATATTTTTATGTTAGTGACTTCACAGAATACATTTTCTCTTGTCGTTCAATGCATGTGGGATAAATGAACTAAAACAGCATGTCCTAGTATTCTGTGGTTGATGTGTATTTGTAATTTTTTTAATGGTCCTTTAAAATACTTGATTATATTTAATGAAACAGGGATGATTGTATTCCAGTATACTCCTTAATTCCTGGTTTTTCGTATTATCCCTCCAGGTCCAGAAACTAGGAGCAGGGCATGTGATTTTTTAATTATCATGCAATTAATTAAAATTTGCATATCGCGTTTCATATTCACATGATTTAAAAATCCAATATCGCAGTTTGTATTTACACATTTTTTATCTCAATATCGGGATTTGTTTTCACGTGAATTTAAAATCCAATGTCGCTATTTGTATTCATGGGATTTGAAGATCATGCATCGTGTCTCATATTTACACTATTAAAAAATCCAAAATTGTGATTTTGCATTTTAGAATCCAATTTTGCAATCCTTGCAAAAACTAATTACTATAGAAGTACGATGTTAATTATTGGTAGGTAATTTAATTATAAGTCTTAGTTCAAAAAGCTATATTAAACATGAATAGTATAGAAATTGATATCTTGTTATCCAGTTTTTGCACGACATAAAATCTTCAGGGTTTTTCACTTTGTGTCACTATCACTCCTAATAAACAACTTATCTTTTTTTTCTTTCTTAAATGTAGTTATTTTTAATCTTTTTTTCCCCTTCTTCCTTCAACTTAGATATGGAGGAAGCATATATTGAAGTAAAAGGTGTTGAAAAAAATATGCTTGTTGGCTCTCTTTATGTTACTCTTTGTGATGGTGAAGTTATTTGTGTTAATGATGAACTGATTGGGAAACAATTTGCTCGTGCTTATCCTGATAGTTCAGAACTAAGTAAGTTTAAAAGTGTTTTATTTTTACTTTATTTTTTATGTTTAACCATTATGCTAAAACATTATGGCTACTTGCTCATTAACATGTTGTGTCACCTTTGGAATTAAAAACAGCTGCAACTTTCCTTATCATGTATGCTACTAGATATTGGTAGATAAATAGAGGCAGGTTGTACAAATATTTTAAGCAGTTCCGAGATATTCGCTCCAAGCCTTCAATCCATTAGAATCTGCCCTGTGTCAAATTCACTTAAATCAGGAGCCTTTTCCATCACTCGTGAGAGTGAATACAAGAATGACTTCTTACATTCTCCAGCAGCAGTTAAATACCATTGCAACTTAATCATTTTTACATGTGATTTAAAAATTAGACTTTCGATTTGTATTCATGCCATTTAGAAATTATGCATCATAATTCATATTTACGCAATCACATCACGATTTGTATTTTCACATTTTTGAAATCCAATATCGAGTTTCATTCATGTGGTTTTTCTATAGACGATTATTGCTATATATAGGGATTACAACATCATCGAAACTGGATGAGAATGTGTTTCTGATATTTTTGCTATAAATCAAGTAAGATTTACTTGCAAGAAAATCCAACTTTTTTGCCCTGAGTCTATAATATTTTTTTTTTTTTGATTTTCAGAATAAATATAATGTATTTTGTTTCTGTCTTTTCTTTTTCAGTAATAACATTAGAAAATTTTGTGCAACAGCGGTCTCGTCCACCAACACCGTGTGCTAAGTTACCAATCTATTCTTCTGCAGAAAGTATTTCTTCTACAAGTTCTTCCAAAAGTTTTAAGGTATATTTATATTTTAAACTTTTTTTGTTATAAATAGTAGTGCTCTATCTTTGTTTGTTTTTCTTATTCTTTCTTTTAAAAAGTGGCCTATTAATCGGGTTAATTTTGTATAAATATCTACCATCTAATTATTTAGACACGTTCAATTCGTGACGATGTTATATAATCACGTTGTTACCAATCTTTTTTTCTGGGAATCCCCCATTGAACAATTTGGTGAGATTATTTTTATACTGAGAAATTTTGTAAAGAGGCTGCGTTTCTGAATTTATATTTTGTGAAGGGACCGATTTTACTAGTTAGTTTTGTGAAAGTGTTTTTTATACAGTCGGGAACCGATTATCCGGAACGATCGTGACTATCGATATTACGGATAACTGATTTTTTCCAGTTTTCTGAATGGCTACAAAAAACCGTTTTTTTTATATTGTTAAACCCAACTAAAAAAGAAACAAAAATTGGAAATAATCTTAAAAAGAAGAAAAACTATGAAGTAATACACTAATGATTATTTCCAAAATGATGGTAAGGTATCTTTCAAAAAAGAACGAAAAATCCTAAAATCTTATGAGGAAAAGAGAATTTTTTTTTTTAGTAAAATGGCAGGAAAGTTTATCGAATTTTGTTCCGTTTTTCTGATTTCCAGATAACAGGTTCTGTACTGTACCTTTATTTTTATTTCAAGTTGTTTTCTGTTTTACATCTAAAGATAATAGAAGATAGTTACGTAATTTCCACTTTACCTTTTCTCTTTTCTTCCTGTATGTTTTTTCTGCCTTGTTTTTAATCTCATTCATGTTTTTTTATTTCTGAATTATGTTTATATCTCTAATTTATTGTTTATTTTATAATAGAGGTAAAAATATTTTAGCTTTTTTTTAACATTCTGTTCTAATTTTCTGTTTTCTAATTTACTCTTTAACATATACCCTGTCTGCAAGATTCAAGGACTATAAAGCTTACTTTTTAGATAATTTTACTTTTGGATAACTAATAGGGTTTAATCCCTATTAATTTTTACATTATTTTCAATATTTTAATTAAAAATTTCGGAATGCTTTTACTCTAAGCTCTCTCATTTTAGTAAAGACAAAAATTTCTAATAAATTGTTAGTGTTTTTCTCTCTATAATGTTTGTATTTTGATTTTTTCTTTATAATAAAGGGTCAGATTTCTTTTATTTGCTTCCTTTTTGACAAATTTGCTTTTATATTTTAATCAGTATACGAAAAAGAAAGAAATAGAAATAGGACAAAACGTTATTACTAAGAGAGCAAATCCTATCCAGTTGTCATATTTTGCATATTTGTTTTTAAATTATTATTTTATTTATTTGAGTAAATAAGATTTTAATTACTATTGAGTTCATGATACTTATGTATTTATTAGTTTCTTTTGTGAAATGATTTAGTATTTTCAAAAAGATTTTTTTATGAAAGATTTATCTGTGATGCAAAACATTTGTTTATTCCAGAGATACTAATAAATTTATTAATAACCGAAGTTTAGTATTTATTTTTATTATTATTGTTCATAAAATATTGTTTTTTAAAATATTTTTTCCATCTGTTATATCATAAGTTTCTTTTGTCTTTACTACTATTTTTTCTCTGTACTGTGGTGTTATATTTTATGCAATATAATGTATAAGTTATTAATATTATTTTTTTGTAGTTCACTGTATATTTTGACAACAGCACTGTATACTGTGATATTAGACTGGGATTTTTTAAAAATATATCTTAACTGGAAAACTTGGAAAAGTCAATGAATTCTGTACAACTATTTAAGTAGTTACCTGTTTTAATAGATTGGATTATTTCTAATAAATTAGTTTACAAACACATGTAGATATTTAGTAATAATTATATCTTTTTTCAACATTCCAGAATTAATATCAATTGCTTCAATTAGTTTATTATAATTTTCAGCTGTTAAATATAAATTTATGCTTAAATTATTTTAAGGATGTAACCTCTAAAGGAATAGTTGAGAATTGTGAGCCTAGGAAGAAAGATATTTCCAATAATCAAGTTGGAAGAAGAATGACTGGCCGCATTGCTGTTGATATGGATGAATTGAATAGGTAATTAATTATAACCAGTATTTATTATTTGTAATACTTGTTTACTCTAAATATGCTAGTGTTTTATTTCAATTGACATATTTACCAATACTAGAAGCAGTTATATAGTTATATTTCTGTATAGTAATCCTACTTCTAATGAAACAATTTCGTTTTTATTTATTTTTTATATTCTATAAAATTTTCTTCAATATTGTTCTTCAATATTGTAAAAAATAAGGAACATATTGTTATAATATTTATGGCCATAAGACTGATATTGCTAGAGTCTAAAATTCTCAAACAAAAGATGTATAGACTCCTTAACATTCAACAGGGTAGTTACATAATCAAGAAAAAGTAAGGCCTATATATATATATATACAGGCATATAATTCTTCCGTTTGTTTATGAAATTCCACAAATTACAAGACCATTGGTTTGCGATCTTTCGCAAATCAATAATTTATATTCTGACAAAATTTTCTCAGAGTTACTCTAATCTAAAATTTAAATTTCATTACTTATCCAAACTTTTACTAATGAGACATTTATTCTGCCTTCACAAGCTCCTTTTTTTTTCTAAGTTCTCACCCACTTGCAATTACATCTTTTTTTTTCACTTGGAGAAAAACACAACTTTGATAACATGAGACTGAAATTTTTTAAAAAATATTGATAATCTAAAAAGTAATTCCGAAATGGCAAATATTTAAAAGATTGTTAACTAGAAAAAATGTTTTTATTTTGAATTTTTTTAAAAAAAATTGTATTTTAATTAGTAGCAATTTTGTTGCAAATTCCAATTTGTGACAGAAGAATTATTTAATCAAGTGATATATTTGTTCTCTGTTTTATTTGGTTACAGTTAGATCAATTTAGTTTTTAATATGTTATTAATACATGGAAATTTCGAATTGCGCATTTCAGTAATCACTTTTTGATATGTTAAATTTGCATTGATATAATCGTAAATTCAGGTGGTGCAATCGTTTTATCGCCAATAATTGTCACAGATTTTTCAAAGTTTTGTTTTTTGAAAATTCTGATATTTTTGATACTTTATTATTACGACATGCGAAATTCAATTTCAGTATTCATTAGTCTCTTTTTGACACGAAGATAAGACTTTTTTTTTTCTTTGACTTTCTTGCAATTTTTGCCACTGATTCTCACATGATTTTTTAAATCTCAATATTTTCTTAAACGAAAAATTCAAATTGCAATCTATGAAAGGGTTCCATTGCAGTCTGTGAGAGGGTTCCATTGCAAGTCGAAATTGGGAATTGACCCAGGATTTATCGTTTCTTACTGGGGTACAAGAGCAAAATTTTAAGCGGGAGAAGAATCTTAGAACTTGCTTTTTTAAAAGCATTTTGTGAGATTACCGTCTTAAAGTTGAATTTGTGAGGTACTGCTGAACAGTGGTAGATTTGCCCTGGACGATCCCTGATGTTTTCAAGTGTTTTTTTTTTTATGTGATTACGGAATATGTAACTTTTTGCTACATATATATATTCTTTTGTGTGTTGATAAAAATAATTTATTAAAAAAAATTTTTAAACTATAAATTTTTAAATTCTTTAATCTTTTTAAATTTTTCAAATGTTACTTTTGTACAAAAAAAATAATTTTTTTAATTATATTCTACATTCAATAAGAAAATAAAATTAAGTGCTCAAAAAAACTATATATTGAGAAAAAAAAATCCTGAAAATTTCTTCCTGCAATCACATATAAGAAATTCTCAAATTCAGGGAGAAGTGCTAATTTTATCTTTGTAACACTTGCTTGTACAAAAGCAACGCCATTTAATTTTTCCAAGGCTGTGCAGGTATAACCAATAGCTTAACATGAAAAATCTGTTTATCAAGCAAAAAATATGTCTGCCATAGTTCCTAGGGGGACAGTCAAACCTGAAAATGTGGGAATTTTAAGCCAAAATCTGGAATAAACTTGGTAATAAATAAATAATATCTGCTCAAAGTAAATAAGAATAGTATGTGTTTTATTTATTTCAAAAATTCTGTTTGCAACATGGATAAAATTTTTAGATAATTAAAATTTGAATAATTTGTGAAAAATACTTTTTACTTAAAAATTTTTTGTTTCAAATTTTTTCTTACATTAAACCATATTTGCAGTTTAATAAAAATAAGATTTTAAAAATTAAGTTTTCTTTATAAATTAATTTTGGTTTTTAATTACAAGTAAGATATATGACTGGAGTGACTCTTTGTTTTTCTGTTTCATTGAAATTTATAATTTTTTATATACTTAAATGTTATAAAACCTACATGTTAATTCTTTGCCTAGTGATTTTTTTAATATAAAATTCAATATTTGTCAAATTTCTAATTAAAATTTAAGTTTTGTTGCTAATTGAATTTTTGAAATATTATGTTTCTGTGCAAATATTGTCATGTATAGCAAAATTGCTGTCTGAAATTTTCAATTCACCTGGAAAACTCATGGAATTTTAATTTTAAAATTGAGTAGGAACTCTGTATTTGGCATTTTTTCCCCTTCAGATTATAGTAAAATATATTAATAAAAGTCCTGAATTTATCTATGAATTTTAATTTTAAGTTTCTAATATAAATTGTGGTTATGCATAAAATTCGCCTCATATATGCATTATTTTTCTTCAAATAATAGCTATGAAAACAGACGCAAATTTTATTTCATTTAAAAAACAAGAACACTTCATTCCACTGAACTTTGAATTCTCAACTAATTTGTTTCTCTCGCAGTACTGAACTTTTTCCATTTTTAATTCCCTAGTCACTTTTATCATCTAATGTGTTAATTAGAAAGTTTGTTAAAAATATAAAATACTAATACTGAAAATGTTGCATCAATTTTAATTCTGAAAAATAAAAAAGAAATTCTACTTTTTTTTTAGGGAAAAAGATGTATTTTCTCAGGTTGCAACTAATCAAGTACCTGTAAGTATATTCAGTAAAATTGGCTGTGGTGTTTAATAAATTTAATTTGAATAATTTTCATATGATCTAGTTTGTTGCTATTCCCTAATTTTATTTTTCCCCCTGATTTAGAAATCCAATAAAAAAATTTCGCAATTGGATAAATATCGTCAAATCAAGTCCTTTCTATCAGCTCGCTCAGATGTAGAATCTGTTAAAAGTCATGAATCATCTGTTGATCTTGAATGCAGTGATTTAAGTTTGCCAGAATCTTTTTGTAGCTCTGAAGGGGCGAATGACTTCGATAAAAAATGGTCAGAGACTTCGAGTACGGAGCGAGATAATAAGGTTATTCAACTCTTACATTTGTTTTATATTTCTCTTGATAAGCACAATCTTAATCATGTACCTGTTCTAAAATATTTCATTGCATTTATATTTGCCATTTTTATTTTATGATATTTTAACCCGATGAGCAATGCTCAATTTGATATATTGTGGAAAACTAGTCTGTTGAGCAGGAAAGCTATCTCTTTTAACATTTGACATTGACAATTGAATAGTTAATTTTTTTTTATATATTTCAGAATTTTTGTGTAAATAATAATTTCTGGATTTTTCTCCCTTAAATCATATTTAATTAGTTACTGATAATTTCTAAACCAAAATCTTCAACTACCCACTTCGGGTAACACTTTTCTATAACCCTCTTTATATAATAGGCTTTCCCAAAAATTTATTTCTTTTTATTGTATCGTGCTTGTATTATTCGAAAACAAAGTATTGTAGAATTTAACTGTTTTACGAATTTAAAATGATACCCAAGAATCCGATGTGTATCTGTTGATGCAAGAATAGCAATTTTATGGCTGAATAATAAGTACTGGCCTGATAAACTGTGAAATATTTGGTATTTGGCAACTAAATAATAAACATTTCATTAATAATTAGATTTTGTAAAAAAGAAAAGTATCTTTTAGTTATGAAATACTTTCAGTGCAAAACTATGATTGAATAAAATTAAATCTGTAAGAGAAACAAATTTTAAATTAACCTTATTTTTTTCATCTACATAAAAGCTTACTTAGGAATTATAAAATATATTTAGATCTGGATTTATTCTATCTCATTCACAAAATTTATTTTATGTAACAAAATCTATTAAATAATCTATTTTGTTTTACAAAAGAGCATTAAGAATGTTTTTGAAGATTTTGAAATTAAATGTTTAAATTATATGTTACTGATAAACTTATCTGAAATTAATCAGTCACAGATAAAATTTTGATGATATATTTTGTTTCCAACAGGATACTGACAGATCTCATATTAAGTCACCTTCTCAAAATGCTCATTCAAAACTTGATACTATAAAAAAGTTTTTGTTAGCCAAAAGAAAATCTACTTCTCCGAATCTCAAATGTAATTCTCAGTCTGGAAGTGCCTCTTTTCCTCCTAATCAAAACTCAATTGTTGAGACTCCCAAAGAAGACGTTAATAACAGAAGTGAAACAACCAATCAAAACACAGTTTCTTTGGAAAAATTCGTTAAAAGTGTTATGTCAGATGTTGATGATCCTGATGATTTGTTGCAGTGTGCCCTTGATCCTGATAAAAGGAAAAACATTTCTTCTGAGACTGAATCAAGCAGGTATGTTTGTGTGTAAAAAGGGCATCTCAACTATTTACTTGGTTATTAGCAAAAATGCACACTGCACTTATTTATTTATTTATTATTTTTTTTGTTTAAAATAGATTTTGAGTTGGAATTTAGGCTTTAATTCTAAATTATATTGTCTATTAATTAATTTGTGAACACAATTGCTGTGTCATTTATAATATTTTTTAAAGACTGATTGTGGCATTTTACTAATTATCCCATTTCTTTTATTTTTTTAAGACTGAGTAATAAAAAAGACTCATCATAATGTTATTAATTTACTGTATTTCAAACTGTTAATGCATGATACAACCTTATTTTAGGTTTTATTTATTAATTATTTTTTTTATTTGATTAAAATGTTTTTATTTTAATATCAATGTTTTTTTTTCCTACTTGCTTAATAGTCTATGGCTAGTCTCATTTGCTTTTTTTTCTAATTACATTGTTAGGTAATTTTATGCAATTGATTTATTTCATGTATGCATGCCGGTAAATAATTTCATTTGTAGTTTTGTACTGGAAAACATTTTATTGTCCGTCTACTGTAAGAAAATTGATCTTGGAAGAGTAATTTTGATGTGAGGATCACAGTTTACTCGAGACTCTTCATTGGTGCGAAGATTTTTCATTTGCCTTCAGTGTTTCTTTTAGCTTCCTTTTGTTTCAACTTATCGCTTGTTTAACTAATAGACTCATATTATGATTCAGCCTTCGAATGTCTTCTTATTGTAAAAGGAAAATAAAACTTGTCTAGTCATTTTCTAATAACTTTTTAAGAGTTGATATTAAAGCTTGGCTTATATTCTTATAAAGATTTCCAAATGTATTTTTTGCAAATTTATTTTCTTAAACAATTGCCAAATAGATCTTGATATTGTTTTCTTTTTCATTATGGAAGGAAATTTTTGTTATGATTTTACAGTTTATTTAAAGAACTGTAGTAATTTTTCGCACTCTAAAAAGTCTACTCTCCACACTAATTACTTCTGAAGATACATTTCAAACCAGACACTTGCCTGTACAAATCTATTCTAGTAGATTTTATTATTATTTTTACTATTCCTAAGCTCCAATCAAGTTAATTTTATTTTCACTTAAGAAGATCAATTATGATACTTGTCATATAGCCAACCAAAAATGCCTTTTGTGGTAATTTAATTAATGCATGCAAAAAAGCCAAAAAGACTACTAGCAAAGTAGACACATAGAGTAAATATTCTTTCATATTTCTGAAAATTTTCTTTCAAATCCACTGTAAATTCTTGGTTTTTATTTTAATATATTAAAAAATTAACAAGTAGTAATTTTACATTGTAAAATTATTGTAACATTTGTTATGAATAAGATTTTTTCCTTGAAATTTTAATAATGTGTGTAATATGTTTGTATTGCTATACAACAGTATTGATTTAAATAGTATGTATGTGCACATGTTCAGTTAAATTAATTACACGAAATGTAAATTTGATTTTGTTTATTAAACACTGTTTTTCAGCCTTGTATTGATAGTATTATTTTTTAAACAAACATCTGTGCCTTATTAACGTACATGCTTCTTTACATTGGAATTAGAATGTGCACTTACTGATTTAAGGTGCAAGAGCTCATTAATGGGATTTATTTTTTAAAATATTCTCATTATCTCTTATGAATTTATTTATCTCTCATGAATGAATTTATTCAGATTTAGTATAATAGTTTAATTTAGTACATTTTGTATGATTTTTCAATAGTCTAAAAAAAAAAACCACTTCAATAAAATGCAATTTTCAATTACTGTTTAGTTTCAGAAGTTATGTACCTTTAATTTATAAATAACAATTATTTTTCATATAATATTCAAGATTTATTTTATTATTTTAGCTTTATTTAGTAAATCTTAGCACTGACTAACAATTTTCTTATGTTTAAATTATTTATCATGCAATTTCATGTCTTTTGAATTTTTTTTAAAAACAATAATTAGATACATGGAAGGCTAATATTGTGGAATATTTAACCTACAATTTTCACTGTTCATAAGAATACTTGTTCCATTTGCTAGTTGATGTGTGCTAGATTTAGTGGGGAAAAGAAATCAAGAATGATAAGTTGGCAAAATAAATAAATTCTAAGATTTTTCAATGTCATCTTTAAAAAAAAAAAAACTATTTGTTGAAGAATGTTGGAAAATTGAAAACTTATCATTTTGTTTTGCCTTTTTCAATATGCGTAAAAATTAGTCATACGGAACTTTAAGTTATTTATATCATCAATAAAGTTGGGTAGTTATTTAACGATTGGATCAATCACTAATTAATTTTTGTAAAGTCATCAGTTTTGCCAATTTAATTTAGGTTCTCTTGTTCATTTTCATGTTTTTATTTGTTTAATTTTATTTAAAAATTACTTAAGTTTGATATTTTTTCCCATAAAGTAGTAACAAAAAAAATTATCTGTCTCTAAAATTGTTACTCACGGAATAGTCTCAATTGACTCACACATGAGATCTTTAAAAGTTTTTAATTCGTTTAAAGTTCTTCTTTCCTGCATTATACTTTATCAAAGCTGTATCCAGTCTTTACAGTTGTTTCATTTATCTGCTTTATTTAAACTGAATTTTATACAAAAAGCAATTTTATGTTAATTTAAATGTAAAGGAATAAAGAAAGCAAAAATCAAAGCAGTTCCATCCTTCTAATACTCTCTTAGCCAAGATATTAAAAAAATATTTTTTCTATATATAGGAAGTATGATTTACTTAAAAGAGTATTTATGTAAGTAATGTTTTTTTATTTAATTATTCCTAGTGTTTTCTGTTTTAAATACTGTTTGTTGTTAAATGACATGAAAGAAGTTTATTATGTTAACAAAAAGTAGTTGAGCTAAAATGTGGAAAGGGTTCCTTCTACTCTCATAAAAATGTTCTCCTTTAAAAAAGCGTTTTGTAAAATTGTTTAAAGATAAAGCGTTTTATATTCTTAAGATATTTACATTTATCTTCCAGCACTAATTATGTAATATTTCAATAAAATGCATATAAATGCACTTAATTGCAGTATCACATAGAAAAATAGTTCCCTCTCCCATTTTTCTATTGAGATATTTTTGCATGTGGGTACTCACTGCTTCACATTGACCTTGCTTGACAGCATAGCTCTGAGGCTTCGTTCTTCTTAATGGCTCAATGCTTTTCCTCCTACCATTTGTTGATTTTAAAGTCAACTTAAAAAAAAAAAAAAAGAAAGAAAGAAAGGTTTTGCTAATGGTATGGTGTATGGTATTAAAATAGATAAAGTGCCTATTGGACTGTTTGATTATCATGTATGGAATTTCTTAGCAGTTCCAAATTGTTACTTGCTGTTCCTGTGCTATGCCATTGCTTTCAAGTAGAGAATTTTAGCTCAACATTGCAAGATATGGTTGAGCTAATTTTTTATTAAAATTTAACTCTTTGTGGATAAAATAAAAAACCTTCAAATTTTTAATGTAAGTCAAAAGATTAATATTGAATTTATTCTTCAACATTTATTTTTAATGGAAGTTATTTAAAATATTATAAATTGTAACAATTGTTTTCATCCAAAAAGCACTATGTCCCCTGTCATGTCTCAGAAAGAAAGTCTAAAGCTTCATTAGTTGGCTAATAATTGCTTTTGAAAGATGACATCACTAAATATAAGGCTCCTTTAATTTAACAAAAAAGAAAATTAAAAATATATATGAGATATCCTTGAAAGCATTAAATTCTTCCAATATNCTTTAAATTGATAAGAAAGCAAAAGCCCTGTATATAGGAAGTATGATTTACTTAAAAGAGTGTTTATGTAAGTAATATTTTTTATTTATTTAATTATTCCTAGTGTTCAATTAATTTGCAACATTGTCGAATGATTTCTGTTTTAAATACTGTTAGTTATTGAACAACATGAAAAAAGTTTATTATGTTAACAAAAAGTAGTTGAGTTAAAATGTGGAAAGGGTTTATTCTACTCTCATAAAAATGATATCCTTTAAAAAAGCGCTTTATAAAATTGTTTAAAGATAAAGCGTTTTATATTCTTAAGATAAGATATACATTTATCTTCCACTAATTATGCAATATTTCAATAAAATGCATATGAATGCACTTAGTTGCAGTTCCACATATAAAAATGGTTCTCCCTCCCATTTTTCTATTGAGAAATTTTTGCATGTGGGTACTCATTGACCTTGCTTGACAGCATGGCTTTGAAGGCTTTGTTCTACTTTATGGCTCAATGCTTTTTCTCCTACCTTTAGCTAATTTTAAAGTCAACTTTAAAAAAAAAAAAAAAGGTTTTGTTAATGGTATGGTACAAAAATTGATAAACTGCATATTGGACTGATTGAATATCATGCATGGAATTTCTTAGCAGTTCCAAATTTTTACTTGCCTTTTAGTGGGTCTACATGCTATGCCATTGCTTTCAAGTAGAGAATTTTAGCTCAACATTGCGAGGTACGGTTGAGCTACTTTTTTTTTTTTTATTAAAATTTAACAATTTGTGGATAAAATAAAAAACCTTCAAATTTTTAATGTAAGGCAAAAGATTAATGTTGAATTTATTCTTCAACATTAGCTTTTAATGAAAAGTATTTACAATATTTTAAATTGGAACAATTGTTTTCATCCAAAAAGCACTATGCTCCCTGTCACATCTCAGAAAGGAAAGTCTAAAGATTCATTAGTTGGCTGATAATTGCTTTTGAAAGATGACATCACTAAATATAAGGCTCCTTTAATTTAACAAAAAAGAAAATGAAAAATATATATGAGATATCCTTGAAAGCATTAAATTCTTCCAATATTAAAGTGTGTTAACAATTTTAAACAATCTTTTTATTGTAAATACAAAGAAAAACTAGAAGATAAAACTTTCCAAGCCTTTAAAGATTTTTCAGAGGACAGCAAATTTAAATTATGAAATCAATTTTAGATTTAAATGTGGAATGATTAAATTTTTGAAAGATAAGTTTTGATGATTTTGAGAACAGCTTTCATCATTGATAGTTCTAGTAAAATGAATTTTTTTATCATGTGAGAAAATTTTTATTGTCTTTCTTAAAAACTGATATATTCTTTTATTGGTTAATTTTCCTTTGCAATATGATATAATTTAAACTCAAGTTGTTAAACTCTTGTCTTTCTAGCTCTTCTAGTCCTAGAAAATTAAGTGTCAGATATAATAACAACTGTGAAGCAAACGTCTCATTCGTAAGCTTTTTATTACTTTGTTTATTATTACGGTGATTACTTATATATTTAAAAAAATGAATATGAAATGAAAAAATAAATATAAAAAGGGTGATTTAATATGAAAAAAATTAATCAGTAGTAAATTTGTCTTTCTCTTTGTATTGTATATAATCTTTCTGTTCGATTAAAAGGCGCAGCATATCCTCCTTTGGATCTTGTGCCATAAAACTTCTACATTCAATCCAATCCAATCCTGTTCGATTAAAATTTGAATGTATTTGATTTACGTATGACTTTAATTTTAATCAATGAAGAAATTCACATTACTTATTTTCAGGGATTATTATTTTTACAATTTTAAAAATCAAAGTTCTAAAAGTGCATTTTTATTGCGAAAAATTAATATATATATATATATGTACTAGGGGGCTGAGCCCCCTGTTCGCTGCCGCTCACCAACCCTTCACAATAATTGTCTTTTCTTGGCAGAAAACAGTTTTTCTAAAGTTAAAATTATTCACTTAACATATATTTACTAAAAGGAATTCTGTTTGCTTACGCTTGTGCCTCTACTTCTCACATCCAAATATTACTATCTATTAGTATTATAAACAATTAGATCGCTTGGTGAACCGGAGTGATTTTTCAAAGTAATCATTTTTAAAAATAACATTTATATTCTTATAACATTATATTGTTCAAACAAATTTGATGAGTTTACAACAATAATTTAATATTTTTGCCAATAATAGCTGTACTGGAAAATAACTTTAAATTAGGGATACAAAAATATCTAAAGGAAAACAATACCTTTACGACTTTTGTTAATTTTATGCTGATGACAACCAAAGCAATATTGAAATGAATGAGGAAAACCTGGATCCACTCAGCTTTAGATCGTAACTTTAATTGTAATATTTTAGCAAGCAGCATTATAAAAAATTAATACCTTTTCACACACATGCGTTCTCAATTTTAATTGACTTTTTTTGTGCGTTACTAACCGCAAGTGTTCTGTGATTGGCTATTTTTTATCATTTCACTCTCTTCTTATATTATATAAAGATATATATATGCAATGAAAACTCGGTTAAGCTGACGTTCTTAGGACCGAAAAAAATGTCTGTTTTCGAGAATTGTCGGTTTACCGGAAGGGTACCCCAATAACAAAGTTTAACATTGCAGATTGTTTTTGGAATATTTTCAAAGATATAGAAATAATAAAATCTGCAAGGATATTCATTTAAACTTTAAAACAGATTTTTTTTTTGTTTACGAAAAGAATATGTGAAAAAGTTTGTTATAAATACATAATTCTAGCTGTAGCTACAAATAAATGAATATAATTTTCCCATTGACGCAGATATTCAAGTTAGTCATATGAAACCAAATAGGAGCTTTTAGACCTCAGTCTGTTTTAACAATTAGGTTTACACCCCCTAACACCTGCCCATCTCTTGATAGGAAACTTGGTTAATACCTCCTTGAAAGTAAACTGGGTTTCGCAGCAATGCATACCTGTAGGGCAGGAGGACCTATGGAGTTGAGATATACACTGTTTTAATAAATAATTAATTTATACGATCACCTCAAAGATTATATTTCTGTGCTCTTTTTTTTACCCCCGCTGTGTTATATACAGTCTTTAAATTGATAAGAAAGCAAAAGAAATTTTCGTTGGTGAAGAATCATTGAGAACATTTAAGACGTCAAAAGAAAAAAATTTACATGCTTATAGTCTAGAAAATACTGTTTTTCCAGAAAGTGTTTTCAATTAATAGTAATTTTATTAATTTTTTTAAATCTCAACTAGTTTGCATATAATTTTTTTATTATTTCTGTCAGCTTTTATAATTCATTTTTTATAGGATTTCGGCCCTAAGGCTATTTGGGAAAAATTTAAAGTTCCAGCAAAATGTATTGGAGAAGCCATTCCTAATCCTGTGTTATCTGTTGATGAAACAACATTTACTTCAGCAGTGAGAAAAGTAATTTCATTCTCTTTCTTTCTTCCTTTTAATTTTTAACTACCTGAATTATTTGTTCTTCGTAATGGAATCGAATTGGAAACGGTAAACAATTAATAAATTGTTGATGAAAAACACTATAAAATAATGCACAAAACTGAAAGGCATAAACCAAAACAATCAATGAAGGTAAAAAAATTTTTTTTATATATATATGTTAATATTTTTTGACCTTCCTATTAGTTATACATAATTAGGTTAAACAAAAGATATTTTTAATAGTTCATTAGTTCATAATGAAGATTAACTATACTCAGTATCATTTGGCAAGATGTTGCTCTTAGTCAACTCAAGGTAAGAAAATTTTCCTCAATTATTTCTTCTTATTTCTTTCGAGAGGCCATGAAAAAAATCTTTCCTCAGTATCTGAAAACTGCACAATACCGTACTGCACAACTGCTTCGTAATGGAATCGAATTGGAAACGGTAAACAATTAATAAATTGTTGATGAAAAACACTATAAAATAATGCACAAAACTGAAAAGCATAAACCGAAACAATCAATGAAGGTAAAATTTTTTTTTATATATATATGTTAATATTTTTTGACCTTCCTATTAGTTATATATAATTAAGTTAAACAAAAGATATTTTTAATAGTTCATTAGTTCATAATGAAGATTAACTATACTCAGTATCATTTGGTATTAATGCTACACCATCATGCACAAGTATGTAAGATAAGTTGTACCAAAATGATTAAATAAATGATTAAATAATATTGACATTTATTTATGNTATTTTCAAATGTTCTGCAACAGGACTTATTAATTTATACAAATGTTCTGCAAGCATTTCACAGCGAAAAGAGGTCAACTTAACGTTAAAATATTATATTTTCATTTATTAAAATACAGGATCATGCACAGATACACTACATTATTTTTTAAACCAAGACCAACATTCTTGATTTGTTACTTTTTCAATCACTTCTTTGAAGTACTAACTTTTGCTAATGACAATGACGATGAATTATTAATAAAATGCCTATGCTATGAAGGTCCGAAAATTAAAATAAGGGCTGCCTTAAAAGAATGTATGAGATTAGGGTTGGGGATTGTTCTGCAAAACTATCGGAGGCAGGTTGACGGGGAGGTCGCGGGAAAACGCTGTCACTTATTCAAGATACAAATTGTTCTGCAGGACTTGATTCGTTCTGCGACGTACGTCACAGCTTTAGGCACTTTCTGCTTCTGGGATTGTCAGCATGGCGTTTTTTTAAACTTCTCTTAAATAACTTGGTGCTATTTTTCTATAAATTTTTCTTTTTAATATATAGCTTATTTTTTTATTTCAATTAATACTCATTATCTAAATTAAATAAGCATCATTGGCATCAATAATAATTTGGAAATTTTTTACGTTTCTCTTAAAAGAACTCATAACATTTCTCCATTAATTTTGGCTTTTTTTTTAGTAAGCAGCTTTTTTTTTATGGTTTTCTAAAGGAATAAGTATATTTCCTTCATTATTTCTGCTTTTTAGTATACTGATTATTTTTTTTATTTCAATTAGAACCTCTTATCTAATTAATTAATCATCATTGACACTAAAAATTTTTATCATTTAATATAATTTTTTCATTAATTTTACTTTTAGTAGACATTTTTTTAAATTAAAGTACCGTTGATTTTAAATTATTTTACTTAGTTTTATATAAATGCATTTTAAAAGTGCAACTGTAAACAAAACACACAACAGGTTTCAAATAAATTTTTGAAATACTAATATATGACTTAGTTTGCCTATGCTAGCACTAGGATATTCAAGTATTGAACATTAAGTTTATCTGACATAATGAATAAGAAACAAATATTAAAGAATGTGTAATAAACTCTTTTTTCTTCATTAATGACACCTATAAGCTGGCAAACTTCACTGAAATTATTTGAAAGTACAGTTAAATTTACATCAGTGGTCAGTTGTAAGTGGCCCAATAAGAAAATTCCACTTTTTCCATTTTTAGAAATGTGGGCTTAAATGACCCTTTTCGAATACTGTCCAAATTTCAGGACGATAGCACTAACAGTTCTGGCGTTATAAAAGAGACACTTACACAGCACTAACTCGTCATTTTATTGTTATAAATTATTTTTTAAGTTTATTTTTTAGTGTACATAATGTAAAATATTTTCTAATATTCGAAATGTAATTATTTAAATCTAATATGCTTGCATTAGTGTTTGTTATTAAATAAATAATTGTTTGCAAAAATAAAAAATTTTCTCTTCAATACTATATGTACAGATATAATAATTTTAAAATAATCATGAACTTCAAACTAAAAATACTTATTATTTAAGGAAAGTGAAACCAGTTTAACACCCCTATAAAGTTTTTTTTTAAATAGTTTAATACTTTGCATATGATACACTTTTAAACATAACATTATCTTTTTAAAAATTCTTACTACAAATGCAATCATATTGAAATTTTATTACAACAATTTCTATAAAAGTAGTACTTTTTAAATATGCATAAATATAAATTTAATTCATTTTAATTAAGACTTTGCTCAGAAACTTCCAGTTTAAATTCTTAGCAATATTAAGTTACATTTTTTAAGATCTTTGATAAAAGTGTCATTTTTAAAAAAATGTAATCAGATTAGCCTGTAACCTATTATCAACTAACTATCAAACTTTCTTGCAATTCATTATTATTGTTTTCCTGTACATCAGTATTGAACCAAGCATATTTAAAAATTAATTCAGGCAGTTTATTTTATCTTCTATATGTTCTAACTAACATTCTTGAATGTACTATCACGATTAAAATTTGCTTTCAGTAATTTTTCCTTCAAATGTTGTGAACGAAATTTTTTTTTTACTTTCATTTTAGATTCTTGAAACTATAAATTTCTATGGTCCATCTTCTATACAGTCTGTTGTTTGGCCTTCAATGAATAGATCACGTAATTTAGCTGCTATTGCACCACCACATTCTGGAAAAACTGTTGGTTATCTTCTGCCACTTGTATCAAATATGACCGATGGGTTCTTTTATAGTAAAATACCTAAAGGAAAAGGAGTATGTACTAAATAATTACTGTTTTTTTTCTTTTCTTTTATATTTTATATCCGTCGTTGAACAGCTGACCCAGTTTTGAGTTTTCGATTACTAATTTTCAACTCTGTAGCCTTGTAATTTTGAACCAATCCAGAAGACAAGGAAACTCCTGGATCAGTACTCCCAGAGGTATTGATTTATTACGAGAACATGAAGGACTTTGCGACTCAACAGATTTAGCTTACATCAGTCACCATTTGCTACATGGGGGTCTTCAGCCGGCGGGGATCGAACTCACAAATTCTTGGACGTATGCCCAGTGCCTTACCAACCAGGCTATCCCGGCTCTTATTTCTTATTATAAGAACTTACATTATTGTTTGTTTATGTATGTGTATATATACATATGTAATCTATATATATATACTTATACACGCACAGTGCACGGCATTTAATGTGATAACGCTCAAACCAGATTGCAGTAGTTTGGATTCTAATAGATGACTGATTCCAATAACTTAATAGGTATTTCGCATTAGTAATAAGATAATATTTCACAATTTTTCTTGTTTAAATGCAATCAAATATTAGCTTACATATACAGATTTTAAATAAGATATCAATCATATTAAGTGATACAATTTTAATTTATTAGTAAGGTTAAGCAACAAATAAAAGTCACTTCTCTTCATTGATTCCTTAATAATTATAAAAGGGAAAGAAAACTTTATTTGCCTTAGAACTAAACATATTGAGGGCTTCTTATTTTTGTTCAAAGGAAACAGACAATAAATTTTTATTTCAGTATCCAGTGGTCATAAGTCTGTTTTCGGAAGAAAATTTAATGGCATATATAAATAATTCCAGTTTTGAAAATTTTTTGACTATAAATGGCTGCTTCTACTACTTTCCTGAGATGTGATTTTAAGATCAGGCTGTCACAATGTGTATATATATATATATGTAATGTGTGTGGGTATGCGCATGTATTCGTGTTGTGTAAATACATATATATATATATATATATTGTTATTTCTTTCAGCCCCTAGCTATAATACTGTGTTCCTCATGGAAGAAAGTTCAAGCTGTTTATGAATATTTTTGCACTTTTGGAGCGTTATCTAAACTAAAAATTGTCACTTTTTTTGCTGATGGCATAAGCAAAAGAGCTAAGGTAAGATTAGTTTCTGTATTTCATAAAATTATGATTTTGTGAATAACTTTTGCTATTATTTTTTCCTATAATATTGGTTTAGAAAACATAGTATAGTAAATCTGAAAAATCCAGGCTGCTCAGAGGTTTAAAAATTCTTAATTTTTGATATCTAATGTAATTAAATAGAGAGGTCAAAATCAAAAACCCAAAATTATTAATTTTTTTTAATGTGTTTAATTCCAACATAAATAAACATGCTTCAAAATTATTTTTCAATTATTCCAACTGACTTTGATGTGATTTTTATAGTTTTGATATTTTTTTATCAAAAAATTATTACAGCATACAATTTTCGAAAAAAATTTTAAAGTTAGCCTTTTTTTAAAGTTTCTTATTCATCATAAACTTTCGGGATATTTTAATAGCTTTCTAGCAGTTGTTTATGCCAGATTTTCACATTATTTCACCATATGCGCATTTGAATAACGCGTTCAGGTATTTGCTTACTTCAAGGCACTTAATTTATGACAATTTCTTCTTATGTTCCTCTATTTTACTTGTGTGTTTTTTTTTCAAGCAGTAATTGCTAAATTTTTTTTATTTTTTTTTTTTAATTTCAATGTTTTTAATAGTTTAATAGTATTACAACATGCACATTTGAGTAATTACTTTTGGAATGGAAGCACTCGATTTGTGACTACTTTCATCATAGATCTACATGGCTTAGGCAATTATTACAATAATTTCTATTTGGTTTTTAAGATCCCAATATTTTTGATACCATAATATTGTGACACATTTTCTGAGTTGGGTATTTGTGTAATATCTTTTTGACATTGCAAGAATCACAATGATTTTATTCTAAATTCATTAGGTTTGACCATTACTTTTTCAGCAGTTATTGCTACATATTTCCCCCATGTTTGAAAATGGATTTTTTTGAATTACTATTATTACGATGTGACTTTCACCACATCTTGCTAGGTTTTCTGTTTTAGTCAGTTTTATTGTCATAATTTGGAAAAATTTTCTGTATTTCTGAGGTTTTACAGGTTTTAGGAGTAGACCTTTGCCGTAAAACCTTTGGGTTTACGGCTATATTGTCTTAATTTAAAAATGTAAAAACAGATTTTGCTTTACTGTGTTAAAGATTTTGGAATTGCTACTGCTGATTCTCCTTGTGAAGTTTTACTATCACATTTTATGTTTCATTTGTTTTAGTTTCAGGATCACATTAAAGTTAGGATTAAACAGGAGTCCAAATTTTAGAATAATCAACTCTTCATTGAATAATTTTAAAATGTAAAAAAATTTAAATTCAAATTTTATTATAGCAGGATTACAATTGCCAATATGATAAGGTAGTACACATAGTGACGATTGAACTGCCTAATTCCATGATCCCATATTGTAATAATTATAAAATCTATTTATTTTTCTGTTATTATTTAACTTAAACATTTTACTTTGATTAGATCAGAATCACAATACTGTACAATATTAAATAGGCCCAGTTTAAAATAAATTTTTTTCTTCAACCATTATTTATTACTCTTTTTTCGTTCATTTATTTTTTTTATTTCAGTAATATTGTTAAGATTTTCACAAGCATGCTACCTTGTTGGAAATTTTTGAGTAGCTTTTCCACAACAGGACCTTTCACTAAAATTTTATTCACACCCATAAAAAATTAAATTAACATGCTTTGGATTTCTGACTACATGTTTACTTTCTTTTAAAATTTTTATAGATCAACTAATTTTTTTTCTTCAGATAACTACTTTAACAAGTGGATGTGATGTTATAATTTCTGTTCCATCCTCTCTACTAGAGCTTTTTAAAGAGAAAGCTGTGGATATCTCTAGATGTTGTCATTTTATTTTAGATGATGGAAACATTTTATTGTCTCAGCAAATTGAAAAGGTTAGTTGCACATTTTTATTTATTTAAAATTTCTTAAAATAAGGTTTTAGTGTTTATGTTAAATATAGACTATATTGAGCTTTTATATACAGTAGAGAACCATTTATCCGGTATCCAGATAACCGGGAAAAATTTTGCTCGATTTTCCCGCCATTTTAAACTAGAACGAAAAAAGCAGAAATTGGACTCATCCTTGAAGTTGAGTAGAGGAAAATGTAAGGAAGGGGAAATTTTTTTTCCCCGTTTACCCAGAGAAACGTCATTTCCTCCGTGACCTTGAAGGCAGGGAAGGGAGGAATGTTTTATTTTTTCCTTTAGGCCGTCAATCAAACTCAAGGGTGTGGCATGCTGATTTCGTTTTCTGCTTGATTTACGAGGGGGGTGGGGAAAATGCATTGCATGCATATCAGTGAACAGAAAAAGAAAAGAGAAAAATATATTTATTTGACATCGACTAATAAAAATAAAATCTTTTTCTTTTGAATAAATTCTCATTCTTTGGAAGTGTAGTATCAATTGCAAGTTTTTCTTGGTGTGGAATCACATCTGCTGTAATTAAAACTCTTGTTTTTATCAACAAAAAAAATAAAATAAAAGGAGAATTGTTTATTAATTTAAACATAGGTTTATTTTATGAAGCAGATTGCAGTTTTGTTTTTCTGATTTCACTACGTTTGATTTTTTTTCTTTTCGCGATAAATTTCGCACTCAATTAATTAATTCTTTTTATTCATAAATTTTATCATTAGGTTTTTTTTCCTTTTTTTTTGAATTCCGTTGATCTTGCCTTGTTCCGGGTTTTAATATTTATGCTAGTGCCTTTTTTAACTATCGTTTCGGTTCGACAATTTTCAAGTGTTTCAATTTAGATTAATAAGTTTTCCTTTTATTTTATCGTTTCTCCCCGTATAATTAGGTATGAAATATATTGCGTTATTTAATCATTGGTTTTGTTTATATTATTTAACTTAGGAATTGTAATCTTTTTCAAAAAATATGAGAATTTTGTATTTTTTAAACTTGATTTTCTTGTCTAAACTTGCAAATTTAAATGTTATATTTCTGCCATTTTTTTTTTTCTTTTTAAAGTTAGGAGTACCTTTCTTTTTTCTCTTACTTTATGCATTACACTTTTTCCATGTACTTCGGGTTCGATAAAACATCGATTAACGACACTTTTTGGTCGATCCAGAAAACCGGGAAATTCAGATATCCGGGATAGCGATGGTCCCGAGCATCCGGAATAATTGGTTCTCTACTGTACTGATTTAAATCATCGAAATTTCACCTAGAAAGCTCAGCACATATGACTATGTAAAATTTACTTTGTGTTTCATTTTTAAAAATCAGTTGAGGGATATTTTTGTATTCTTTTTTTTAATTCACAGTTATGTACAACTGCCTTTTCACATTTAAAAATTATCAAACCAGACTACTGATTGCCTTAATTTGCATAATAGTTGTTTTAATGTGAGGGAAATTCAGGCAGCTCTGAAAAAAGATTGGTCAAATTAAATAAAAGTAAAACTGCTTCAAATTTTTTTATTGTAAATTTAAAAAAAAAATGGGTGGCTTTGCAAATTATAATTGTGAATTATTACTATTTCAATATACAGACAAACCCCACTATAGTGAACGAAATGTTCGATCCCGTGCTTTGCTATACACGTATAATGTTATTTTTTGTAGATATAGTGAACAAAAAAAGTTAGGAAGTTGGATATAATGAACTTTTTTCCGTCTTTGGGTGATTTTTTTTGTGTGATAATTTTGAAATTTCTACTTCAAAATTAATACATACACCGATTTTTAAAACCAAATATAGAGGGGGATGTAGCGATAAGCATTTTTTCTTGTTTGCTTCTTTTATCTCATTTTCCCATCCCTAAACAAACCAAGCAGATGAACTCAGCCAGATGATGCACCTGTAAGGTGTCAGTGGAATCAATATGCATTTTCTGTCAGAGGGAATGAGGAATTATTCATTATTGGTCGAAGGATTGGACGCTAATATGTGTTGATAAGGCCCTCATTTCAACTCCTTTTTGCTCTCAGCTCAGTTTAAAAAAATCCTGTAAACTGTCTCAAATTTAATTATGGCGAACAGTAAACGTAAAAGGTTCTCCATTGATGAAAAAATGGACATAATCAGAAAAATTGAAAATGGGTGCAATCAAGCTGATATTTGCAGGGAATATAAACTATCCAAATCTGCAGTTTGTAACATATGGAAAAATAGGCAATTAATAATTTCTGCTCATGAAAAAAATTTCGATGGCAGAAACAAGTTGAGAAAAGCAGATCACATTAAATTGCCTACGTAACGGATATAGTGAACTCTTGGTTATAGTGAACCAAAATTTCGATCCCTTGAAGGTTCACTATAAGGTTCACTTGAAGGTTTGACTACTTTGATTTCTATTATTTTTAGCATATGCTAGTTTATTCAAAAAAAAATTTTATCATCAAATTAATGTTTTTTTTTTTTTTTTTTTTTTTTTTTTTTTTTTTTTTTTTTTTTTTTTTTTTTTTTNTTGTATAACTTTTTTTTTTTAAAAAAAATTATATAATTTTGGGAAATTTGACAAAAAAAAAATTGTTCTAGGGAATATTAGGCTCTCATAATTTTCTGCAACCCTGCTGAGATATTTTTTTCAAGTTAGTTATTATTTTAATTCTTTTTTATAGGTAACAAAATTAATGCTAACATTTGTTGAAAGTATTCGATCTAGAGTACCACTGTCTGTTTCGCTTCAAATCATTGTGTGTGCTGAGAGATGGACAAAAAGTATATCAGCATTTGTGGAAAAATTCATGAACAATCCTATCTTGTTATTTACTTCATTTTTAGAATGGGCTATTTATGCTCAAATACCCATGTTTGGCCATGTTTGTTTTGACAATAAGAATGATAAATTAGTGGGTAAGTATGCTATTGAATTAATGTAATATAAAATTGCATCATATTGCATTGATATTGTCAAATTAATGTTTACTTTGTATGATATTTTTACAACAAATGATTTTTAAAAGAAATCTATCTATGTATTTTTTCTTTTTTAGAAATTTTGCAAAACGCTGTCAGGACAATTATTTGCACCAGTGATAAAGAAGCAGCTCTAGAAGTCCATTCTCACTTAAAATTTGAAAGCATAAGATCTTTTTTAGTTACTGATGATATGGAACACTATATTTCAAAAGGTTATGCATTTTCCTTTTAATTCATTGTATCCATATAAAATCTATTATTTATAGCTTTCTTTATAATATTTAAACTGAAAAATAATTATTATTAGACTTTTTCATTTGGTTTTACTATCTATGAGACACTATATTTCAAAAGATTATGAATTTCCCTTTGTATTCATTTTTTCTGTATAAAATCCATTATTTATAGCCTTAATTTCTTCTTTGACATTAGTTGACATGTTATCCCGCTTTATATATATTAGTATAACCTAGTTCATCACTCATTTAAATATGCATCCAGATTTTTCAATGTTGAATTAGTAATCTTTGAAATCCTAAATGTTGGAAAAACCTGGACAAACAATTTTTCGTATAACTTAAATAAAATAAAATAAATTAATTAACAAATTTTAGTAAGAGTAAACTTTTTCTAATAACTAAATTCAGTTGGTTTTAAAGTGGTGGCCTTCTGTAGTGATACAGAGCAGGGTTCATAGTTGTCCTGATTTTCCTGATAAATATTATTTTGGACTTATTTTAGCTTTTCGTGTGATCAAAAAACAGTGGAACCTTTTAGTGGGTCATTTTGACCTAAAATCGTTTTTGTTATCGTTTTTCTCAGAAAGTTACAAACAAAACTGAACAAAAACTTTAGACTTTTACTAATTTTCTATCTATCACAAACCATGGAAATATTATGAGCCTTACTTAAATGAATGTTTAGTTATTGACACTTATACCTAAAACTGCGGTGTTTATGTCGTTTTGACCCAGTTCCTAAAAGTATGTGTTGCATTTTAATAAGGGATGAGAAATATTTCTTTCTTCTACTTTTTTTTCTTCTCTTTTTGTTATGTAGAAATTTCTTAAATCATGATGTCAGTTCTACAAATTAATAATTTTGGGTATTGATAAGAAGATTCAATTATAAAGTATGAATCGTTCATAACTTTGAATTGGAATTGTATCTTTCATCCTGTTGTTTTTCTACTATTGAATGGAGCTGACGAGTAGTTCAGAGAAGATCACGGCAGAACAATGTTAATTACTGATCTGAAAGGGAGTGCAAACTTAATTCTACAATTTGCTAAATACTTCCATGGCGTCATCAGAACACAGGATTTTTATTTTGCAAATCCTCCCAAATAGCAAGACGGGCAGCACTGATGTAAACTTATGCATTGGAAATCTCTTCTATTGAATAATCATGTTTCAGAATAAAAACAACTGTAAAGATACACTTAGGGAGGCGCTTGAATATTTTCAACACTAACGGAAAATGACTCAGGAGACGAAAGTTGATGATTTCATAATTAACCATGAGGAATATGCTATTCCAAAGGAAGAGTCTTCCTCATCAGATAGTGAAAATGATGAACTCTCTTGCTCTGCTATCATCTCATCAAAGGAAAAAATTTCTAATAAATGCAGAAGACTTGATAAAAATTACGGACATGTAGAAGTAAACCATTTTGTTTCCAATGATGGCGTTACTATTACACCTGGCGTTGGCAATCAAGGTAGGTTGGCTGGACACAACGTTTTTAAGAAAATACCTGGCCCAAGTCCTTACACCAAATAAAATGTTAAAAAAAGTTATGTATCTAGTTAATGAAGACTATTTTTAGATGAATCTATAATTCAAAATTGCATATCATTGAAATGAAGAAACAAGTTTAGTTGCATTAATCCCAAGGGTCGCATTCCCCCTAAAGTTCATAAAATTTCTAAAACTATGTGCAAACCCTAAAATTCCTAAAAATTTGATAAAATTTTGTTGGTGTTCCTAAAAAATTAGAGTTATAGGCTAAATATAAATAAAAAAGCAATAATCTAAGATATAAGAATTTAACTACATTAATTAAAACTGCTTTAATTTTGCCACATGGGAATTCTGATCCTGAGAGAGGTTTTCGATAAATAAAGCATTGCTTAATGTGAGTCACCATGAGAATACTATTATGTCTCTTAGACTAATCAAAGATACCATTCAAAATAATGGAGGAGTGTTGAAGATCACCACAACACTATTGAAGGCAGTAAAAGAATCTCACAAATCATATCAAGAATGTATTAGAAAAATGATCATGATTAATTTGTTTTTCTCTAACTTCTAATATAAATTGCTGGTTTGAAATCTAATAATATCGCTCAATAGTTTTTCTTAATAAAGTAAGGTAAAGGGTAATAATAAAGTTTTGATTAAGAAGGTAAAAATTAAATAAAAATCCAAGTTGGTGCTAATTTATTTTTTCTCTTGATTTATTCTCACTTTTGCCTGTTCCTGAATTATGCACTTAATTTCTGATAGGTAATATGTAAAGTTGAAATTTCATTTTTACACTTTAGAGATTTCATTACTTGACTTAATAAATTTCAGAGCTTTATTTTATGGCTTGCAATTATTTATGATATGTGTGGATGAATTGTAATAATCTTCTGTTATGTAATAAACTACCGTGTGATCTGTTTTTATCCTAGCAAAATCATATATTACCCCTAAAATTTTTTGAAAAAAGCTCCTAAAATTACCCTAAAATTTTAAAAAACTTTGCTGCTACCCCTGTAATCCTTCTCTTCAAATAAATATTTAATGAGTTATATAGAAGGTATGTTACTCCTTTGGATAGATAATATAACCTTGAACATTGATTTTACGTTATGATGAGATAATATAACTGCGAACTTTGATTTTACATTATGATGAGTTAGGAAAAGGTGTAATACAAAGAAAGATCCAATTGATTTGTCAAACTATTTCCAACATGAAGAATGGCATTCCTACTCACTAAATCTCAATCCTATGGATTACAGAGTGTGGTTAATTTCGGAGTCTTGGGCCTGCACTAAACCGCATAAAAGTTTGTACCCTAAAACAATTGCTTTGGCATGATGAGATAGATCAAAGGTAAAAGACTTGTGGCCTATTGCTGAAAATTTAATAACTGTTTGCATCTCTGTAGTGCTACAAAAGGTGGCCACTTAAAACCAATTAAATGCATTTATTAGTAAAAGTTTACTCTTACTATTATCTAAAGTTCAATTTCAAATTTTTGTTCATGTTCTTTCTTAAAGAAGTTTTCTTAAAGTGTTTTTAAGTTAAAGTGTTTTCTTAAATCTGAAAAATATACAATTGTTTTCATTGAAATGTGCTCTTTAAGAAATTATAATTTTATCACTAATGTAATTAAAAAGTTTAATGGAAATACTATAAGAATTATTTTTTTATGAGAAGGGAATGGTTTGACTTGTATATTTAATTTATAAATTAGCAATTTCAATTTTCTGAAGATTTTGATATTTGTGCTTGTTAGCTATATGAAAAAAATTAAATTTATTTACAAAGTAAATTTAAAGGAAATCTTAAAAATTTGGAGAAAAAAAATTTATAATTGCAATTGCTTAGGCATAAATTACTACATTCAATAACAGTCTACAAATCCAAATGTTGTTACCTTAAAATAAACTTTAACTTAGAAAATGTTTTATTTTAAAATTTTTGAAAGTTAAAATTTAACCTTTATTTAAAAAAAATGTAATTGCCTATCTCTGTGTACAACCTGATCAAAATTACAAGGCTACAGAGTTGAACATTAGTAATCATAAACCCAAAAAATTGGGTCGGCTGTTCAACGACGGTTATAAAATATAAGAATAAAACAATAATCTGAAAAGCCTATAACTAATTTTTCCTTTCTGTTTAACTGGTTTAAATTTCATAAAGGTTGTGAAAAAAATTAACATACTGGCTTTTGATACTTTTTTGCAGAGGTTATTAAAGATTGGAAATCTGTTCAGTTCTCATCTGTACCTAATTGTTTAGTTATTACTGATGCAGCTTTGATTGATATGCCTGTTAGTAATGCTAACCATCTCATTCATTATGACATTCCTGAATTATCCCGTTCACAGTTTGGAAACCGATTTGGCTGTGTTGTTGAAAGCTCCACTACAACAGTATGTAAAAGTACCATTTTATATCACACACTTATATATTGCTCTTAAATTAGATGGTGCCCTAATTGCATATGTTTAGCTGCTTTTATATAATTTGTTCCAAAAGAGTAAAACTTTATAATACTATAATTATTGGAACCAGTAATTGAAATTTAAGATATTTTATTGTTGAGATTACTTAATGCATTCACCGCCTCCATAGAATGTTAAAAAACCTAATAATGATGATTAATCATAGAGGGCTACCAGCAAATATAAAGTCACTGCTGATCTGCTTAAGAAATTTTATTTAATGTACTATACAATTATCCCTATTACCCATAGATGGTGCTCAAAACACAAATTTAAAATATTTTCGTGACTTACTGGCAATGCTCATGACAGGGAACCCTAAATAAATTTAAACTTTTAATTACTTAACAACAGAGCTTATTTTTAGATGTTTCTTTCCTTTAAGCAGAAAATTTCTATCATTTATGTGTTAAGAATCATTTGACATTTATTATATGAACTAGAAAAATACTTCTTTGTATACTAGAATTACTATATATACAATGTATACTGAAATATGTCTAACTAGGAATTTACTAATAAGTTGTGTAAATATAACAGGCAACTAACATTTGAACTCACTTTTTAAATAAAAAATTAATGGAAATAGATATATTAATTGGAATCACAATGGTTCAGTGGTTAAGATAAACATTGGGATGAACTGAGGTTTGATCCCCACTGGCGACTTGAAGCCCGCCCAGCTTTAAATCAATGGTTACTAGCTTATCTGGGAAGTAAATGCGGCCTGTGCTCACTGCTGGCCGTATTACAACAACCTTTGGTGCCGTTGGTCACCAAAGTGTGGAGCCTTAGTCTCCATGGCCCTCCTGGCTCATAACTGGCTGTTGCACAGGTGCTTTACCTTTTTAGATAAGTTTTTTTTTCCCAGCCCATGTTTAGTTAAAAGAAATCGTTTAAAAAGCACTTTATTATCTATTACTTTGCTCCATGAAACATATATGTATTATATATTTTATTTTTTCATAAATATAGCACGATTTGCAGAAAAGGAGGAAAATTATGTATTAATAGTTAGAAGTGTTGATTGTTGTATTCTGTTTTCCGTGTACAATTGAATAAGTTAAATAATTTTAATTTTTTAAGGACTACAAATCAGATTGCAGTGTTCATATTCTTATATCTCAAGAATGCTCTTATCAAGCTGCAGCTTTATTGAAGATCATCAGTCGAAGTGGTGTAGAGGTTTCCAAAGAACTGAAGATTATAGCTTCTAAACAACCAAAGGTAACAGCCATTTAAGTACTTTTATTTAAATAATTTGTGTGTCTGAATTTTTGACTGTGAGGGTGCTTATGATTTCCTCTGATACTGATCCTGATGTCTATGAAACTTGAAAATCGAAATTCAAAAATATAGTTTTTTTTTTCTTTAAAAAATAATTTTTATAATTCATACCAAATATTGTAATGTTTTTGCTGTGTTATAATGTTAAGTGAAAAGTTTATGAATTGCTACTGAAGTAAAGAATAAAAACTGCATTCTTAAGCATAGTTTTATTAGTATATCAAACAATTCTACCATATTTTCTATAAGTGTAGCTTTCAGAGATGTTATATAGATGCGTCTCTCTTTTCAGAACTTAACTACTTTTTATTTTACTCTCAGTTTTAAATATTGCTCCTAGATATAGATTTAAAAGTAATTTTTTGATAAATTGTATTCATATCTGTCTTTTAAAATATGTATTTATTTTTTTTACCTAGAAACTTATTCTCAATTTTTTCATAGAACTTTGTTAAATATTGCTCTTTATTAATTAGTACCCTTTTCAACACCAGGGGAATTAAATAATTAGTTTTTAATTGCTTAAATTTTAGGATGAAGAGCCAGGTACGTAAATGTGTTTATACCTTGATTAACGTTATAACTATTTATTTGAAAATTGCAGCTCAAATTGTATTCACCAATTAGCAAAAAAGCTTATGTGTGAAATTTTTTTTTAATTCTCTTAGGTATAACAAAAAATTCAAATATTTCTAAAAGAAATAATGATAAAAAGACATGTTTAGATGTTTCTTAAATTATAATACAAATTATTATAGTTTAATATAAATTAAATTGCAATTTTAATTTAAAATTTTTTTTCCATAAAAATATCAATTATTTTATTTAATAAATGTTTTAATTTGTCAAAACATACTTATAAATGTTAAAATTTCACTATAGTAATTTTTCTGGGGTTATAATCACCATGGTTAGTTTAAAAAACTCATTAAAGCAAAATTATTTTTTGACATGTGTAATATAAATTGCTTTAATGGCAAATGTAATATAAATTGCTTTAATGGCAAATTGCTTTTATGTGTAAACTACAATGTATTGTTTCTTTTATCTGTAGTTTTAATAGTGTTTACATTGGTTTTGATGGTGTGGAGTTAATGTGTGTTTACATATCAATTTCCTTTATATCGAGAAACTAAGTGTACATTTAAGAAATTAAACATATTTCTAACTTTATTTTTTATGAAACAAAGTTCTCCTTATTATTTTACTTGTAAGATTTTTAGACATAAATTAATATTATGCTTTTAAAAAACATTTCTATTTTTAGATTTTGAAAAGCTCAGATGTATCTCTATGTTCTAATTTTAAAGCATATGGTAAATGTGGTGTATCTAATTGTGAATCACGACATCATATTGATTCTGTTGCTGATAGGCCTTCAATTATTCCTAAAGAAGGTGACATTCAATGTCTAATAACTCATGTGTTTGATGCCACCCATTACTATGTCAGACTTTTGAAGTATATATCACCCAGTGAAGAAAACCCCAAACATGTGTCAATGAGTGCTACATATGCCAAAATTGGGTTCATGTTGAAAAAATTTTATTCTATGGAAGAAAATCAAATAAAAGTGAACTCTGTTAAGATTGGTGAACAATATGTTCTTGAAGATAAAAATAAGCTTTTTTACCGAGTTAAGGTAATGATAATTTCTCTCTTCTTTTTTTTAAATTAAAATTTTCAAGGTGCAATTTGATTGTTAAAATTTTTTAAATTCTACATCACTATTTTTAAAACTCAACATGTTATTGTGAATATTTATTAAAATTATCTCTCTGGTATGTTTTTTTTTCTTCAAAAATATGTGAAAAGAACATAAATGTTAATAATTCAGATTTTTCATTTATATATTTTACTTTGATTTTGTAAAATGATGAAAATGTGCATTGAAATCTCATTGGTCATTGATTATAATACTAAAAATGATTTGTAAATTATACAGTTAATGTCACAACCTAATAACATCATTAGAAAAAAAAAAATTTGTTGTAATTAAGTTGTATTCTGTACTGTTCTGTGTATAAATAACTAATAAATTTATGTAATATGAAATGGATATAATTTGATGTTTGAAATATACTTATTAAAATTATTTGGTGTGTAAAAAAATTACTAAAAAGAGAGGAAAATCTAAAAATTGATCTTCAATAAAAAGTGAAAATATTTTGAATATATTTTCTAGAATATATAAGATTAAGTAAAACTTAAAATTTCAAATAGGCAAGCATAAATTATATTGTAGTTTAAAAAATTAAAATTTTGTTTTTGTGAAATTATTTGTACTGTTGTTTCAAGTATTAAATAGTTAAAATTTTAAAAAGACTACTCTCAATCATATTTTTTAATATTTTAAGCTTAGTGGTGATTTTTTTTTTTTAAATATATTTTCATTTTTTTTCGTAAATTGCAATAATTTATTGCATTTTGCTACATCAATTTTTCAAAATATTGTGTGTATGAACATTTTTTGATGACTGTAACTGTGTTGTATATTTTTAAATCTGATTTAATTTAATTTTTGCATTGCAAAATCCTCATTTCAGGTTTTAAATATTACTGAATCACCAAAAGAGATAACGTTTGGATTTCAAGATGAAGGATGGGTCAAAACTTATACTAACTGCCAGTTGTATTATCAGGTTAGCGATTTAGATTTGCCTGCTCCTGTAGCTGCTGAAGTATATTTATGTGGTATGACGCCTCCAGATTCGTGTTTAGATTGGAATTTTCAAGCATCACACTTTATCCATAAAATGATCTTTGGAAAGGAAGTTCACGGAAAAGTAAATTGCATACATTTCTGTTTTAAAACATTATTATTTTTTCCCCTTCAGTTTACGATTTTTTTTTATGGCCGAAAACATTGTTATTTTGGTGCATTTATGCAAAAGTTTGTTATATTTGTTAATTTACGCAGGAAACATTTTTTTAAAATTTATACTAGAAAAATTTTTCATTTGTCTTTGTTATATGATTTTTAAAAATCTCCAATTTTAATCAACAGTGAAGTATTCATTTTATAGAATTTTCTAAATGGCAAATAAGGATATCATTGTATAAAAAAGTTAAATTTCATATTCGCTGTGCTTTTGTGTTAAGATCATTAAGAATCTACTTATTTGATAAAGAAAATCTTGAACTGATTTATAAATCTGAATTAAATATTAGTTTTGAGAGTATTAACTGACACTGGTTATTTTATGTAATGCAATAGTGCTTAAAATTTTATATCTATTGATCTCAAACTATGATATAAGTTGTTCAGTACACCATTTAAAATTAAACTGAAAACTGTTAAAACTTTTTGTTCTAAGCAAAGTAATTTTGAAATTAAAAACAGATATTTTATAATTTTTAGGAGCAAATGTGTATTTATTTTCTAATTATATTTTCTTTTAGTTTGTTGTTTTTTTTATTTTTATCAGTAGTTTGTTGTTCTATATTATTTCAATAATTGTATTGATTTTATGAAAAATGATCAGATTTTTTTTCTTTGACCCCCAACAAAGCCTGTTTTTATTTATTTATTCTTTATTTATTTATTTTTTTGGCAACTTCAAGCCTTGTATTATTTTTCAATGTTTTAAAATTTAGCAAAAAAGTTTTTAGTTTCAAACAAAATGTTTGTTTTATTATGAAAACACTAAATTAGCTAAAATTTTGTTGGTTATTCCTTGTAGTAGATAGTTAAATAGATAGAACTATATAATTTTTTTTTATCAAAAGTAATTTTTTGTTATATAAAAGGCAACTTAAAGAGAATATTTATATCTTTTTTCTAATGTAAGTTTGTTGTAATATAAAACTTTTAATATATTTTCCATGTCTTTAAATTAAATTTGTTTTTGGTTTTGTTCTAGATTGTTCTTTGTCTTGACAATACTTTGTGGTTGAATCCAATTGTTCTTCGAGAAAAACTGATATTTGCTAATGATTACTTAAATTTGATGACAGTTAGTAAAGAACTAAAGGATTATGGTTATGCAGTTGAAAATAAGCAGCATATACCTTTGCTTCATAAAGCTTGTGAAGGCATAGTATCCTTTCCGAAAATTGCAGGTGTGTGTTTAAATAATAAAAAAGAGCTAGTTTAATTTTTTAGACTCATAGACTTAAATTTCCTCTCTACTAGTGATCCAAATTGTTATTTGCATTTATAAACCCTCACCTAGTTTTTATTTAAAAGCTTTCAGTGTGTGATTTTTTATTCAATAATAGATATGGTTTCTAGAAGGATTTTGTTTTATTGTTAGAAATAAGAGATTTCACTAAAAAAAAAGCATATACTATATGAAAGATTGCCATAAATGAAAAACTTCTTGGAAAAATTTCAAGATGAAAATTGTATATTGTTAATTTATTGTGATAAACTACCGAATATGTGTAAGTTTAATTTCAAATGTACAAATTATTAATTTACTATTATAAAAACACAAATATTCAAAATATTATGTATTTAATAAGTTCCAAGTCAAATCTGCAATTACCAACTGATGTATAAAACTTATTTTTAAATTTGAGGATTTTCTTTGATCTGATCTGATTAGAAATAAGATTTCAAAAATAATTCTATATAAAAACTTCGTTTTTTTTAAAAAAAAAAAAGGCATTGGATGTTATCACCTTTTTTATTGCAATTAGATTAATTGTGGCTTTATTTTGACTCAAGTTTTGGCCATTCTTCCCTCTTTGATCACAAGTTGCATCACGTGTTTCTATATATAGCAAAAAGGAATGGGTAATGGGAAGTTATGGTTATGTAGTATGTTTTATAGCTACCTAGAGCAGTGTTTCCCAAACTTATTACTTTTGTGTACCCTTTCTAAATTTTTCACAATGCTGTGTACCACTGATAAAAAAAAATGAATGCATTTTTTACTATAAAAACTTGCACAAGAGTTAAAAATCACAACTGGCTGTTGACACCACTAATTATTAACTGCTAATTCTGCAAAAAATAGCCAACAGAAAAATATGTAATCGTAAATTTTCATGGCTAGGTTTGTTTTTAAATAATAGGATAGGAAAGCGTAACCCCGTTAAACTGTTCCCATACCCGTGGTGGTTCGCGTACCACACTGTGGGAAACACTGACCCAGAGCAACTAATTTCTTAAGAAAAGTAAAACTTTTTGAATGTCAATGTCTATTTTCCTAAACATTTTTGGAAATATATAGGAGGGAAATATATTTCAACAGAACGTAAGAAAGTTATGATTATTTCCCTATATGTACGACTGAAATTATAGAAAAAATAATCTTTAATGTTTCATAGCCATAAATTAAAATTTTGAAATTTTATAATTTTTTTCCCCTTTGCCTTCAAGGTGTCAACATAAACATATTAAAACTGCTGACTTACAATACTTTTTAGAATTTCATAGTAATTTAATTGTCATTCATGTATTGAGGCAATATATATATTAGTTGTTAGGAGAATAATTTTTGTTTTTTAACTTAGAGAACTTAATTAAGTTTTTTCGATGGCAACTCAACTTTCCACTTAAGCTGCATAATAATTTCATATTTTGACAGCTGAGCTTTCTTGTTAAAAAGCTTGATTGATTCTGCCAAGTAGTCTGGTTGGTGCCCTTTCAAATATGGAATGTGAAAAGCTGTATTTTAGACTTATTTTAATTTTCAAATTACAGCGCACCAAAGAAAACACACTACTTAGAATTAAATAACTAACTATTATATACAGTAATTGGCTCATTAAATTTCTAATCATTGTAATTTTCTTCGAAAAATATGCATTTACTATTTTAGACCCCAGTCTATTCCTAATTAATTAGCTTAAGTGAAATTTTAAAAAATTCAAATACACACTTCATTGATTATTTTAGACTTAGAAAAAGTTTTAATTCATCAAATAAAGAAACAAAAGCCAAGTGAGTAATTGATCCATGACCATGAAAACCCTATAAAAACATAAACAAAGAGTAATGGCTATTAAATTTAATAAATCTATGCCTTGAATCTGATGCATAGTAACTTGTATCTAATTACGCTTTCAGAATGTTACACAAAGAAGGTGTATAAGTGAAAAATGATGTTGTGAATTACTACTCTTTCGCGTTAAGCTTGATGCATAAATGTAAAGTTTTTAATGCGTGTGTTTTAATTGAATAAATACTTCCTTTAAAACTATTTACTTTTGTTGAGGAATAAAATCTGATGATTCCTTTAATTTTGTATCATACTCAAATAAAGTAAAATGAATATTCTTTAGACATTTAATGTGTCTTTAAGTTAATAATTGTACTTTTAAAATAATATTTCCTGATTTTTGATTTTCTATATCAAGAGGGAATTGCTCAATTTAAATTAATCTTGTTTATTTTAGATACTTCTACACAGGTTAATGTTTATAATGAACCAGAACAAACTGAAATTTTTCACGCTTTTTTGGAACTGAATCTTCTTGAAGATGTCTATGTTTCTAGTGTAGTTTCTCCTCATCAATTTTACGTTCAAAGAGAAAAATTTGTTGATTGGTAATTTAGAGAACTCATTAATTTTTACTTTCTTCAATTTGTGCAAACTGAATTAAAACCTTTTCTATTTTAATTTTAGTTTAGATAAACTTCTGGATAAAATAGATGAGTTTAGACAGAACCATATGTTGAAGAAATGCAAAACTTTTCAAAAGGGAATGCATTGTATTGCACCATTTAGTGAAGATAATAGGTGTGTGTTTTTAGTTATCTCCAATTACGCTTTTATAGTTTTAAGTGAAATTAGATTATAAAATTTATTTATCTACACATGACTGAATGTGATTATTATTGGATCAGTCCTTTAAAAATTACTTATGTTTACTATTTACAGTATAGTAGAACCTGTAAAGTTGATCACTTTTCTAGGTTGCCTGTTATCATCGGTCTCCAAATTATTCTTCCATATATTTTTTTTTTTAAACATAGGAAACTTTTTTAGTCTGACCATCTAAAATGTTGACCTTCTAATCAAATCAAATTTGACTCATTGAATATTATAAAAAGCTAATCTATATTACCACTTGTTGCGAAGTATTTATATATCCACTCTTCTAAGAAAATGTTTGCCACTCTAATATGTTCAGATATAAATCTTTGTAAATTGTTTAGAATGCTTACCTAAGACTAAAAATCTGATTATTTTCAAATTTTTTTATAAGGAAGGAAAATAAAAAAATTTAACGATTTACGTGTGTAAAAATGTAAAACTCTGAATAAAAATTTTAAATTAATTTCTTCGAAGAGTTTCAGAGGTCAATACTTTTGAACACAAAAAATTGCTGAAGAATATTCTACTCAAGATCTCATAAATTGAATTAAAACTCCACAATATAAATTGCGGAGAAGACAAAGGTCAAACCAACTCGTTCATTGATTTAATATGAAATGGCATTTCTTCCTTTTCCTTCTTACTGTTCTGTAGGATGAATTATTTGGGCTGTTTTATTTTTTGTTGGAGGGAAGTGGCTAATTTTATATTTGCATTGCACCTGCTTTATAGAGAAATAAAAAATACTGAATTAGAAGAGTAGATTAGAAAACTACTACTATTCAGATTCAGTACTTTTCAGAAGTATTTCAAATTGTTGATTATCTTGGTTCACCAAATGCCGATTAAATATGTTTCACACATTGTAATTTACATTCATGAGTTTTAAAAGTCATACATTGATATACATTTTCAGGTGATTTAAAAATTAGAATTTGCATTTACCCATTTGATATTGTATAGCAGAATTCATAATCATATAGTTTAAAAATTAAGCATCATGATTTGTATTCATGTAATTTAAAAATCTGATATTGTGGTTCATATTAAAAAATTTTACATCTCGATTTTTAATCACTGGGATTTAAAATCGAATACTGTTGACTCGTACTTGCGCTAAAACAACTCGATTTGTATGAGTTGATTTCTGGGTTTAAAAAAGTTAATTATCTTGCCTTCTTATAATTTGAAATTTTTACATAACATTTATTTTCAATGTCACAGATAATTGCAAAAATAGTTATAAAATTTTTTTACAATTTTTCTGAAGCTTATATCATTATTATTATGGTTTATTACTCAAGGATTACCTAAATCTGTGTCAAAAATTGAAATCTTTATATTGTTAAATTTAAGTATTTTAATTTCTTAAAATAATTTGATGAATTTTATTTATACTTTAATATGTAATTGTTGAAATATCATAAACATAGAAATGTATAAATTTCACATTGATAAAAATTATAATTTTTAGTTTAATTTGTATAATTTTCCATTTTTAATTTCCCCAGCCAAATTTTATTTTGTTTTAATAGTTAACAAATAATAAAATTCTTTTCTATAGATACTATAGAGCTGAAGTGATAGATATTCTGTTGGACAAAGAGGAAGTGCAGTTATTTTATGTTGATTTTGGTGATACTGGCTATTCAAAAATTAGTTTGATTTATAATTTGCTTCCTGAGTTTTTGCTTCTGCCATTTCAAGCAATTGAATGTGAATTGGATGGAGTTCAAGCTGTTCATGGTGGATGGACTGATAAGACTACTGACAGCTTTTATAATCTCACTCGGGATAATGCTGGTGATATGAAAGTTTTGTCACTAAAGGTAGCTATATGTATATATTTATACAATGCTCTCTTGTTGGTGCATACTCTTTAAGACGCAACATTTATAATCCCCATTAACCAATGTCAAAATTAAATTATGTTTATTTTAATTGCGTAAAATTTTCATACATTTCACATAAAAATTTCACATGCTGGATTTGATTTAAATCTATATAAATATTTCTTATTTATTACTACTGACTAGTGGACAAGAAATAGTTATATTATAATTCATTAATTTACAATGATGCAGTCTAAAATTTTGATTCGTGTCACTGAAATATTTTTTATACTTTATTTCACTTAATTGTAAAGCAGCTACTGAAATTCCTTATATCAAATTTATATTCCATCAAGTTTTTATTTACAACTGTGTCTAAACTAATTTTTATTTATTTATGCTGCTTTTTTTTTTAGCNAAGTGCAGTTATTTTATGTTGATTTTGGTGATACTGGCTATTCAAAAATTAGTTTGATTTATAATTTGCTTCCTGAGTTTTCGCTTCTGCCATTTCAAGCAATTGAATGTGAATTGGATGGAGTTCAAGCTGTTCATGGTGGATGGACTGATAAAACTACTGACAGCTTTTATAATCTCACTCGGGATAATGCTGGTGATATGAAAGTTTTGCAACTAAAGGTTCCATATATGTATATATTTATTTATTCTCTTGTTGGTGCATACTCTTTAAGAAGCAACATTTATAATCCCTACTAACCAATGTCAAAATTAAATTATGCTTATTTTAATTGCGTACATTTTTATACATTTCACAAGCTGGATTTAATTTAAATCTATATAAATATTTCTTATGTCATTTCTGCTGACTGTTCAAAATAAATTTTTTATCTCGTGCACAGGAAACTTTCATATTATAATTCATTAATTTGCAATGATGCTGTCTAAAATTTTGATTCATGTCACTGAAATATATTTTTTATACTTTATTTCACTTAATTGTAAAGCAGTTACTGAAATTCCTTATATCAAGTTTATATTCCATCAAGTTTTTATAAACAACTGTGTCTAAATTAATTTTTATTTATTTATGCTGCTATTTTTTTAGCTTTGAAAATAGTTTTCAAGATACTAATCTAACTAGTTTTTCTATTTAAGTTATTTATTTATTTATAAAAATAAGAGTAATATAGACTGATAGAAAGGAAACGAAATAATATTTAAATCTAAAATTTACATTGTAATAAATAATTTCGTATTGGTTAAAAATAGTTTAAATAAATAATTATTTCATGGATTATTTTACTTTTCAGACTCGAATAATGCAATATTTTTTTTTTATTTATTTATTTAATTAAATTTACTAGTTTGAAAGTATGAATTTTTTTTTTAAAAAAATAACATATTGGTCGTTTTTGTATATTTTATCATTCAAAAATAGTTAAAAATTATACTTTTAGTTACAATAGTGTCTGCTTAATGTTATAACTTTGGGACATAGTGATTTTGATAACAATAAATGAATCACAAAATTAGATAAATTTACCAAATCACATCACAAATATTGAGTTTGGAAATAAATTTAATAAAATAAATAAACAAAACTCACCTTATTTTTTTGTTCTGTATTTTCTTTTAAAATATAAATATTATTCATAATTTTATAAAAATCATCAATTGTTATTTATCTAAAATTTTTCCTAAATTTCTCCTAATCAAAGCTCATTTAAAAATTGTTCGTAATTATAGTGTTTTTTTAAAGCCATTAGAACAGTGTTATACTTCACATTTCAACCCTTTCATCACATTCTTCATTTCAGAATTTGTAGGTGGTGGATTAACATCTTCATTTTTAATTCATAATTTAATTGCACGTGAGTTCCATCATCTGTCTTTTTTTTCTTCCCATAACAAACTTGCTAACTTCTGTTTTTGTTTCTGTAGGAGCTACAGTGATATTCAAACAATAGAGCTGACTAGAAAAACAAGTACCTTCCAACATTAAATGACATAAACAAATAAAATTACTGATTTGATTAAATTATTTACTCTAAAAAAATTAAATGCATAAATTTTAATGTTTAATTGCTTTAATTTATGATATTGTTTTTATATTTGTTCAAAGATATTTCCTTATTGTATATTATGAAAGCAAGTGATAAGTTTTATCCCAAGTGTTATTTTTTACCTTCTGTTATAGGCATACTCTAAATCTCCAAGTTATACTGGTGGTAATCATTACGTTGTGGATTTGTGGAATGGGGAAAAATCTTTATCAGATCAACTCTTAGAAACTGGTTTAGTTGAAGAAAAAGAAAGAGTCTCCAGTTCTATATCTTTTCCTGTAGAAGAGGAGAAAAAAGAAGAATATTGGGATGACATTCCTCCTGGATATAATGTATCTTCCTCCGATGAAGAATTAGACACAGACGAGAAAGATGATCGGGCTTTGTTCTGTGTAGCTTTAGCTAAACTGATGTTAGTTGGTGATCAACAATTAAGTAAAGAACAAGACAGTGCAATTACAGAACTTCTAAAGAATGTAGACTTGAAAAAACCCTGTGATTTAGCAAGTATGACTGATAATAATCACCTGAAGGTTGCTGAAAATATTGATGATAGAAAAGCCTGTGATAAAACTCTTTCTCCACTTGATTCCATACGAAAATTAATGAAGACGAGATCTAAATGCCGAAAAAAAATGTAATTTATTTTTTCAAGTAGTAGATTTCAAATTTACTTATAATCACAAAGTTTGAAGTATCATTTAGTTTATTTTGAATTATATAATATTTATGTTGAAGTGAATATTTTAGTATGTTATTTAAGTAATTTAAAATTTAATTGCACAGTAATTTTTAATTACTGAGAAATTCATATTTTACATCTATTTTGTAATTATTGCTTGCGGATCTATCAACAAGTTTCCTAACATTTTACGATTAATTATCATAAATTGAACATTTGCTAGAGTATTTAACTTGGTCGTTCCATATCTCATAACTATTTTATTTTTCTTCAGTCATGTATTGATCTTTTTTTTAAAGATAGAATTTCGACCAGCCTAGAAAAACATTTTTTTCCTTTAAATTTAATTTTTTTGTAGCAGTGAATATTAGTTTAACTAATAAAGTAGTTTGATAGTTTCTAGTAATTATTTGTAAGTTTTTATAAAAAATAACAGAATGATTTTTTTTTCTTTTTAAAATAGTGAAATTCTTAACTTTTTATTTTACATATATGTAGGTATGTTTCTTAGTATGATGTAAAATGTGTGAACAATAAAGAAAAAAATAATTACGAGTGGTATCAAACTATAATATCGCTGCATGTTTCAAAACAGTTTAAATTTAAACTTTCAGTTGACAAATAAATTTTAAACATTCAGAACTTTTTTTTATTCATATTAATTTTTAAATGCAATGGAATTTTTTGCACATTAAACGTAAAGTTTGGAAACCTTTAAAAAAGTTACTGGTCAGAGCAGTAAACCTGAAAACACGGTTGTCCACAGCTTATGTTACTGACCTGCTTGCAGTTGAACATTTAAGAGCATTTTTATAAACTTTTTTGTTTGTGAATTTTTTTAATAAAATTTGAGTAATAATATTACTAATTAATTTTGTTTTAAGTCTTTAAGCAAATTTAAATACAAATTACAAAATATTTTATTTAGTATAAATAAAATGACCGGGTCCTGATAATATCAATGACCGGGAAAAAAATTGCAAAAGAAAGCTGCGTGAGCTGATATTTTTGCTCAAAATTTTCAGATTATTTTATTTTATTTAATTGTTAAAAACTCCCATATTTTATCTCCCTATGAGGATTATTAATAACTATGGCCAATCTTATTTCTAGATTGAAGCCTCACATTGTTTGGTGGGATACCAAAGAAAAAGTAAATATGACAATTATGATGAAAGATTTGAAAATATATGAAATCGATATAAATGACAATGGATTCTCATTCAAGTGAGTAATAATTTTTTTTTTTAAAGTTTTAAATGTTAGAATAATTAAATTTTTGTATTTTAAAAAAACTTTTAAATATTTGTTTCAATTTTTAGCAAGTTAATGTTTTTCATTGAATGCTCTTAAAATACTTTTCTTGTTTAATTTTAATAAAATATACCCTATCAGTATATGGTAGCTTATATTTAGTATATTACTACGTTTCTAATTCTGGGGCTGCATGCAGATAAATTTTTTAATCTTTCGAGGATCTGTCTTTTTTACCAGGACATATGGGCCTGTGTTTTTTTTTGGGTAGGGAGAGTAAACACCTTTCATTTTGCTTTTTTCATTTCTGCAGTAGACATTTTATATAGTCCTCCCCCTGAGCAGAAAAAATTAATAAATTGAAATCATTACTTTATGCAAGATTATCCTAAAATTTTCTGTCTATACAGGGTTCCGAGTAAAACAGAAAAACCCTGGAATTGTAACAAAATTTCATTTTGAAATAAAAATTTCAGAAACACTAAAAAAATATTCTACTCTAGTTATCAAAATAAAAATAATGAACTCTGGAATTAGTTGTAACCATAAACAACTGTTGAAGTCCAAATGTAATAATGCTCACATCTATTCCAACTACACCATTTAAAGACTCCTCATTGCCGGGAATGTTTGTGTTGATTATGGAAAAAGTGCTGCTATGTAATAAAAAAAGATTACAAAATTTTTTTTGTCAAAGCGTTCCAGATAAATATGAAATACATGATCTTACCTGCTTTGGTGATTTTTTTTTCTTAATCTCTATCATTTCTGAGTCATACATTAGTAATGGTCTATGGTATAATTTATTATATAGTAAAATCTTTCAAGAGTAACCACTCTGTTCTACCAATGCCAAAAAAAAAAAAAAATCAGTATTGAAATGGTAAAAAAAAATGATTCTTCATATAGCTAAACTAAGTTTCATGTTTTTTAGAGTTCATAGCATTGTATTTAATTGATATTTTTTATCTGATTTCAGGTCTTCTACAAACACAGCAGATTACTTTATTGAAGAAGCTTTTTTCTCTAAAGTATTGTCAAAAGAAAACTCCTCTAATACTGTTCCAGCTGGTTTGCATATTTCCATATTTAAAGCTGAACATTCCAAATGGCCTCGTTTAATACAGAAAAATTTAAAAGTACGCTGATTTTGTTATACCTTCTTTATTTAAAACATGTTTCATGCTTTAATTTCATTTCTGATAAATTTTGATCTTTTAGTGTCCATACATTAAATATGATTTTGATCACCTTGATGATTCTGATTCGGAGGACCCAGTTCCTGAAAGAAGTTATGTTCAAAGAGGTAATTTGAGATTAAACTTAAGCAAGTTGTTACAATTAAAATGTTTTTGCTATCATGCAATTGGTTGTATAAGATATTACATTGTCCCACATGAAAATACAATGTTTAGACAACTTGAATTAATTATAAAACCAAAATATTACTTGGGTGCAAAAAGTTAGCTTTTTCTTTTTGAAAAATTAGTGGCCTTAACATACCAATATTTATACCCTTAATATTCTCTCATTAATATTTTAAATGCTTTTATTTAAGTATCAGATTTTTAAAAGATTTTAATTATTTGATATTCTTTCTTCTTATCATCCATCCTGTTTTCTTTTATTAGGATTATATGTTTTGACTAATATACTTGAATCTATAATGTAGTAACCATTTTATTTCCCAAGTGGCCTTAAAATAAATTTATAAATGTTTCCAACTATTTGTTAAAAATCTCTTTTGACAATCTAAATATCACCCTAAGCAGTTTCTTAGAAAGCACCATTCCATTTGATGTGGAGAAAAAATTTAGTTTTTCATTCTATAAATTTAAAAAAAAATGCTAATTTAACTTTTAAACCATAAATAATAAATATATCATATACTAGAAAAACATTTTAAGTATTAAATTTACCAAGATGATTGTGCTCCAGAAAAAATCCGGATTTTTCACAAACCGCGATCCGAAAGTTTCTGGAAATCCAATGTCCAGAAGTTTCAAGTTATCATCAATCACATTTATGTATAAAAATGCGTGTATATTTTTATTTAAAAATATGTGTATATTTTTATTTAAAAATATTAGAACTAGAATTTATACTTGGCATCTCTTTCATTTGTTCTTCATGCTCAAGTATTGGCATCTCCTTCATTTATTTTTTCTGGTAGAATAATAAATGTGATTAGAGGTAAAAATAAACTTATAAATAATTATTTATTAAAATTATGCTGCATATAACTTATTTAGAATTTCATGTTTTGGTAATATCAATGATTTAAAGTTCTAAAGACATTAATTTTTAGAAATGTGTCATTAATGATTTTACTCAAAAAATTTTCAGAAATTTTGAGTTGGGCTCGCAATCATCCCTGAATTTATAACGCTAAGTATTTTTATTTCACAAACTGTACCTAATAATTTACTTCATTTTATGTAAGTAATGTTTTAATAGAAGTTGTTTAACAAAAACATAAAAATTGGGCATTTTTCAAAAATGGTTAAAGGTTTTTAATACATATGTCTGTAAATATTAAAAAAAAATGATAATAAAAGTAGCTAAATTTATAATTAATAAAAAAATTTTAGAAATAAGTTTTGGCAAAACCTGTAAAAAAAAAAAGGTTTTATCTCTCAATATTCATTTATCTCATACTTTATTGAGAAATTCTATTAATGCCATAAGTATAGTTACTTGTAGTTGTTATAAGAATTTGAATTTCTGCATCACTGNTGAATTAATTATAAAACCAAAATATTACTTGGGTGCAAAAAGTTAGCTTTTTCTTTTTGAAAAATTAGTGGCCTTAACATACCAATATTTATACCCTTAATATTCTCTCATTAATATTTTAAATGCTTTTATTTAAGTATCAGATTTTTAAAAGATTTTAATTATTTGATATTCTTTCTTCTTATCATCCATCCTGTTTTCTTTTATTAGGATTATATGTTTTGACTAATATACTTGAATCTATAATGTAGTAACCATTTTATTTCCCAAGTGGCCTTAAAATAAATTTATAAATGTTTCCAACTATTTGTTAAAAATCTCTTTTGACAATCTAAATATCACCCTAAGCAGTTTCTTAGAAAGCACCATTCCATTTGATGTGGAGAAAAAATTTAGTTTTTCATTCTATAAATTTAAAAAAAAATGCTAATTTAACTTTTAAACCATAAATAATAAATAAATCATATACTAGAAAAACATTTTAAATATTAAATTTACAGAGATTTGCTCCAGAAAAAATCCTGATTTTTCTCAAACCGCGATCCGAAAGTTTCCAGAAATCCAATGGTCTAGAAGTTTCAAGAAATCATCGATCACATTTATGTATAAAAATTCTTGTATATTTTATTTAAAAATATTAGAACTAGAATTTATACTTGGCATCTCCTTCATTTATTTTTTGTGGTAGAATAATAAATGTGATTAGAGATAAAAGTAAACTTATAAATAATTATTCATTAAAATTATGCTGCCTATAATTTATTTAGAATTTCATGTTTTGGAAATATCAATGATTTAAATTTATAAAGACATTCATTTTTAGAAATGTATCATTAATGATTTTACTCAAGAAATTTTCAAGGCTTTTGAGTTGGGCTCACAATCATCCCTGAATCTATAACGCTAATTATTTTTATTTCTAATTATTATTTTAATAGAAATTGTTGTTTAACAAAAACATAAAAATTGGGTGTTTTTTAAAAATGGTTAAAGGTTTTTAATACATATGTGTTTGTAAATATGTAAAAAAAAAATGATAATAAAAGTAGCTAAATTTATAATTAATAAAAAAAATTTAGAAATAAGTTTTGGCTGATACCTTGAGTTTCAAGTCAGTCATTCCAGTGACTTAAAACCTGTAAAAAAAAAAAAAAAAAAAAAAAAGGTTTGATCTCTCAATATTCATTTATCTCATACTTTATTATTCATGTCATACTTTATTGAGAAATTCTACTAATGTCATAAGTATAGTTACTTGTTGTTGTTGTAGCTTATCCTCCAATGATCAGATAAAGTCCATCAGACCATTGACCCCAAGAAAATCGAGGACCAGAAGGGGGGATAAGTCCCTGAAAAGTCCTTTGTAGTTGTTATAAGAATTTGAATTTCTGCATCACTAACTTAATATAAGGAAGATGTTTTGTACACAGGGCTTACAAAATAGAACACACTCTTTGTACCAAGTACAAGGGGAGTACACATGTAAAATTTCTATTGAAATGAAATAAAGAGTGAATTAAAGAGTATAGTCGAAAACATAGCTGGTAACTCTATTCAATTTCATTTTTTTAATACTGGAAAGTGTGTTATTTTATTATTTATTTATTTTAATATATATAAGAAAAATATGTATTTTTGTGTGAAAGCTTAAATTTTTCAAATAAAAAATTTTTACTTTCTCAATAAGAATAAATGATTTTTTTTTCTTTCAAAAATTCATTAATTATGAACTTTTTTAATGATTGAGAAATGTGTTTTTTTTTTTTTTTAAATAAATAATTTATATTTTTTTCCTGAAGAAGACTTCTTTTTTCTTATAATTAAAAATTAACATAAAAACATTTATAAATTATTGTATAACATTTGTAATTTAAAATACTTTAAGTTTCTTAAATGGGAAAAAAAGCCTTATTTTTATTATTAATGAATAAATAATTAAAAGGGAAATTCGAATTTTTTAAATAATAATTTTTTATTTAAGTAAGAAAAAACAATTAGTTAAAAAAATTAATACAATTTATAATAATGAAATTTAAAAGCAATTTAATTTATTAATAATTATAACTTTAAAAAAATCATATTTAGCTAACTAAAAAAGTAACATTTTAAATAGTTACAAAATTTAATGAGCAGATTTTTCAATTAAAAGCACACAAAAAAAACTCATTTTTCAGTATTAAGAAATGAAAATTAAAAGTGTCATCTGCTGTGATAGAAATGTCATTCTATCATAGCTGTGAATTGGTTCTCTTTACAATTTGACCTCGTGTACAAATCTTTCTTAACTGTTTTCATTTTTAATAATGATCTAAAACTTTGATGTGCCACAGTTGCAGAAAATTGTTTCCCTATACCTAATGTTTTTGACCATGCTCTTTAATTTAAGCTTGGTTTCATTCTAATAAGAATTTTACAGATGTATACTTGGCTTATAAATAAGTTCTTTGTAAGTCATCTGACAAAGTACTGAATTGGTCAGTTATTTGTTAGTCAATCAGTTAGACTATTTTCTGTGAATAACAAATACAAAAATGGTGAAGTTGAATATTTTGATTCTGGTAAGGGAATAGGATTAATTATAACAGTTTTGTTTTCAATTGCATTTTAATTTAGTGTTGTTTAAACATTGTGCCAACCACTCCTGCTAAAAAGAAACATTACATTATATATAATTATCTTGATTTTTCACTACTGAAAATGGTTAATAAGAATGAATAAGCAAGTTTCAACCATTCATAATGTATAATTACTTTGGTAGAACACATCTTTTTACAGTTTATTCATCTTAATATTTTTTTAATGAAACTAATAATAATATTTTTAATGAATTTTATTGAAGTTAATTAAATGAAGATAAAATAAAGTGTGTGGAATAGTTTTTATGGTTAATGGGCTTTAGAAATTGAAATAATGGCAGCATAAGCTTTCTTTTGTTTAAATGTCGGACACCCAGCTACACATTATATTATTTTGAACCATTCATTAATTACTGACTAAACTAAACTCAGCGGCGCGACAGCCCGCAGAGGGCCAAGGCCTACTGTGCCCATCTCAGTTTTCTTAACCTTGGGCTCTGGGGTGCAGGAGCAGATGTTCCGGTCAGGTGGTCAGCCGAACGCGGAATTCATTAATTACAGTATCATTTTTATCTGGTTTCTAGAATATTTTTATGTACTTTTCATGATAGGTTCAAAACTAAAATCCAAACGTATTTCTTAAGAGATAATTTACTTGTTTTGTGTAGATTTAAATGAATTGGTTAAGTTTTTTAAGTAAGCTTTTAAATTATATATATAAATATAAAATATTATTAGCGATATTGATTTATATTATAGCTTTCATTGATTAAATTTTAGTTAGTAGTAGTGTTTAAATTGATAAGTTGCTAGGTCACTTGTAAAAACTTCAAATATAAACCGAAAATGTTTTGTATTGTAAGCATTTTTTTTTCGTTTAAATTTTTGCATAAACAATCAGAAATAAAATAAGAACTAAAAGCCTTATTTTTCTGAATTTCCTTAAAAATGTTAAAATTGTGACATAGTGATGAAAACGTAATGTGTTTAACATTTCTTTAACTAAAAACTCATCTAACTTAAAAATATGTATATATAATTACATATACTAAGAATTAACTTGAAATATAATTAGATAATAAAATTAATGCCATTTATAATATTAAGGAATGTAGCAATTTTAAATACTCTAAATAAATTTTTAAAATAGAAATTTTAAAAATATTGCAGAAAATGTTGAAGTATTACCTTGTGAAGATGACGAGGAAGACAAAGAATTTTCTGATGATGAAGAAACTTACGTACAACCATGGAAACATTTGGCTGAATATAAAGATCCATTTGATCCTCTGCATTGAAAGCAACTTGGTAACGATGTGCAATTTGCATTTACATATTGTTATTTATTTTTTTTATCTTGTGATGTTTTTTAACCTAATGTCAAATAGGTATATTTTAGTGTTGTAACTGTTGTTACTGTAAATATGCATAATTTTTTTATAAAAAAGATCTTTTTTATGTGCCTGTATGTATAACCAGATTAATATTATGAGAAGAAATTTTATAACAGATTCAAAAATATATATCAAATTATTTTTAATAAAATTTTGATTCTAGGTATTTGCGATGATTAATGTTTACTGACTGCTAATTAATGTGTTTTGTATGACAACTTATTAATTTATCATCACTGAACTGAGTTCAGAGGTAGACTGAGATTTCCTACGCAATAAATTAAATTTTTTCTTTCTTCTTTTATTCAGTGGCAAAATATGGCTGTATCTTGCTCAATCTACTGTATCTGAATCTTTTACTTTCCCTTTTGTATCGTCCTGTCACAAATGCTATTTTTATAATGTTAATAATGTCTATTTAGATTATTTACCCTTTTCAAAAACCCAGGTTTTTGAAATGGGTAAATTAATACAGAGTTAATAATATCTATCTCATTGTTTATAATACATTGATCTTCAGATCAATGAATGCCTGACTTTACTAGTGAATAAGTCAAGCTTCTGAGTTTCGTAAAATTTTGGGGGTTTGAAAAGTGGACTTGTACATAGTTAGTGAAATGTATGGTATTTATATTTCTTCACTTGCCTTATCAATCTTTCTGTGAAGACATATTAAATATTTACATTTAGAGTTATGTAATAAAATTATATAAAATAAATTGAGCAGCAGCAAAATGTTAAAAATATTTTTACTTAAATAATCTTTTAAGAATTTTATTAATGGTAAATTTTAAAAACTGTATTTTCTACTTTTTTGTGTTAAACTATTACGGGGCTTTTCTTTATAAGAATAGTTTTTTTTTTTTTTTTTTTTTTTTTTTTTTTTTTTTTTTTTTTTTTNTTTTTTTTTTTTTTTGATAATTCTTTTCCATGACAGTCTTGTGTTCATTGCAAAATTTACACTTTTGATTATTTTTCTATAGTAATACATTTTTTTTTATATCTTATGCATTTTAAACTGGCCCAAATGTGCTTGATTATTTTATATATAACTATGGATTTCAAACAGCTTCAGCAGTATCAAAATGTTGGAATATTTCTTGTTGTATATGGGTTATTGTTAGTTTTTAGTATGTATACTGAACTTAAAGTTAATATACTAAGTTTTTTTATTGTATCTCTTTTAAAAAAAAAATTTGAGTTCCTTTAAAGTAGCACTCTGTGCTCTACTTCTCATTTAATTATAGTTTTCTTTTAAGTTGTTCTTTATTAATCTATCCATATTTCAAAATTATCTCTATTTTCTTGTATTTTGTTTTTCTTGTATCTTTATAATGCAAATCTTTTAATCATAGCTTTGTATCTATCTTGTCTTTTTTATAAACACTGTGATGTTGCAATCAACTAACTCAGCTCACACCACTGGTGACGAGCTAATTGTATCATGACGGCTTGCAAATTAACTAACGTGTACATAGCAATTTAATATGATATTAAGTTTCCTTATATTTCAGATTTACTAATTAATTTATAACTTGTATAGTAAATTAACTGCACTAGACCTTGTAACAAAATTATGAAAAGATAACAAAAATTCTCCATATATATATATTTTGTATATAAAATATTGAGAAATTATCCAGATAATTATAAAATATTCTGCTTAAAAATGGTTGCCTTATTTTGACAACTTTTTTTTAGAAATAAACAAAAAAATATAAGTTTGAAAGACATATTCATCAACAAGCAGATAATTCTCACTCTCCAGTTGACAGAAATGATATACACTAATGAACCGTAAAAAATGAAAATAAATATATATATATATAATTCAGTAAATAAAGTTGCACATAGTAATTTTAAAGACATAATGCAAAATAACATTAAAATATTTATTGAATGAATACAAATTAATAAATAATCAAAAAATTATTTTTGTTATTAGTATAGTGAGGAACTACTTTTTCCTCGTAGAACTTGAAAATTTAAAAGAAAATAGGATTAAAAAATGGCAAGCATATTAAATATAAATATTTATTCATGTAGCTAAAATTTATTAAAAGGGAGGGATTTATACAACTGTACTGCAGATGACCTTTGATTTTTAGGTTAAATTTGTTCTGAAACTTCCTGAATAAAACATTACTTTGTGTGAATTTTATAAAAATGTGTTATCTCTAAACATAAAATATTTTGAAACAATATTTGAAAAAAAAATTTTCTATTAATGAAATAGGGCAATATTTTAGTCAAAATAATTTTAATGAGCAGTATTTACATTTTGTGTCTGTTATAAATTTATATTAAAATACATAAAAATGTATATTTTTTCAACCATGAAATATTTTAAAAATACTTTTTCTACACGACATCAGTAGACTAAACTTAACACTATCTACACAACATCAGTAAGAAATATCACATTAGAGTATATAATATCAATAGAGTATCTAATAAATATCTAGTCTCATCACGTCAGAGTATCTCCATTGAATAACATGTGGTATCCTGAACCAGCAGTTTATACCTTGAATTAAGATAGACTGTTTAGGAGTTAATAAAAAAAGAAAAGTGACCAACAAAATCTTAATTTATATTTAGCTTGACTAAAATTATATTTAGCTTGACTAAAATTATATTTACCCTGAAGTATTACAGTGTTGAAATGTTCAATATTTTTAATTCTAATTCACAAAGTTTTACACAACAACCAAATTTTTTAACCACACACAGTAGCAATAGCCTTAATTGAAGACCTCTCACTACAATTATGAGACACCATCTTTTATTATTATTAATTTACATATTGAATTATAATTATTTAAACACATTCATTTATTATTTTCTGAATTTACTTATAACCATTATAACATAAGTTTAATAAATAACTTTGATTCTTTTACTTATATATTCTAATTTTATCTAAACTTTTATGGCTAAATAATTGAACCTATAGATCAGGGGTGGCCAAGCTCCTTCATAGTCGAGCCATTTTTCAAAATTTGAAATTTTTCGGGAGCCGCAATTAAATACGTATTTAAAAGGTATACAAAAGAGGTATTAAAATTTTTTTATTTATATAAATTATATTTATTGAGAACAAATAAGTAAAAGTACAAAATATGTGGATTGAATTTTAATATTAAAAATTAAACACATTTATTTTACTTCTCTTGACAATTCATTCAAATTTGGTGAATAATTGGTGACAGCACTTCTCAGTAATTCTTTCAGATGCTGGTTAGTTAATACTGATCGGTGTTTGGTTTTACCGAATTTTAAAGTGGAATAAAATGATTCACACAAGTACGTTGTTCCGAATATTGAAATAATTCGACAAGCAGCCTTTTTTTATTCAGGATACTTCGATTCTGGTACAAATTTCTGAAATTCAGTAATCGGCATCGACTTATATTTTAATTGTAGAGCTTGATCTTCTTGCATCTCTATTAAATCTAATTCTCCAGATGCTTTTTGCGTCATAATTATATTGGAATCAAAAACTCACCTTGAATTGAACAATGTTGCACTTAGTCTTTCATATTTGTTCTCATTAATTTAAATGATATTTTGAAACACATACGGAACGATAATAATAATTTTTTAAAATATAATAGCACAAAAATGAAAAGAGAACTTGGGTACATTTATCGAGAGCCACATGTAANTCTGCTATAGATTATAAAGTAGAATAAAATTTTAACCCCCCCCCCCAATTTTTTTAAAATACATCTTAAAATTTTTTAAACTGACACTTTCATTAGATTGGAACTAGACAAGAGGAATATTGAAGTTGACTAAGACGTTATAGCTTATCTGCTATAAAATAAAATAGAAAGGTTACAGATTTAAAAATATTTAACAATTTCCCTACACATTTTTGAAATATTAATATTGACAAAAGATTAAAAACAAACAGGATTTGTAGCACTATAACAAAAAAAAAATTATTAATCAGTCTAATTTAAAGTGAGAAAAACTAAACTAGATTTTCCTTGATTAAAATTGAACAACAGGACTATTTGTGCTGGCTAAGTTGTTATAGTTAGACTAGTGTTACAGATTTAAAAACATTAAACAAATTATTAAATGTATGATTATGTAAACAACAGTCATACATTTAAAACTATGTCATCAAGTGATACCTCTTTCATAAGCTCTGCCGTTTCGGCTTTTGAGTTATGTTTACAGTTTGGTTGAGGCATTGGCATCACACCTATTAAATATGGTTTCAAATTCTTAGTTTTGAATAGTATTTATTTAAAAACAAATTTTGAATAAAATCTGTACAAAATAAAAATCTTGATTAAGAAGATCAATTATTGATTAATACAGTAAAGGGAGAAAAAGAAATCACATTTAATAACCACATCTCAAATCGGAGTTTAAAATAAGTAATGCACACATATTTTTAAATATATTTAAAAATTTATTTAATGAAAAATTAATATATAGTTTTAATAAACAAAAAACAATGCTTAAAATTTTTTTTTATTAGCTGTATTTTTACACCGGAATTTCAAGCTAATAAAGCACACTTATAATTAATAATTTACTTAAAAACAATAACTATATACAAAAAATTTACAAGCCTCTCAATTTGAGTGAGTATACTTTTCTTTCAGTTCATTTCATCAAAAACAAATTCACACGTAAGAAGCCTTCAGTAGCTCATCTGCTAATTGTTCAACCTCCTTTATTTTATCACATCTTTCCTTACATTGTTTTGGAATTATGTCATCACCATAATAAGCACCAGCAATGGCACCTGCCATAGTAGCAATAGTATCAGTATCACCACCAACTGATATTGCAAAGTAGATGGTTCGAATAAAGGGATTTGTATTCTAGAAAAGAATTGTAGCTATATTTTATGTTAATATACATTTTTTACAAGAAATTTATTTAATCATAATCCAACGTAATGCTACTGCTTCTAAATAAAATGCTTTTCTGCAATGGACATTTAAAGCATCTCTTAATTTTTTTTATTTTCAATTCTATCCTGAAGTTTGTTTTGAGAGTGTCTGCAAAGTTCAAGAAAGATTTCTTAAAACTTAATACTGTTTTGTTTATTTATCCTAAAATAGCTGAAGAAATGATTATGCAACACTTCCAGCGAACATTTCTTTTCGGGTAAAATCAGTGGTGCTAAAGTTCGTAGAAAATATTATTTTAATCCTCTTATTTTTAAGTTTAAAAAAATGCTTTATTAGAGCCTAATTACTTGATCAAAATCAATCGCAGATTGGATAAAAATAGTATACATTTAGAGGGTGGATAATTTTTGGTATTGTATAGAAACAAATCAGTGTTTTTATAAATCTAGTAAATTGAAAAATATCCGTGTATCATTAATATTTCTGTGTGTATGTTTAAAAATTCAGGTAATGTAATCTAATTTTTTTTTATACTAGAGTTGAAAGATTACTAACTAAAGATTATTTACTAATGTAGTTTCTTTATACTGTATATTAAATATTTAAGTACACATTAGCGCTCATATCTATTCTCAATATTATTCTTTGGGTAAATAGAAATTTTGCAATAGTTGGAATTTTTTTTTTTTTAATTTATAAATTTTCATTGCTCTTTCTGCAATATAGTATTTGCAAAGTATGGTTATTTTTAAATTTTTTACTTATTTCTACAAACTATTTGTCAATGCAAAGATGAATTTTAAAATAGTAAAATTAATACATTATACATTTTCAAACAAAAAATCACAAGTTACGCATTCGGTATTGCCGAAAAGGAAATAACACTTTCACGAATCTAAGCCATTGAAATATATTTGTCCATCATCATCACCAAAGTCTATATTTATACCTAAAATTTTACTTAATATAATTTAATTTAGCCACATAATTTCAACGAAAGTCATTAAGCTAGATGTTTTTGTATTACTAATGCTAAAGAGAAAAAAACTGTTGATATCTTTTACCAACATATTTATTATTTGAGTAAATAGGAATTTAGCTATGGCGTTAAGAATAAAAAAAAATTTATACGTATTTATAAAATTTAATTCCTGTTTCTGTTATGTAGAATTAAATAAATGTATATGCTTGATTTCAATTCTCTTTTAACATAGATTAACCTAATTAAAAAAAAGATAATAAACTGTACTGTAATAAATGATTTTTTTTAAAAACTTTTTTATTTTGAAAGAATGGAATGTTTTGCTGCATTTTTTAAAAGGCTACTGCTGTGTTAAAGACAATTCCCTGCATTAAATTCAAGCTAGAATAAATAAATAAATAACTTGAGTTTTTCTACATTTTTAAAATCCAATACGAAAAAACGAATTTTGAATCCAAAAAATTTTATTCAACATGAAAATAAATCTCTGAAATGAATTTGAAATATACTTTAAAAATTAAGATTAACAAAGTTGGAAAAAAATGAAAAAATAAATTTATTTTGTATTTATAACACATAATTTTAATAAGTAATATGAGGCATGCGGAGCTTATTCTAACACCTTTTTTACTGAACCAAAAAGTCTTAAATATTCAGAACTAGGAAATTTCGTCAACTATTAACAATGTTTCAGTGGGTACCATTGATATTTAACAATATTTTTTTAACATTAAGCTCACATTTTCATTACATTAGTGCACAATTTATTATACATATCTTTTCTCTGACATAACTAATTACCATCTTAAATAGTTGTATTTAACTACGAAAATTAAAAAGAAAACAAGAACGTAATGATTTTCACAGCACAACAATTGTAAACGAATAGCAGATGAACACAAGTGATGAAACGAAAAATAACTTCATAATTATTACTCTAGAAAAGTAATAAAAGTTTTCTGGAGTTTTGAGGGATTCTGAATGCATTAAGATTTAAAAAAATTGACTGTAATTGTTCATTTAAAGAATTTTTTTTTAATAATATGGCAAATTTGTTCATAAATATGGAAATCTATACTTGGGGGTGGGAAAAGAATTGAGCTCAATTTTAGTGTGTTTTGCGCCTTATAAAACTACCAATATTTATGATCAATTAACATAAATCTACATTCAAATTTGTATTGAAAATATTGCATTATAAATTCTGCATGAAAATTTGAATTTACTATAAATTAAGCTTACCTTGTAATTTGGGAGTTTTTTCTGAGCTCTGAGAAATGAATAGATTGCAGTTGGGACAGATTTCAATGCTATTACAGAATTACCTAATTAGAAAAGAAATTTTTTAAAAAAATTTATTATTGAATGCCTTTTAAAAAATTTTTCCTCTTTCTATATAAAAATCAGTAATAATTTTTAGGTGTGATTTCTTTTTTCTTCTTATAGACATTCAAGCTTTAAATTTTTAAACCATATTTATTTAACACAATCTAAGAAAGTAAGATGTAGCTTTGATAAAATGAAGTAAAATAATAAAAACAACTAAATATAATAAAAACCAATAAGAAATCGAATTCTCACAAATATTAACACTTTGTTAACTGGTGATTAGTTAACTTGTCTTTTTATGCCCAAATATTGTTGACAGATGAGTACTCCTAGTTTTAATTGCAATGTAGAGTTAATTTATCATTGGTCAACAATGTTTGAGCATGAAATCCATAATTAGAATGGCTTACTTTACATCTACATTCAATTATAAAATAACAGCCATTTATATGATATAGTTTCTGTGAAAAATTGTCAGTCAACAAAGTGTTAATATACTAAAGAATGGTGAAAACTTGTAAATCACACTACTGATGCCTTAGTAAAATTTTTAGTCAAACATAATATTATTATTATACTACTGACTTTTTAAAATCTGAAGAACTTCTGGAGAATAAGTAAATTAAAATCATCCAAATATGAAATTAGCACAACATGCATTATTATATTAAATATAAATTAGCCCAACATCAGCAAATAAATATTAAAAGAACAGAAAAGTTCTAACCGAAATTTTCACCCACTTCTTGAGGCGATAAATCCTTTTTCTTTTCAAAAATATTTTTCATTTTCTTTAAGCTATCACAGTATGGACTGTTTCCCTAGTTGAAGAAAGAAATGTTTTGTTTAATAAACATGTGAAAAGTAAAATAATCAATGATTGTATGCCTTTTCCTACAAATTCAATGTCGCAATGTAAAAAATAATAATTCAAAAATAAAACATTATTGAAATAAAGTATGTTTAGATATGTATGCTACATGGGTTCAGCATAAAACTTAAAAAGACTCATCCAAATGAGTAACTTTAGTTTTTTCATTTATATATTAAGCTTCAAATTTATTGTATATTTGTCAACTAGAGAGCTAATTGAGAAACTCTTCTTACAGGTGATAACATGTATATTATAATGCATAAATCTTAAATTATTTTACCTATCATTACAAATCAATCATTCAAACATAGATATACATTTGAACCTCTATCCATTATTCATGCATCTTTCATTCTCCTTTAAATATCAGCATGTTTTACCTGCCCAACATAAATGCTATTCTTATAATATTAACATAATACTCGTTTAGATTGTTTCTGAAGCTTTTATTCCCGCCTTTATCAGTTAGAAAATTTACTGATATTTGAAGAAAAAAAAGTTAGGTTACTCCGTTTTTCAAAGAAAAACAGCAACTTTGGATGCTATTGATGAACAAAATGAGGATTTGTTACAGTTTGGGGAAAACACTTCATATACAAGGTTTGATGTTTATGCATCAGTTGATGAAAATATTTAATCTTGAGGTATGGAGTTAATTTTAAAAAAAAAATAGTGCAGAGACTGAAAAGGTATAAAATTATTCTGATGTAGATAATGAAATGGGGTCACAGTCAGTGCCAACACTAGCAGAATGTCTCAGAGCCTATGAAACAACGAGAAACTTACTGTATTTACACTAATTTGCAGAAAAAGAACAGCATCTGTTATAAATATTGAAAATTTGTTATTTGCATTGAGAAGAAAAAGAATATGCAGAGTAAATTCAAATGCAGTTTGACACAGTAAACAAGTTCTGCTACTGGGGTGATGTGTGATACAAAAAATTACAGTGTGTAATCAGTAAAACATATGAATTTAAAAAATGAAGTGCAATTTATAAAACTCCGCATAATTTTAAATTGTTTCATGTGTTTAATTGAACATAACTATGACAAATTAAAATTTTAAAAAATATATAGCTTAACAGCCTTCATATATTCTTATGTAAACTTGCTTGCCATATAAGTGTATCATATTTACCTTATTTTCTATCCTTTCCATCTTTTCCAAAAGTTCTAAAATGAATTTCATAGAATCAAGTTTTTCTGAAGAATCTAATTTTAGAGCTAAATGTATAGCTAAACACAATAATAGTGCTCCATTATAGCCATCAGGATGAGTGTGAGTTAGAAAAGAGCATTGTTCAACTGCATTCTAATGAGAAAAATAAAAAGTTAAATTTCAACTAAAAAAAAATTTAGAATTTTTTTTTACATAAAATAAAATATTTTATGTAATTTTTAAATTTTATATTAAATAAAATTTCCATAAGTATTTTTGATTAAAATAAATAACTATAAAATTAATGATAACAATTAATATCTTTTTAAATTTAATTTTTGGTAGATTGGATAAAATATCATTAAATGCTTTCAGAATACATTATAAAATATCATTAAATGTTTTCAGAATACATTATAAAATAGTATTAACTGCTTTCAGAATACACTATTTTTTTAAAAAAATGCTTCAAACTGACAAAGATAATTAGGTTAATATTTTGACATAAAATTGTTAAATTTCAAAAATATATTGAAAATGACAAACATACTATAAAAATTTATCAAACTAAAGAGTGAAAAATAAATGCAATACTTTTATACAGTCGTCATCTTTGTCGTGAACGAATAAAGCAACAGGAGCAATTCTCATAGCAGCTCCATTACCATAAGATCCCTTTCCATCAAATTGGTTTTTAGCAGGAAGAAACACATCTTCAAAGTTCGACTTCCTTAAAGCCACAAACACATGCCGAACGTGTGCACCATATGACCGCTCTGGTGTTTCAGGGTCAGTAAAATACTCATTTACAAATCTAAATTCAATATCATTTCAATCGAATGATTAAAAAAAAAAGAATTTCAATTACTTCAAGGTAGGTACATAGTATCAAAATTAAATTAGCATTGTCAAATTTATTTTCAATTTATCACTTTAACAAATTTGTGCTTATTGAATTGTTAATAATTCAAATTGCCTTTAAATAAAATGATAAAGAAATTAAACAAAATTTGAAATCATAAATTTAAATAAGTTTTTAATTGCATTTGCTAATAATGTGCCTAAGATAAGTGAATGGTTCCAAAATTCGTTATTTTTTATAAGTCTCCCGATGAAGAATATAAGAACTCATAAGTCAAGAAATGTATGGATTATTTCTTGAACAACAAAAGCAAAACATTGCAGCTGGACATTTCTGACACAGTGCTTCTATTTCATTATAAGTTCATTTCAATGAATAACTAATACCAAGTTATTTTGATTCAAATAACTGAGATGGTGAATCTAATAACTAAAGAAATTTCGATAATACCATATGCAAACTATTCTTACTTGGAAATCAGATGACGATAAGTAGCTAAATCCAGACAAATTGGCTGGTTTTTAAACAAATTGACAGTGTATTAGGCAATATCTAGTACACTTTAGCTATACAATTCTTTTTTTTTTCTTTCCAAACACTATAAACTTCAATAAAAATTTGCACTCTCTTATCTAACATACTATTCTATTCCAGTCTCTATACTTCACTTTTTAATATAATGGTTTGGTTATGTAGACCAGTGGTTCTCAAATGATGTTTCGCGGAACTCAAGGTTTCGGTGTAAGAGTTTAACGGATTTCAAGAGTTAGGACTTTTTTTAAAGTTTTTTTTCTTCACATTTTTGAATTTCTTAATTATGTTTAGATTCAATCTAAAATCATTTATTTACTTAAGATTTTGGTTGCCATTACAATATTATTTAAAGTAAAATTCCAATAAAAAAAAATTTTACTTTTTGGAAAAAATTACATAATTTTTCAAATAACAAAGTATTGAATAAACAATGAAAAGGATATGCATTTCAAATTATTAATGATAAAATGATAAAAAAAATTTCAATCTTCTTATTTCAGTTATTTTCAAAATATGCAAAGATCACATTGGCTGTATTTTATATATTTTATAAATAGTTTTTATACTTCGTATATTTTGAAAGCAATTTAGTAATCATTTATTTTACACAAGAATATTAATACTAATTATATTCTTATGTTAAATTAATTTTTAAAATTAAATTTTTCAGCATTATATATAGTGTGTGTTATTACCTATGTCTATCAATTATAAATTTATCTTGAAAAAACAAATGGTGTCCGCCATTCGACCGATATTCTGATATTTGCTCTCAGGTGCAAAAAGGTTGAGGACCCCTGATGCAGACTTTAAAAAAATAATGACAATATAACCTAATATTTAAAGCAAAAGAAATATTTGAAATAAGAGGAAATTATTTACTTTGAATTTTATTGTCTGTTTATCAACAATTCTAAAAGGTCATCCTTCCAGCTGTTATCGAAAATTATTAAATATTCTTTAAATTTTTCCTGTAATATCAAATTCTATGTTTTTCTCTGGCCTGTAAAATACTGCAATATTGCTTCAGTTATTGAAACCAATTGAAAAATTATTTAATAAATTTGAAATTTATCAAGCATAATAACTTTTGATTAAACTAAAGTAAAGGGATAGTTATTGCTCTTGATCAAATGGTTTGCCAAAAAAGCCTAAACCCAAAATAACATGTGTTTGGATTTAAAGTTCCATAAAAGAATAATGAAAAATATTATATGTCATTTTTTTAAAATGATATCTAAGGAAAAAAAAGTTCTTAATAAAACAAGGCTTTAGTAAAAAATCACACCAAAATTGGTAATTAATTTTTTGAGATTTTTATGTAGATGCTTATATCATAAAACAAGTAAGAATGTAAGAAAATAGGACACATGAAATTTCCTTTAGAATCTATTCATATTATTTTCAGCAAAAATAGAACATGAAATTCAAATGATTTTATTACTCAAATAATTTTGATGAGAAATTCAATGGCCAAAATTTTTTTAGGCAAGTTTAAAGAATTTTCCAATGAGTTTCGAACATAAATTTAAGGAGCAGGATAAAGCTGGGATATTTGAAATATCAATATTTTCTAATTATTACGATATATAGTGAATACGATAAATATCGATCTCGCAACAAATATTGAGACTTGATAAATACAGACAGTCGAATATTGAATAAAAAGCAACACTTGATATATACTGACAATATTGTAACCCAGTATTTCCCAAAGTGTAGTATGCATATCCCCAGGGGTACAGAAACAGTTTAGTAGGGGTATGCGCTGTTATGCGAAATATCTATCAACAAACGAACATTTCAAAAAATTTTATTTAAAAACAAAGCAAGTCGTGAAAATTTACGATTACGTATTTTTCTATTAGCTACTTTTTTGTAGAGTTAATAATTAGTGGTGTCAACAGCCTGTTGTGACTTTTAACTTTTGTGAAAAATTTTTTCTAGTAAAAAATTCATTCATTTTTATAACAGTGGTACGCAGCGTGAAAAAAAATTTAGAAAGGGTACACAAAAGTCATAAGTTTGGGAAACACTGTCGTAACCCAATGAGTAACATGTGAACAATGGCACTTCCGTGAAGAAGAGAGAAGAAAACCTTTTTCTTTACTCTGTGTTTTTTGCTTCATACTTAAAAGATAAAAGGAGATAAACTACTGAGGTTTGCTTTGCTTGATGCTATTTCTTTTGTTAGGGTGATAATAAAATTATTAATGTTAAATGTTGATTTTTTCTGAAAAATTCATTCTACATGATAAAAAAAGGGTCATTGGAATTGATTCAAAATTTTCTGAGCTGATGATGCCAGAAATATATATTTATAAGTAGTGAAATTCAAGATAGACAGTATTAAATCTCTATCTTAAATTACTTATTTACCCTCTTTAATAAATTTGTTTAATTAATAATTATTGTTTTTAACAAGAATTTTAAATTTGTTTTAAAAAAATAATTGGTTGTTTTATTTAGTTTATCTAAAATTCTGATTCTCTCTCAAACTATAAATAAAAAGAAACATTAGGAAAGTAACATTAAATCATTAATACATATTTTGCCAAAATTTGCATAGTTAAAATTTTAAATTGAAATTGTTTGTTTTCTTTCTCCTGTTTTTCTGGATATAGATTAACCTGTTTTTCTGGATAGATCAAGAATAACCCCTCGCCCCCCAAATTTTTTTTATTTGATGCATAAAAATGTGTATTTTTATTTATACATGAACACAAAAGCCAAGTCTTTTCTATCTTTTAGATTATTAGTTATTAAACTTTCATAATTACTTGGTTATTTTTAAAATTATGATTATTAAAAGTGTTTTAGAAAAAACACATATTTTTTTTCCTCACTTGAGCAAGAAAACATTTCCCAATATAAGAAATATGTATATAAATTACGTTGAAAATATCGCGATACATTGATATTTTTTTGCAGATATTAAAAATTCAGATATCAACCAGGTCTAATACAGGATCATTTTTAATAAATTAAACAAAAAATACCTTTTAGCCAAGTCAATAGGACAAATTTTCTTATTTTCAATGAGTGATTTAGTAACTGATAAAGTCATTGCAGTATCATCTGTGTATGGATAAATTTGTTCTGTTTCTGAAAATATAAAAAATATTTACTTTAAAAAAATTTCAAGAACAAAACTAATATTGAATTTAAAAAATTGTTAGTCAAAAAATAAGATTGGTAAGAAGATCTTCAAATTTAAATTTTGAAATTAAGACATGATTATAAGTCATACAGTGATTCTTAGTAAAACATCCAAGACATTGTACATCCCATAGATTGGTTTATTGGATATTGGACAAGAAGGCAGATAAACATCAAAAATAAATATCATCAACTTTAGTATCTAACAATAAAAAAGGTGTATTAGCCCTTATAAATATGAAATAATTATAAATAAAAGTGCTTATAAGACTTCAAGTGACTAATCTATTATGTTCCTTAATAATTTTGTATTGTTTGGACAATTAGAGTAAAATGTGCAATTTTGATGTAGAAAAGCATAATCTATTATAAATGTTAATAAGCTTACATAATTAAAGTAAAACTATTATAATATACTAAAATGAACATGGTTTAGGAAATATATTATAATAATTATACAAAATATTGATAACAATTTAATTTTTTGATGATTTATGATTAATTGAAAATAATTAATAATAGATTTAAACAAACATTTACGTTTTTTTGTAAATTATGATCAGTTTTCTTATCAGCAATATATTATAATCATGATTTATAAATACTGCTCAGGTACAGGATGAATATAAAATAATTTTGCCAAGATATTATCAGAACATTGTGTATCAGACATTGAAAATTTGAAATACATAACATACTATCTTCATAATTTCCTCTCAGTTTTTAAAGGTTTGTACTTTTTATCAGACTCTTGTCATTAGTGGGTATGAAAAATGTCAATGCTTTCAAAAGGTTGCAATTTCTTGTGATAAAAATATTGTTTAGTTTATCTTAGGGGTGCACAAGCTGCAGCCACATCTCTTTTGAAAGAAATTCCATTTGAATCATAACTAGTAAATGTAATATAAATATATTGCATGATTTAAACAGTGATTAAACTAATAAAAAGAGCTCAATGACAGAATAGAAACTTTTCTAGATATTTAATAGTTTATGGAAGTTCAACAGTTTATGATGTGTTATGTCAAAAACCAGTTGTTAAGATCAGAAACCAGACCCTGCTAAAAACAATAAAATAAAATTTATGTAAATAACAGCAACATGACTGATTAATTCTTCTTTTCTAAGAAATCAAATTTATACTGTTTTCTTTTTTTTTTCTTTTGGTTTAATCACCATCAGATTTAACTTTTAACTATGGAAATTTCGAATATCTTTTTACCATGAACAGTGATGATGATAAAATGTGTAAAAATGTACAATCTAATAACTACTTCAAAAAAAATTGGTTTCGAGATAAAAATTTTAAGCAATTTTGCGATTACTGATAAGAAACAATAAAGCAGAGTTCATTTGTTATAGCATTTAAGAACTAAGAAAAATTTTACTAGGCAATAAAAATTAAAAATTACTGGTACTAAAAATTTACTCAAAGCAGGATTTCGGAAACACGTGGTTATAATATTTGACAAATTTTTAATAGACTTCAATTCAAACAAAGTCAAAAATGCAAACTTCTTCCGAAACCTCCCCCACCCCGTTTTTGTCAAAATAACCTTTAATTGGCAGTTGACGTGTTACGAACTTGCTCTTAATTGAAATATTTTATTCTTGGGGAGTTTTATTTGAATTGTACGCGCAAGTGAAGTGATAATGAAAGTGACAAGCCACAATGAAGTGAAAGTGAAGTTTCATATACCTCCATTAAGAATTTCAGTAAAAAAATTTTTTAGCCTTTTTTCTGAAACGGGAAGGTTAGTACAAAATTCAAATGGAGCACCAAAACAATCACCGATCAAGGCGCCAATCAAGCACCCTTTAAACTTTACAGCAATCCCAGTTGTTTCTAACTTTGAAGTCGCCATTTACATCTTTAAATCTTGGCCAAGATCAAAATTACGAGGTGTATGTAAGGCATTTGTTTGAAAAATTATTTACGCTTGACCTAACTTTATTTCGAATAACTCGATCATACAGCTATAGGTGGTGTTCATGATCGCAACACTCGAATACGCCATCTGGGGAAAAGGTCGGTTCCATGTCCTAACATCCCCCTTTTCTTTTCCTCTTCTCAATTGTATAGGGATATACTACGATATTTTCCCTTTCTTAAATGTTGCATGTTTACTTGCCAAAATATTTTTTAAAATTTCCATGACATTTTCTTTCAGAACTATACTTAGTTTTCAGTTCCATATAGTTTCCTAACTTGAAAGGCATTTGTTTGAAACAACTACCCTTTTAATCTAATTGAAAACGGACAGAAATTACTATAACATAACGTACTTCCTTCTCCTATGACTCTCCACACGGTACTGGTGAAAGCATGCGAAGTGTTACCATAAGTATAGAGTTCTGCTTCACGCCACTTGTAACCCACGTCAATTGAATAGGAAGCAGGTCAAAATGCCTCTCGAGATATGGCGAAATACACAACAAATAAAGTTAATATTAAGGAGTCTAAACTTTTGGAACCATACATCCTAGTTTACAATTAATTTCTATACTTTGGGGATCAGAATCCATTATAAAAAGGTATGTTTAATATTTATTCAGAAAAATTAAATTCCTGTGGGGTTTTTTTCTTCTCATTTTGCGCACAATTTATGTTACTAACACGTATCAATATAATATAATATACATTGTGAAGATCTCATTGCTAAGCTCCTCAGCCTATTATTAAAAAGGAGAATTTAGCAACTTTTATTTATAAAGAAAAACTTATGAGGAGGAACGAAACGACTTAAATGTGGACCATGGGAGCAGAGCCTGACTAAGACAGGGGCAGTTGCCCCGGGCCTCACATCAGAGGGGCCCCAAATCGAATAGAAAGTTTATTTTATGTTTCCTTCTTTAATGAACTTTTTTTAAACAAAATATCAGCATAGTGTCGAATCCGACAGTTATGTTAACTTCCTCATTAATCTATCGTAGGAACCCAAAAAATCTTGGGATGGTGTTTTCAATATAAATGTAAACAATAACAATCCCGAGTCCTATACCTGCTTTAGTTCCGGTTAAAAAGTTTGCAACTGCTTTCTACAGCTTATTCTGCGAGGCGATATTTTCAAACGGATAATTTTGTTTTCAATAAAAGAAATAAATTGATAATTTCTGAGCTCAAATCTGCCGCATTTCATAAGATATAAATGTTATTATGTAATTCTGCTGAGTTTGAAGTGAAAATTTGTTTCAGTTATTTATAGGTATATTGTTAAGAAAAGGTGGCATGGTTGCTAGATTTTGAATAACTCTCTTTTTTGGCAGTCCTGATTTGGTCCCTTTCAATTTGTTATTTCTGCGTGTTCTTGTTAGCAAGCTGTACACCATGTTAGCGTTAGCACCATTAGCACTGTAAACACAAGTAATAAGTAATCATACCACGTTTGCAAGAATCTCAAGACACCATGTTCTCGTTGTGAGCCAAATGGCTTTAAAATACACCGGAGACAGTAACCCGGATGTATAGGCGGTATGGAGCTTGCAGCGTTCTCTAGTGTAGAAAACACCATTTATATTTCGTAAATCCATGGCTTTCTAGTGCGGATCTCAGCTAAATTTTCGCAATTATGCTGGGCAAATTTGGCCAATTAAAAGCCTGCATTTTTACATATAGCAAAATGCGTTATGTTTACAAAAATAGAGGCGTCGGATTGGCTTCATTGAGCCATCTGAGTTCCAAAAATTCAGCTGAATTCCACCCTAATGTCAGCAAGGATATGAATTTTTCGCAGCTAGATGACAAAGTTAACAATCAGAAAACTGCCTTCGGCATGATGGAGATAGAATTGTCAGAAAATCAAAATACGGACAGAACGATATTTCTTTTGATCATTGGAAAGGGGGGGGGGACTTTATAGCTATTTTAGGTTTCAGTCAATTTTCTTGTTATAGATGTATAATCAGGTGAAAATTTAAATACCTCCATAAAGTTAGGTTCTTCATTACTGAAGCAGTGCAGTAGAGGGGGCCCCAATTAGGCTAAGTCGGGCCCTGCATAGGAGTGCTTTCCAGAACATAAACTTCGTGGGGGCTTATACCTTTGGTCCATATGGGTCATCCGCAGGGAAGTAAGCAGTTGAAGGAATGGAGGCAGATAATAAAGCTACCGAGTTGGTATTCAAGTAAGCTTGGTAATGGTCAGCCGTAACTCTATGTGGCATTAAGCGAAAATGATTTGTAATTCTGCCCTAAAAAGGAGAAACTTCTTTTCCTGGGATAGAAAAATAAAAAAAACGGGAACTCTTTTTAAAGAAATCTACTTTTCCAAGAAAAAAATACGTTTTTTTTTCATTTTTTAAAAAAAGCGGAATCTTGCCAAGTGAAAAAACTTATCCTTGACTTAAGAAAGCAGAATTTTTATTTAAAAAAATAATTCAAGAATAAATAAACCAAAATATAGAAATAAACGAAAATAAATGTACAAATAAAAAGCAGAATTTCACCAAAAAGAGAAGAAAAGATAGCTCATCCATGGATAATTTCTCTTGCAAACGTTGAGTTCGCGAATGAATGGGGATTTTCTAGATTGCAACTACCCTTTTAAACATTTACTGGACTCCTACTTTTAATTCAATTTGCTTTAAAATGTAATCTGCACAAGTATTTTGTATATTTTAGATTAATCCATCAAATCATTAAAATCGATTCGATGAAAGTCTTAATATGTAAAAATCCAATCATAATATAGTGATCAAGAATTATAAAAGTTTACGGCCCCCACTTTTTTTTGCTCACTCTTTATCCATTCTGTTACAGTACTTTGCTAGGCTTTTTAACAAATTGGAAAGAAATCTATAAGAAATTATGTGTAATTATTAATTGTTAAGGATTCAGTCATTGGTAATTTTCAAAGTGTATGAAATAAATTTTAAGAGTTCGACACTTATTCTGCATAAGCATATTTATTTGGAATGTTCAAATACATTTACAAATATATTTATTATAAATGTATATGTATGTGAATTTATAAATTCATTCATACCTTATAAATTCATTCTATCTATTATACATACAATCATTACATTATTTCACTAAACATATAATAATAGCAATTTATAATGAAATTTAAAACTTCAACGTTTTTTTTCCTTCTTTTTTTTGTTTTTTTTTTTGGACGAAATATAAAATAAGCATTTTTACAGCAATGCTGGGTGATCACAAAACAGAGAAAAGCTGTAACTGAGAATTGGATTCAAATACCAAAAAATCAAGGAAAAGTGCTCCATTTGGGTTTAAGGTATTTTTTCTAAGAGAATGGTAGACATTTCGGATGCTCGATTTTGGTTTAATTTACATCAATAAATCAATGTCTGCAAAAAAATCTCTTTTTGAATAATGTATATTTTAAAATTAAATAAAAAAGTTATCAATTTTCAAAAATATTTTTTAGCATAAATTAATTAGAAAATATTGCTCAATATTTTATCAAAAATATTTATATTCTATGTTAAGAAAACAGTATTTTCTCATAGACATTTATACTCACGAACAATGTAACTCATTACCCCTTTGATGGGTCATAGTTAGCAGCTGCAAAGCAAAAAGAAAAGTGCTTATGTCTTTTTTACTGGTTGTTTTCAGCTTCAATAATAAGTATAATAATAGTGAAAATTATTATATATAATTAATCACATTGTTACAAGTACAAATGCATTATTTACACTACAAATATAAATATGTTATAGAATATGCAGGTGACTAGTTGTATTCATACATTTATATAGAGAGTATCTAAATTTTCTGACCATAATCCATAGAAACAAGTAAAATTATATTTTGGTAATTTATTTATTCAAACCTGATATGTTATATGATATGTTTATGAACATTCTCACTCTTTTTGAGAGACAGCTTAAACCCTTCAAAATACATCAAATGCAGTGTCAAATACAAGTAAAATTTAGTTACATATAATATGAAGTGCAAAAAACCTGTAAACAATTTTTACGATTTTGTAAAAATATGAATCATATGAGGAAATTAAAATTGTGCATTATAAGCTATTTTTGAGTGAGTTTCTCTGCATGTATTGCTATAGATATGTAAAGTGGTTATACTTATTATATTGATTCTTTCAATTAAACCAATCTAATTTAAGCATAAATTTAATGTTGGTTACTTTTAAGGAATTATTGAATACAACGTGGTGAATATTTAGCCTTATATTTCAATGGTAATATGAGGAAGAATCTAAAAATTTGCATTTTAATAAAGTAAAAGTATCATTAGAAATTGGCCTTTCATTTTCATTGTTTTGATTCAAAACTTTGATTTTGTCCAATATGTGATAACAAATCAATTCAACCTAATGTACAAGAAACATTATATTAATTGAATGCTAAAAATTATTTTTAAAAAATAGTGTAATAAAATATAGAAGAATAAAAAACAAAGTTGCTACAATAATTGTATCAGAACAGATTAGTTCACTTTTCCAAAAATTATTTCAAAGAAAGGTTTTTACTATGGAGATTATTTCAACGATGTAAAAATAGTCAGAATTCATGTAGAATGTTTTGCTGCATAACAAAACACTTTAATGAGTAATTGAATTTTTTATGAGCGTTTTGTCCTTACTTGCTATTGTATGGACAGTGATATAGAAATTCAGCATTAGAATAAATTTTATTCCATATAATGAATTTGTACATAGTATTAATAAAAATAACAATTCAACAATTATTAAAAAAATAATAGTGGTGTTGGGTGGTTAGAAATTTTTACTACTTTATTTGTAAAAAAAAATTTTTAGAAAAATGTTTCTAGCAACAAAAATTTATAGAAAACTAAGATATAGTGTGCGCTATAATTAAACTTTTTTTCCTACCTCATTTACGAAAGTTTCATTTCAATTCCCTTTTTTTAAAAAACTTCTCAATGTAACTCGTTATTAATTATTTTAAAAAACTCAATATTGCATGAACTGTACACAGCTCATGCAATATTGAGTGGTCTGAATTCAGCTCTCACCATATAAAGCGTAATGGTGTACTTAATGTACTTAAATCAGTCGAATTGCTTGAGTTATCCAATTTAAAAAGTCATACAATTTGATTTCTCCAGAAAAAGTTAAAATTTGATTTCTTCAGAATAAATAGACCGATTTCATTCAATTTGCATTTTGACACATAAAATTATATTACTTTAAAATGTAAAAATTTGCATGCCTTATAATTCAAAATGTTTTTATAATTATTAAATAAAATAATAAATGATTATTAAAAATTATTTTTTTACCCGGAGTTATCTTTGAATAAGCGAATTTTATAATTGTGTGCAAAAATCTTCCAATTCAAAGTTTTCGATATATATAGAGAGAAATGTGCCAAATGTAAAAATATCATAAAGGGGTTCAATTTTTTAACTACTCTCCAGACTCAACTATTTGGAATATATTTTCCAGATTGAACCTACCCGTCCTATTATGAGGGGCAGGAATCTAAACATCTAAATACATTAAAAATACATAAATAAAATATACCTAGTAATTTTAACCTCTGCATCAAAGTTTTTCAATACCTTAAATAAATGATAAATTAATAAATGATTAAACAATTACTTTTCTTATTGGTAAGAAAAAGGAGAAACTACTTTATTTTAGTCAAGCTTGAAAATTGAAAAGAAATTGGATTTAAAAATGGCTAGTCTATTATATGTTTGTACCTTTAATATGAATGAAAGTTTTGTTAAAAAGTTAATATATATCACTAAACAACTGTTACTATCTTTGATATGTTAAGCTAAACTTTTTATTTAACAATGAAACCTTCAAAATAAAACCATACTTTGGTTTTGATTATAAAGATGCATTATTTGTTTAAAAATGCAAAACATGTTGAAAACATTTCTTAATGTATGGGTGATTAGAAAAAAATATTTTTCAGTCTAATTTAAAATGAGAATAACTAGTTAATATATATGTTATTTTTTCAAATTACCATTTTTAAACTCACATTTCTTCTAGATTAGAAGTATATAAAAAGTTACAAGTGTAGGTTTAGCCATTATAGCTTATATTCTAAACAATAAAATACAAATGTTACAGATTTAAAAACTTTTAACTATTGCACTACCATACTTTTAAAAGTGCAAACACTTAGACAAAAAATTGAAATGCAACAAAAACATAAAGGATTTATTGCATATATGACTAGATAAAATTATTTTTCAATCTAATTTAAAGTGAGGACAGCAAGACAATATTTGAGTTGCTTTTACTCATTGCCATTTTTAAACTCACATTTTTCACTAGATTGGAATCGGTCAACAAGACTACTGGTGTAAGCTATGCAAATAAAGCTTATCTGATTATTACAGAGTTCAAAACATTTAACTATTCCATTAGCATATTTTTAAATGTATGAACATTTAGTCTACAGATTAAAAAACAATAAAGGCAAAAAAGATTTTTTTAATAATTACTAAATAAAAAAAAAATCAGTCTAAATTACAGTGAGAACAACAAAGTATTATTTATATTATTTTTACTAATTATCATTTTCAAACTCACATTTTCTTAAGACAAGAACAGAAGTACTGCGACAGGTAAAGCTGTAATAGCTTATTTGCTAAAAATAAAATGGAAATGTGAAAGATCTAAAAACATTTAACTATTTCATTACCATGATTGTAAATGTATGAATACTTTGACAAAAGATTAAAATACAATAGAAGTCTTAAAGGTTTCTTGAATAAATTTTTATATGAAGATAGAACAAGTTAATATTTATTTCATTTTTACTATTTAACATTAAAAAAGATATACGAGGTGTGGCTTCTAAAAAAATTTAAAATAGTTTAAAAAGTTTGTGCGATTTTTGTAAGGTGGTACCTTTCTTATACCGACACGAGTTAATAGAAATCTTTTATTGCTGAAAACAGTACAGGAAGCAAACGATTTCTTTTATAAGCTCTAGAACTTTTGCTTTTTGAGACATGATGACTTAGCTGTCATTTTGAAAGACCAGGGTTTTACTTAGGGTGGTGGGTAGAAGACTATTTATTTGCAGATCAATGATTATCAGCTTGTCTGAAGTTACTGATGTGCAATGTTAACAACTTTACCACCATTATACCTATGTCATGGGTTTCAAAATTGTGGATACTTAACTTCCATCACTCCCTTGGCCAACAACTAGCTGTTGCAAGAGTGTTTCCCACACTTTCTCCTTTCCATAACAGAATTCTTTTTACAGGGTTCCCACTCTTTTAACAAAGCAAAAATTAAGCACCTTTAAGGACTTTTTTTTGAAAAATTTAAGTACTTTTTTGAAAAATTAAGGACTTTAAAAATAGTATGATTGTTTATCATCGAATATAACTTCCTAAAAAAATCATTCAATAAAAAAATACTAAAAAACAATTTTATGTAAAGAACACTATTATGTATAATGTAAGAGCTGATATAATTGTATTAATTAACAGGGCTTGCCAAAGAATTACCAGGAAATTTTTGCAAAACCGGGTCGGATTTTTTCTAAAAAACATTTTTAGATTGTTAAAAGTTAACGTCATTCAGATTGTAAAAGTTAGCTTATGAAACTAATCTGCATTCCATTTTTAATAATTTCATTGAAATTGAATTGTAAAATTAAGTGAAGAAATTAAGATTTGCAATTTTTTTCATGCACATTAAAAAAAAGAGTACCTAAATAAAGAAATTTGTCTAAAACACTGATAAAATTATTTCAACAAGTTTTTATATTTCACTACTAGACCAGCAAATGTGGTATATTTACTTTTCTGATGAACTTAAACAAAACCATTTCTAGCCAAACCTATTATTCAGAATTAACTTTACATAATGTAACTAAACATTTCGGCGAAAAACATGAACTAATTTTAAAACAACCAAAAAATTTGAACAAAAATTAAAAACAGTATATTAAGTCGTAATGTTAACTGAATAAAATAATTATTTAAATCTAAGGATCTTTAAGTTGAGTGGATTTAAATTTTTATGTAACAATCTGCTTATTGTTTAGAAATAAAAATAATAGCGTACAATCTAAAACTTTAAAAAATTTTTACATTGCAACAAAATAAATTATAAATAGTTACCAAACATTTAACTTTCTTGTTAGATGCCAATCATGTTTTCTTATTTAGTACTCAGGAATTTTTTTTAAAGTATTTTTGAAAAAAAACTTGGCTTTCATCAAAAACCCAATAAACCCCAAGTTTTTGATGAAAAACTTAGGTGAGCTGGGATTTTTCAAGCCCTGTTTCTTACAAATCTGTTTAGTACAATCATGAATTTTAAAAAAATTTATGCCTTATATAAATTTTCAGTTACTTATCACGCATTGAAATATTATACAAATTTATTTCATTCTTCAAGATTTTAGGAAAAAGTTTTCATTATGGATTCTAGTTCAAAATTTTTCTCTGATACTTCTGTTCTTAGCGCTTTAATTCATTCCCTTAAGCAGATGCGTTACCAGTAGATCCATACTGTTCTTTTCTTTTAGAATGCTTCACTCTCCTCATAGAGTATCATTTGAGGTAAAGGACAGACTATATTAATGAAAGAACCAATATATTAATGAAAGGACATGCTTTCTTCCCCTTGCCAGCCGCCTTCCCCACATTAAAATGTTTTACCCTCATTAAAATGTTTTACTCTCTCTAAAATGTTTTACCCTCAAAGCATGGTCTAATTCTAAGCGATAAAAGAACAACATTTTGTTTGAAAAAATTTAACTAAAAAATTGTTCCTATCAACCATAGAGATTATGAAAAATTAAGGACTTTTAAAAACCTTGAACCAAAATTAAGCACTTTTAAGGCCCTTATTCTCCAAAATAAAAATTAAGCAGTTTTTAAGGACTTTAAAGGAGTGTGGGAACCCTGTTTTAAGTTAAGCTTGGTTTTAAACTACAAGAAGTGATCAAATGAAAAGGTACGAAACGACGTAAAAATGCAACAGTTAAATATTTGCATATTCCGCCATGGGAGAATGTAGTGAGACATCTCGGGATGAGATTGGAGTCTCTGACTGGGATCGGAGCATGCGCGGGTTCCCGCATGCGCAGGAGAGAGCAGAGGCTCTTATCAAAAGCGCGTCCAAATGCGGCAGTCCGTATGAAGAACAGAAACTTGAGCACAGGAAAACCATTAACTCCTATGTATACTGTGAGGCACTCCAACGCCTACGCAGGCCCATCAAGAATAAAAGACGGGGGATGCTCGTGGAGGGTGTGGTTCTGCTCCATGATAACGTGCGTCCACATTCTCCAGAGTCACACACATGGAACTGGCCAAGTTCAAGTGGGAAACGTTGGACCATCCACCCTACAGTCCGGACATGTCGCCCTGCGATTTACATGTGTTTGGTTCACTGAAGAAACATCTGAAAGGGAAGCGCTTCAACTCGAACGACGTACTCAAGGACGCTGTGAAGGACTGGGTCTCGTCACGGCCACAGGAATTCTGGGAACAAGGAATCCTGCAGCTTGTTCATCAGAGGGATCGTTGTGCTCAGGCCTATGGTGTATATTTTGAATGAAGTCTACATTTGTACCCACAGTGTCGTTTTGTACTTTTTCATTTGATCACCCCTTGCACATGAGCAAATTAGGTGAATGTGGTGGATATGCTAAGACAAAAACAATCAATAAACGAAGCTTTGTATCCTAGCACAATGTTAAAATAAAGAATTCTACTTCTAGAATTCTTGAAAGGATTTAAAGCATTAATTTGATTAATTAACATGATTAAGATCAATAAATTGCTCATCAGAATTCCTTGAATTTTCACTCTCAATTTATTGAATAGAATTCATATTTATCATGGTTCTATTATGTAATCATAAATCCAAGTATTGTGTTAACAAACATAATCTTTGAAACATTTTGCACTACATTAGTAACCATTGTAATTTTACAGGATAAAAGTGATAACAACAAAACCTACTGCAAACTGACACTCCAATAAAAGAAGGAGTTTCATTTTCCTCTTATGTTTATTATTTAACACCTACAACCCTTACACTTGAGATTTATAATTAATAATCCTTATATTTTAGGGCAATACTTTTAAAAACAGAAATTATTCAGTAAGAGATATTTTAAAAAAATCTTTTTTAATAGCCACATCTTACATAAGCATTTCAGATTAATCATGCATACCTATAATTAGAAATTTATTCAATGAAAATAACACAGAAAATTCATATACACTTTTAATAAAGAAACTAACATATTGCTTTAAAAATATTATTTAAACATTCTGCCTTTAACACTGGAATTTCAAATTGATGAAGCACAAATGAAATTAATAATTTATTTAAAAGCAAAAGTTTAATAAAAAAATAAGATCTAAAAATATACATATAAGTCTTAAATTAAGCATATGATACTTTTCATTCAGTATGAAAAGAATCCTTAAAACATATGTATACTTTTCTTTCAGTATGAAATTCATCAAAAACAGATTCAAGCTTGAGAAGCCTTTAGTAGTTCATCTGATAATACTTCAACTTCCTTTATTTTATCACAAACTTTCTTAAAATTTTTTGGAATTATGTCATCACCATAATATGCACCAGCAATAGCACCTGCCATTGTAGCAATAGTATCAGTATCACCACCGACTGATATAGCAAAGTAGATGGTTCGAATAAATGGATTTGTGGTCTGGAAAGGGTACAAAATTATTATCTTGAAAAACTAACAAATACGTATTTTGTACAGTTTGTAGAAGGGTTACAATATATGATGGATGAAAAATACATTCTTTAAAAAAAACTACGCATTGGGAATTTTTTTTTGAAGGTATTTATTTCATTAGATATTTGACTCTATGAACATGTTTTTTAAAGGATAATCCTGAAATAGCAACTGTGATGTAAGAAAGGTTTTTGGTTAATTCTTCTACTGTTACAGCTTTAGGTAAAACTTTTGGAAATTTTCTCCTCTAAACAAGACTTTCTTATTTTATAAAATTGGCTATAACATTTACTTAATTAACATTAAAGTATTTTTGTAAGCTTTTCCTAATGGCAATATCTACTAAAGTTATACCAAGTTGAAATTCAAATGTATTATTTCTTCATAGAAATAGTAGCCTAAGTTTGTGATTGAATTTTATTTTTATGAATCAATAATCAAATGACAGAGTTTTTTTGTTAACAATGAATTTGAAATGTTGATTTTCTTAAAAACTAATATTTTTATTTTAAAAAAAGGACCATGACTGATATTATAAAAAAACAACATATATAATTCGGTATTGTTGAAGAGATAACATGATATTTGAGATTGTACCAGGAAATTTTGTTTTTACCATGTTTGTCTAATTTAATTGCAGAGTTTTTCATGTTAACAATGCATTTGAAATGTTGATTTTTCTAAAAACTATCATTTTTATTATAAAAAAGACTCAACACTATTATTATAAATAAATATATATATATACATACATATCCATTAAAATGTTGATCACAATTTGCCACAAGTGACATCCACCCACCAATTCTGATAAAGACCTTGACAAATATGTCATTCCGAGGGAGGAGAGAGTTTCTTACTATCTTTGCAATTCTCAGTGGAAGGAGAAAACATTCAATTTTATTTTCTATCTTATGTCAAAATAGAAGACAACCATAGCGAGATTAGAAGAAATATCAATTTTACGATTGGTTCTCAAAAGGTTTTATTACCTTTAAGGAATTTTATCAATAATTAATCCAACTTTTTGATTTACTTAATTAATAATTAGTTTGTCAAAGCTAAAAAAAGAGGGAAAGATAACGCATCTGAAGTTTTTGAATTTTTCATGGTACAATAACATTGTATTAAAATATTGGAATTCTAAATACCACGCATGGTACCAACGAATGAAACGATGAAAAAAAAACTTATCTGTACAATGAAATATGCACATATAAATTGTATCAAACCGTGAATAGTTATATTTGTTATTAGAAATTCGCATGTCATATTAACATCGTAGTTAAAGTAACGGGATAGTAAAAATCATAAAGAAAAACATTTATAACTCACACTAACTTCACAAAAATTTATAACTCACAAATCGTAATAAATGCATTAGTATCTTAAAAACCACATATGGACTTTAATAATTATAAACGCCAAAAAAACGATCGAAACGTCACTTGGATTTATGATGAAATTGGCAAAAATTACTCAAATTCGAAATTAAAAATATTGGGTCTTTTAAAACCATGTGAAATTTCAATGCAATAACTAATGGAAAGGCGAACAACATAGATTTACAATAGAATCAGTGCAAATTTAGCTCATTATAAAGTGATGACTCAAATGTGCGCTTCTAAATGTTTGAAATTTTTTTTATTTTTCTAAAAACAAAACAAAACAGTAATTTTGTTTGTAAGCTTTTGCGGGATGCGGGCTGTGCACCTCTACACTAAATCAATCATTTTAATAACATAAAATGAAATTATTGAATTGATTCAAACGATTTATAAAAAATTATTGTAAGTATTATCCTATTCTATAATGAAGTGATGAAAATCTTAACAAAAAATTACATCTCATTCAATAAAAAAGTAATTTTTTTATTATACTAATGAAATTATTGCAAAATTATAATGAACAGAATTTTTTAAAAAATAGCATTCGGTCGAAAAAAAAAGATCATAGTACAGTTTTTTTCACATTCTTTTTTAATTCATAATCAAACATAACGTTCAAAATTGCTCCTGCAATTCAAAGAATTATTGCGATTCAGCAATTATTTTTCAAGAGCAATTCATTGGTATATTTATGTTAATTAGATATAGTTTACAGTAATATATTGTTCAATAATACTGAAATACACGTTTAGAAGAGGAAAGAGAAAGAGTTTAATTTCCGTGTGTTTTATTCCTTGAAAGGCTACCAATATTAAAGATCAGGGGTGCCAAACTCGCGGCCGGGGAAGAAAATTTTTGTGGCCCAGTCAATATATCCGAAGCAAAGTAAAAATAGAAATGCGAATTAGAAACGAAATCAGCATATAAAATTATAATATACTTTATTTATAAACTATACGGATCATTTTAAATTGTACACGCAAAAATGTAAAATTCTAATTGGCTGAAATGGAGTCTAACTAAGCTATCAATTAGATAGTACATATTCAGGTTTATCCTACTATAGCGAGGTACGTTGGTTATCTTGCTCCAAGGTACTCAAACAATTCTGGGATTTGAAAGAAGAAATATGTAAGTTTTTACAAACTAAAAATCAAGATGCAAGCTTGCACTCTGATCAAATATGGTTGCAAGATTTATCTTTTATGACTGATATAACCAAGAACTTATCTGATTAAAATTTATTGTTACAAGACACGAATCAGATCATTATGAACATGTTTGACATAATTAAAGCATTCAAATGTAAACTATTTCTTTGTGAAAGGCAACTGAAAAATAAAGATCTAACGCACTTCCCAATGTGCAACAAGAACAAATCCAATTTAGTTGATACTGCATCGTATCAAAAATACGCAGAAAAAAATTTCAAATCTTAGAATAAAATTTGAAACAAGATTTAAAGATTTTAATTCTTTGGAAGACAAATTTCACTTGTTTTCTTCGATTTTCCCAATAAATATAGACTCATTACCCAGTTACATGCAAATGGAAATGATTGAGATTCAGTGCGACTCAAATTTGAAGGCAAAAGTCATTGAAGTGGGTGTGCCTGAATTTTATGAATATTTACCGGCAAGGTTTGAAAATACTCGAAAATTCGCATATGAAATTATTTTCATGTTTGGAAGTACTTATCAGAGAGGGCAATTATTTTCTGTTATGAATGGAAATAAATCTCCTGTCCAAAACCGTATTAATTACACTCACGTTGAGTCAATTTTAAAAGTAGATAGGCTGATNTACTCAAAAATTCGCATATTAAATTATTTTCATGTTTGGAAATACTTATCAGAGAGGGCAATTATTTTCTGTTATGAATGGAAATAAATCTCCTGTCCAAAACCGTATTAATTACACTCACGTTGAGTCAATTTTAAAAGTAAATAGGCTGATAAAATTTCTCCCAAAATAGAAAAGATAGTACCAGAGAAGAGATGTCAAGTACCAGGACGTAAACAATAATTTAACTTTACATATGTTTATTACAATTCAAAATAAAAATATTTGTTTTCTATGAACATAAATTTTTTTTTGCGGCCCACCTAAAGTTAAGAATTCTTTATTTGGCCCGAGTTAGCTTTTGAGTTTGACACCCCTGTTGTAGATTCATGACTAAGTAACATAAATCCACAAGCAGATTTGAAAAGCAAATCTTCAACATTACAGTTGAAATTCTGCATGATGATTTTTATTTACATTAAATTTAAAAATAAACTCACGTCATAATATGGAAGAGGTTTCAAACTTCTGAGAAATGAATAAATTGCAGTAGGAACAGATCTCAAGGCTGAAACATCATTACCTGTTTACAAAAATAAATTTTTATAAATTTATTATTGATTTATCAAAATTTTCTTATTTTTAAAAAAATTGATACATGTTTGTTTTTTATCTAAGTAAATTTTCGTCTAGACATTTTGGTTCAATTAAAATCAAATTCGTTTGGTCAAATCACATCCATTTAACACAAACTGAGAAAGTCAGATGTTACTTAATGAAATGTGTTAAAATAATAGAAATGAATAATAATAATGAAAACCAACAAATATAATAAAAACAGGATAATACATCACTTAAATGTATGTAATAAAGAAAATTAAGACATAATTTTTTAAATCTTATTGATTGCTATCTTATTACCTAACGTTAATGTTAATGCTGATTATAGTTATTTTTGTATGGGGTGAAAAAAGAGTAAACAATGAATACATCAACAGTGATCAACACTATGAAATCATTCATAAATTTGAAAAGTCTATTCAGACATAAGTAATGAAGTCAAATTAATTCCAATTTTTTTTTGATTTATTATTATTTGGTGCCTTCCCCAGTGGCTTTGCATTATTAGATTAAACAAAACACATTTTAACAGTCCATCCCATCAAAATAAAAATTACAAACTGTATTCAGTATCATTTAGCATGATGCTGTTTCTCAAAGCAAACCCATAATAATCAGCTTACCACAATCAAATAATTTTCTTCAGAACTTATCCCATTCTGAGGAACTAAAAACCCTACTTCAGCAATACCTATTACTGACAGTATTGGTGCAGCTTTAATAGATACCAAATACACTAATATAGGTAGGTAATATCTTTGCAGCTACATTAGTATATTTGGTACCGATTAAAAATGTTTCAATTGCTAGGATGCCAGTACTGCTTATTGCCAAAATTAAGCTTCAATTGCGCAATAATAGTAACAATTTCTTATATTTCTCTTAAATGAATAAGAGTCATTTCACCAATATTAATTTTGCGTTTAAGTACATAACTTATTTCTCAGTTCAATCACCAATCATTTTAAATTATTTAGTTTAATAGACACATATACATTCTTTGAGGGCTATAGTTGGATAAAGGTTATAATTTAAACAAGAATAATTTATGACCTGGATAATTAAAATGAACTTAAATTCCTTTAGAATTGCACATAGACCCAATTGTTAAAATTTGTACTAAGTAATTTATAAGCAGAAAAATTTATGAAGCTTACAAAGGGTTATAAAATGCTGTTCACAGTTATATCAAATTTTCTTTCTTACAAAAACTCTAAAAAATTTTACAATTATTATGCAACTTACAACACTTTTTTTACAAATTGTATGCTTCCTAATTTATTCTAAGTCTATATATTAGACATTTTACTAATATTAGCTCAATACTTTTTTCAGGGCTACAGCACAAAGTAGTAAAAAAATTGATGAATTTAAAAAAAAAAAGTCCAAACCTAAATGATAAGCTACATCAACGGGAGTGAGATCCTCTTTCTGTTCAAGACAATGTTTTATTCCTTTGATGCTAAAATAGAACTGTCCAAATCCCTAATTAAAGAAAAAATAATTTGTTTTATTAGGTAAATACATGAAAAGTCAATTAATAATTAATTTATGCATTTTTTGTCACAAAATCAATGTACCAGATAAGATAAACTACTACTTTGAGGCTCATGTGCAGTTTTGTGATAAAATGTTGTCTGTAGTCTAATTTAAACATTGCTATCAGGGATGTAACTAATAGTGATTGGACCAAACAGGCAAATACCGAATATTTGACCCAAAAAATCGGCCGCATACCAAATACTCCGCTGCCAAATAGCAAATTTTGTTAAAAAAAAAAACTTTTATTAAACATTAATGTTTGTTTATAAACAAGTTCAGTCATTCTTGAAAAATAATCAAAACTTAACTATACTATTGGTATAGAATAAAAGGAAAAAACTGTAATACAATTAGAAATATTTAAGATGAATAAAAACTTGACTAACAACTATTAAAAAAAATTAAGTTGTAAATGTGAAAAAAAAGAAGTAGGAAAAAATCCTCCTAATTCTTAAAACAAAACTTAAATGTTAAAAATAATATTTTTCGCCAAAAAAAGTATCCATAAAACGTTAAATGAGATACAGTCTATCAGAAACACTTTTAAAAATGCTGTGCTATTATAAAAACGCCTATAAAAAAGATTGCATACAAAAGCAAATTAGAAAAAATAAAAATCTATCTTAATTTTTGAATGAAAAGTTTTGTAAATTATAACTAAGTTAATTTTTCTTCTTGCTTCATCTTTTTAAAAGAATATTCTGTCTGAAAATTGTTTCGATTTTGTCCAGTCCTTTTTTTTTCTGCTTCTTTTAGTATTATTTTCGAACGATTTTCTATACAAACCACTAACGATGCCTGTTTTTGCCGTAGATATATTTTTTTTAATGTTTATAATATATTGATTTATAAATTAACCTAACTCATGACCAAAACAAAACATTTGTGAATTTATATATTGTCAGTGGTCCTGTCTTCTGACTTAATAATAACACTTTTATCTTAATTTCTAATGTATACATCATTGATATTCATTTTTGTTGTTCTTCTAATTTTTGAAAACTTATTACATAAATTTTTTTATATATATTTTTAATTCATTGTAACAAATGATTATTTTGGAAAATTTTGATCTTAAAAAAGTACATACAAAGTGAAATAAGTAAAATACTTTTTTCCTTACCTAATTTAATAAAAATAAATGACAAAAGATTGGTAAGGTTATTCCTTGTTTTACCATAGCCTTATCACTACTATATACTTTTTAATGTTTCAATTATCCTTTCGAAAAAAGAAAGAAAAAAATTAAATAATTAAAGTTATTTTTTCTTTTTATAAAATTCCATAATTATGCTTATTTGAGTTTTCTGTTTTTTCAGTTATTTTCTGTATATAAATACAGCTGTAATAAATTTATGATATAGAGAGATATAATACAATAATGTGATTTGAAAATATGATTTTAACTTTTAATTAATGGTTATTGGCACATATTGAAAATATAATAGATATATCAGTTTTCTAAGATTTTAATACTGAAAAGATTTGCCTCAACTGGTTATGTGAATAATTAGATTTACAATTGCATTTTTACATCATACAGCTTGTCCAATGGTTTGTTACTTGCTGATATGCATATACATTACATTAAAATAATGGAAGAGACACTTTGAGTTTTTGACATTTTTTTAAATTTCTCAAGAAATACTTATAGGATAATTTCATAATTTTAGAGATGTTTAGTTCATGCGATTTTCAATACTTAGCAATAAGATTTAAAACTTTCAGAGGTTTGGGAAACATACAATAAATTACAAAAGAAGACAAGTATTTCGAACACCCAAATTTCATAAACCTAGAGTAAATATTTATTAAGGAGATATTGACATTTTTATAAAAAACTAATTTTTTTTGCCTCACATTTTTTTTACTATAACTTTTTAAATACATTGGAATCAAATAATATTTTAATTCATCAAATAATATTTCAATCATTTTAATTCATCAAATAATATTTCAATCATTTTAATTCATCAAATAATATTTCAATCATTTTAATTCATCAAATAATATTTTAATCATTTTATTTCATCAAATAATATTTCTATTCATTGGAGCAATTTAAAATTAATTACAAAATTATTTATTTCAAATTTAAAAGAAATAAATTAAATTGTTCAAGATATAAGTATTTAAAGTATTTCTTTTGAACCGTATTAAGCAACTAATGAAAAAGGTTTGATTTAAATATCTTAAAAATGTAAAAAGTTTTATGCAATTTTCTAAGTAGTTTTTGTATATTTTAAAAGAAAGCTCAAAGGAGTTTTCCTGAAATTTCATTTTGAACTACGAAACAAGAGTTATTAAAATGAGAACAGCATTGTGGGAGATCATCTATCATAGAAGTACGTTTTCTTTCTTTTTACCATCACATTTTGGCTTAGGGATGATAATTGCATGGTATTATCATTTGTTATTAAATTTTGTTTTATGAAACAAAATGAAATTTTGGAAAACCCCTGATGGTTTGGAGCTTTGTTTTAAAAAGTACAAAAACTACTTTGAAAATTTATTGAAACTTTTTAAAATTTTAAACTATTCCAATCAAACTTTTTTCTCTAGTTACCAAATACGATTCACTACAAAATGAAGAAAAATATTTTTTAATTTTTTCTGTGCAAGCGTAGGATAAAAGAACTACCTTAAATACTTTATATCTTGTGCAGTTGTTAACAATTTTTTAAAAAAAATAATTTTAAATAAATAATTTTCTAATTAATTTTAAATTGCTTCAAAAATATTGTTTGATTCCACTGAATATTTACAAAGTTATAGTAAAAAAACGTAAAGCAATTTTTTTTAAAATAAAAATGTCCATATTTTCATAAGTATTTACTCTAGGTTATGAAATTTCATGCAGTTGTTTCAATTAACAACTAAAGTAATTGATGCAAATTACAAGCTCATTGCTTGATTTTACGGCTTAGGGTGTTCAAAAATACTTGCTTTCTCTTGTAATTTATTGTCGGTCTCTCAAAAGTCTGGAAGCTTTAAATCTTATAACTAAGTATGAAAAATTGCATGAAATAAACATCTTTAAAGTTATAAATTAATCCTTTAAGTATTTCTTGAGAAATTTAAAAAAATGTCAAAAAATCAAAGTTCCTCTTCCATTATTGTAGAATAGGGTATACACATATGTATATTATATTATTAATATTTGCTATATGAAAATAATATATATTCCAATCAGTTATAAATAATAAACCATTATATCTGTAAATAAACAAACATAGGTTAATAGTATTTACCAGGTTTTTCCCATGGATTTTACCAGTAAATAACTAGTTTTTACCATGTTCTGGTAAAAACCCAACCCTAACAAAAATATATAAATTTATTGCCGCATCAAATATAAATTAGTTAGACAGTTAAGTTAATAGTGTAGATATTAATTTTATTAATGTTTGGCATTTAAAAAATATGTCATAAATAAACTTTTCAACCGTCTTGAAAATCAACTATATGTGCATTAATCTGAGTTGTTTCAAATACGTTGCAACAGAAGTGTCCAATGATTTCTATTTGTACTACAGATAACCAATCAAGTTCTACAAAATAAAGTACTAATGAGATAACAGTTTAAACATGAATTTCTCCAATATAAGATGACCTTTGCTATTTAGAACTTATTAAAATATTAGCTGCGACAAACTAAAAATTAGTGATGCAACAAATACCTGATCAACATATTGCCCCTGGGATATGTGGCCAATTGGCCGGATAATCAACAGTAGCCAGATATTACAATTATTTGGCATTAGAGCCAGCCTGAAATTATATACAGAAAAATAAGTTAAATACTATAACAAAAATTGTAACATTAAATAAGGAATAAAACATATTCTGCTTATTTTTAATAATTTTAAGAAAATATTTTTATCATGCAAAGAAAATTGAATAAGAAACTGAAACTAATGTAATTTTTATGATTGATAAATTATGATGCAGAAATAGTAATTGTTTTAGTCAGCATTTTTTGGCAGAACTTGGTTACACTTACTCTTATAAATTAATACTGGTCAATTTTGATAAAGTAGGAAAATAAGAATAGGAATTAATACAAAGAAGGCAAAAGGTCATTTAAAAATTTATTTAATTTGAACTTTTCTTTAACAGCAAAAAAAAAATCATGAACTATTATTAAAATAACTGGAATATTAATGTAACAAAACTAATGATTTTGAAAACAAAAAATTAAATGTATAAACAAAAACTAATGGTAGTTGGAGATTGACATTCCGCCGGATATCTGGCATATATTATCTGGACAAATTGACAGGCAATGTGACATTATTACAAACTATTTTTGTTAGCATATCAAGCAAGAGAATTTATTAGCCCACATAAATAAGAAGTGACTAGTGACTAAGTTTCATGCAAAATTTAATTTTTGCACCACTATGTGCAGTTTGAGCGGATATTTCAAAGTAGATAATTTTTAAACAATTTATGCAGTTTTTGCAAATATTTTAGAAAAAAAAATCTTGAATGTCATGTTAATAGAGCAATATAAAATTTTTTTTAAAATGGCAACATGAGTTATTTTTAATTGCTTTTTAATTTAATTTACCACTGGATCACAAGTCTTTTAGCAATCATTACAGTTTTTTAATACTCAAAGAGTAAAAAACAAAAATTTTATTATTAATAGAACACATAAATTTCAATTTGTAAAAAAATCTTGGGCTTAATATATTACATAAAGATATGTATTGTGAATAAATATATAAATTTTATGAAGAAAATTGAATTAAATAAAGTGAGAATTTTTTCAGCATGTGTAACGTGTGTGAGTAGCAAAATTTTATTAAACTAGTACAATAAGTAAATCAGAAAGAACATTTCTGAGCTAATATTTAGAAGATTGTGCTGCTGAATGTTTTTAATTTGCATGATTTTATTTTAAAAGAGTTTATATAACAAAGAATAAAAAATTATAAAGGGGGAATAATGATATATTTCCTTAATTAAATCTTCATTTCTGTCTTAATTAACATCAAAATTTATTACTTCATCAAATACATGTAAAGTGTGTACCAAAGAAGGTTTCGTAATGCACAATAGTATATTGATTAATAATAAAAATTTAATAATTATTTTCATAAATCATCATCCAAATCTACCTGCAAATATATAGTACCCTACAACAATGGAAGACACTTTAGTTTTTGACTTTAGTTAGACACTTCAAGCTTTTGATATTTTTTTGAATTTTGGAAGAAGTACTTAAAAAAACTATTTTGCAAATTTAGAAGCATTTAATTCATATGATTTTTCTTACTTTGCAATAAAGTTTAAAATTTTCAGAGGTTTGAGGGACTGACAATATATTACGAAAGAAAACAAGTATTTTTGAACATCCTATGCCAGAAAATCAAGCAAACTACTTAGAAAATTGCTTGCAACTTTTTACGTTTTTAAGAAGTTTAAATAGAATTTTTTCCATCAAATTCTAAATACGATTCACAATAAAATTATGAAAAAGTAATTTAAAAAATTTTCTGTACAAGCATAGTACAAAAGAACTCTTTTAAATGCTTGTATCTTGCACATTTTTAACAAATTTCTTCAAATTTTAAAACAATAATTTTGTAATTTACTAAAAATTTTTTTTAATTTTACTGAATATTTTTATATAGCAAAAAACATGAGATAAAAAATTTACTTTTTCATTAAAATGTTCACATCTCCCTAAATATTTAAGCTATATTTATGAAATTTTATGCAGTCATTGCAAAAAGTAATTGATACAAGTTACAAGTTTATTGCTAGATTTTTGGCATAGGGTGTTAAAAAAATACTTGTTTCTCTGTAGTTTATTGTCAGCCTTTAAAACCCTAGAGAGCTTTAACTTTATTGCAAAATATGAAAAATCACTTGAGCCAAACACTTTTAAAATTACAAAATAACCAAACCCTTAAAGTATTTCTTGAGAAATTAAAAAAAAAATGTCTCTTTCATTATTGTAGGGTAGTGTATATTATTATTAGTGTATATTATTGTACATAATGATGTAAAAGAGTTCTTTGGGTAGACATAACACATTGGTCATGTGCGATGCATGTACCACCACATGTGATCTGTAAATCACGTGAATTTTAATAATGACATACAATTCATAAATAGTATGAATATAAATCACATTGTTGCAATGAAAACAATTTATAAACTACATGATATTATGCCCAAAAAGAAAATGTTAGGAAGCAAAACGAAAGAAAATTAAAATAGCAATAAAAAAATGTAAGAAAAATTCTACTACTAATGATATACAGTGGAAAGTTAAATAAACAAAGTCATTGGGACTTCCGCAATTTCAGAAAATAGATTTTTCTGAATGATAGAATTTTAAGATAAACAAGCATCATAACATGAGTTATTCAATAAAAAAAAATAACAAATTCATGATAATTAACATCAATTTTATACAACAGCATTTTCTGACTGGTAAAAAAAAAAAATAAAATAAATGAAAGTGAGCAGATAATAATTTAAACTTTCTCTTTTATGAATAAATCATAATTTTTCATTTTTCCCTTTGTTGTGAAGAATTAGTTAGGTAGATAATCAGAAAAATATAACATAAAAAAACCCCACATACTCCAAAAGTGAATTAATCCAATTTCAAAAAATTAAATATAATAATAATAATAATACAAAGCAAGGAACAGAACTGTATAGATTTTTTTAATAAAGACATTTATTATTTAAAAGGAAACAAAGCTCAAAATTTGCAAGCAGGCGTTCTTTTTAAAAACTTTAATATTCAGTTTCATTAATATTCATAGTTTATTCTTCTCATTCAAATGTATTTTCTTTTAACTTATCTGACTTCATCTTTTCAACAACTTTAAAGTAGAATAATATTTAGGTATATGAAAAGCAGTTGGAAGGAAGAAGGAGAAACAATTTGTTAATAATATCTCCTTAACAAATCGCAAATGTGAAAGAAAGAAACTTTCTTTTTGAAAAAGGAAAAGATATTTGGTTATTTTGATAGTAAAAAAATGTCCAGTAAATGGACATCCTGACATGGGACTTTGTACTGTATATATTATCTGTCTTAATGTTAGCATAGCATGTATATTATATAATGATTCTTTAAAATCAGGTTTCCATTTCTAAGTAATTTAAACACTAATACTTTAAATCTACAATTAATACAATTGCCAAAATTGTTCAATAACATTTAAAATTGTGTATTAACTCTCCAAGCATTGGAACCTCTGGGAAATTTTCTTCTTACATGCTTGTTTTCCATTGAACACTTTTTTTTAAATGCAAGAGAAGGCTAGGACTAATGCTAAGAGGGTTAATACAAGTATATAATTGTGTAAAAATAATCAAGATGACTAGAAATTCTTAATATATAATTAAAAGTCTTTGTACACTCATATTTAAACTCTCCTTTCATTCTATAATCTTTCTGATATTCACCTGGTTCTTAAAGCTTCTCATCTTCTCTTCAAGATCCAAAATGAATTTCATAGGATCAAGTTCTTTGGAAGGTTCTAATTTTAGAGCTAAGTGTATAGCTAAACACAATAATAGAGCTCCATTATAGCCATTGGGATGAGTGTGAGTAACAAAAGAGCATTGTTCCACTGCATTCTGAAGAGAAAGATAAAAAAATTTTAGACGGCAACCAAGTAAAAAAGAAAAAGGAATAAAATTGTATAAAAATAAATATTTTGTTTTTAAAAATTACATTAAATAAAACTTAATGCAATAATGCATACTTTTTTTTAAAAAATAAAATAAAGAGTTGTCAACAATTTAAAAAAACACTTAAAACACTTTTATTCTTAAAATGCTACAAACAGATAAAAATGAGTAAAAATGTCAGACAGTATTAGTTAAATTAATTCAATTTTTAAAAAATATTCCGCAAGCACAAAGAAACTATTAAAAGTTTGCCTTATAATAAAGTTTTATAAAAATGCATTACTTTTATATAGTTGTCATCTTTATCATGAACGAATAAAGCAACAGGTGCAATTCTCATAGCAGCTCCATTACCAAAAGATCCTGCTCCATTGAACTGCTTTTTAGCAGGTTGAAACACATCTTGAAAATTTGACTTCTTTAAAGCCGCAAACACATTCCGAACATGTCCGCCATATGATCGTGCTGGTGTTTGAGGGTCAGTAAAATATTCATGCACAAATCTAAATGATTGAAGAAGAAGAAACAATTTAAATATAAAAACATGTATTTTAAAACTATTAGGAAATATTTAATAAATAAAAATGCATTTAATAAATAAGGAATATAAATTAAATGAAAAGACACTTTAAAATTTTCACATCAAGTGATATAACAATAACAATTAGTATATAAATAAAACAGAATACTCTCATCACTGGTGATTATATAAATTTCAGCTATTAAATAATATATATGATGCTATAAATTGCAGCTATTAAAAATAAAGTACTAATCAGATATTTATAATATATACAACCACAATTTATAAAATTCTAGAAAATTAAAGCAGCATTTTAAAATGAAACTCAAATTTTAAATTCATAATCAAATGAAATTCACATTTTAAATTCATTCTTATTCATAATTTATTGTGAACTAATGTTACATACTTTTTTCAAAAGCTGATTTTAAATTCTAGAGCTATTATAAATTTGCAACACAATAAATAATTCTGCAAAGTAAATTTTTTTTCAATTGAGTAAATGTTTGATCTTTCATAAACAAAAATTATTAATTTAATGCTAGAATAATAATAAAATCAATTTACATCCCAGTTTACAATTACCCTACATCCCAGTGCATAAGACAACCCTTATTTTTCATTATGAGATAGCAAATTTCTGGTGTTTGGTGTATAAGCCGACGGCAGAAAGAAATCAAATATGAAAATTTTTTTAATTAAAAAATTTTTTTAGGTCTACAAAGTTTTAAGTTAAAAATAATATCTGGATGCGAATAATATAAAATATTCAAAAAATATATATTCATTCCAGAAAATATTCAAAATTCTAGTTAACAAAAAAATTCTACAAACAATTATTTTAACATCATATTCTTTAAATAAAAATGATATTTAAAGTAAAAAACACAATTTCAGCAAATCTCAAGGTTCATATTACACAATAAAATCGGAAATACATATTAAAATTAGTCCTCATACTAAAATTTATGACAAAAATTTGCTTTCGCATTCCTGAAATAACAACAGATTACGAAAATCGGTCACATGAAATGTTTCCTTAAAGAATATTTACAAAATTATTATTGACCAAAACAGAACATGGAATAAAATAAATCTTTATTTGTCAAATAAATTTAGTGAGAAACTCAAGGATTGAAATTCATGCAGTAATTTAAAAAATTTAATATGAGTTTTATAACAATTTTTAGACCCAGCTAACTTTGAAGAAATTAAAAAAAATTTATACCTTTTAGCCAAGTCAATAGGACAGATTTCCTTATTTTTAATCAGTGATCTAGCAACTGATAACGACATTGCAGTGTCATCTGTATAAGGATATCCTTTTCTTTTTTCTGTAAATACAAGAATATTTACTTCAAGAAATGTTACATGCAAAGAATACACAACTAAAATCAAACAAAAAATTATTAATAAAAATATCTGACATAATTGTTAAACACATTAGATTAATAAGATTTTGATATTCTTTAATCTTGAGGTTTTAATAGAAATTACCACTTGTGGTTTCTGGAACATTATGTGGTTTGTAGTGAAACGTCATTATACATCTTATAGTCTAAATACAGACCTGAGGAAAATGAGATTTTAAATAATTTTTAGTTATTGAACAAAAAAGATAAATGTTAAAAATAACTACAACCTAAACTAATATATAACAATAACAAATATTTTCAACAAGAATAATAAAATGTAATTGATACAAATGGCAGAATCAATTACATTTTATTATAAAGGATACTAGTACTAATTTTACTGATTACATCTACTTATCTACTTGCGAGCATCTTGTGAAGGTGAACAATTTTACTTCTTACATCATTTTGAGTAAAAAATTAAAAAGAATAAAAAACTATAGATTATTTTAGAGCATCATTAGCATAGACTTTAAACAATAAAAATCTTCATATTTTTTACCATAAATAGATCTAATATAGTTCATAACATTTACATTAGTTAGACTATATTTGAAATAACATTATGATAACATAATTGAAAACATTAACCCAATATAAAGCAACTTTGAAATGTCATGAATGCAAAAAAGATTTTTGTTTGATACAAACATACTTCAGAGTTGAACTTAAAGCAGACTAGTTGTACCTGTCAATAAGAGTAGCTTATCTTTAATAGTGTGAAAGACCTGCAACTTTTCGTCTCTTTAGGAGATTTATAAGGCTTACAACTATTTTTTTTTCTCAAAAATTTATTTTTTAAATAACGGGAATGAGTTTTGTAAAAAACCAAAAAAGCTGAAAACAGAAATTAAAAATACCTGAAATTCTAGCAAGGGGAAAAAATATAATACAGATATAAATAAATATTATCAATGCTTAAATAGAAAATATCTATAAGACAGGTTCTTTAAAGATTTCATGAATACGCATCTCAATGTGAGATTTTTAAAGTGTGAATATGAATTCCAATGTGAGGTTTTTGAATCATATGAATATGAATTGCAATGTATAATTTAAATCTCATTGATATCAATCGCAATATGTGACCTTAAATAGTGTACAAGTAATTTCAAATCATGTTAACATAGTAAAAAAGAGTGTAAGAAACAAATCCTCTTTTTTATTTTAAGAATTTGAGAAAGCAGAACTTTCCTTGAAAAGATAAGATAAAACCTTATTTTTTGCTGTAATAAAAAAAAAGCAGAATTTTGCCACAAAGTAGAAAAAATTCCTCCCTGAAATTAAATTTTTGTAAGGAACTTTACAATTTTCAATAGAAATCTGCAGAGTACAATTATTTTTAGTGATTTAAAAGTAAAATTGGAAAGGAAAAGAGATTCTCAGCTTAGGTTGAATTGTGAAACACTGACATACATAAAAGGCCAAGTACTCAAAATTGTTATTTTTAAAACAAATAAAAAGTAATACTAAATAAAATATCATATCACTTATTAAAAATATCAGTAAAATCTGCCTATAGGTAAAGGTAATTATGTTAAACCATAAATTTTAAACCAATTAGCCACAATAATTTATTTGACTCCAAGTGCCATCTTCCCACTAAGAAATATTTGGGATGATTATCATATCGGTACCAGAGCTAAAATAATTACCAAGTTGTGACTTCTGAACAGATGCACGCGAAAAACGACGAAGAAAAATAAAAGTATAATTTGTAACTATCCAATCAAACAGCTATATATTTTATTTTTATATTTCAGAAGTTTAAAAATTCTTAGGCTTCTCAGCGCAACATATTTTTACCTCCATTAAGAATTCTAGTGAAAAACTTCTTCAGCTTTTTGTCTGAAACGATAGCAAATTCAAACGGAGCACCAAAACAATCACCAATCAAAGCACCAACCAAGCATCCTCTAAACTTAACAGTAATGCTAACAGTTTCAAATTTTGAAGTCGCCATTTAAGTATTTTTTAAAAAAATTACATAACTTTATGATATGTCATGGGAATGATAATTTTAGATACAATCAGGGACTAATATAGGAGTATAGTAATATCAAGAGTAGAATTTTACAATTCCAATGATAAATTTACTATTATTGATTGAGACAGTGTCCTATTAAAATTTGTTCTTCACTAAAATTTACGCTTAAACCTAACTTGCATGGATGGTGTTTTCTAGGATGCATTGCAAGCTGTTTACTGCCTATACTTCCGGGTTACTATTTCCGGTGTATTTCGAAGCCATTTAGCTCACAACGGGATCATTGTCTTTTGAGACTCTCTTGAGTAATATTTCTTGCAAAAACGCAGAGCTATAAGCGATAAGCAGAGAGCTCGCCGCACTTAACTATGCTCAATATTTCTTGTATACATGTATTCGTAACCAGATTTATTATTTGCGTTTAAAAAAAGAATCATTATAAGAATCGTCATTTGAAGACCTGTCATTTCAAGTCTAAATATAGACCTGAGGAAAATGAGACTTTAAATAATTTTAGTTATTGAACAAAAAAGATAAATGTTAAAAAAATAACTATAACCTAAACTAATATATATCAATAACAAATATTGTCAAGAAGAATAATAAAATGTAATTGATACAAATGGCAGTATCAATTACATTTTATTATAAAGGATACTATTAATTTTACTGATCACATCTACTTGTGACTTGTGAGTATCTTCTGAGGGTGAACAATTTTAGTTCTTACATCATTTTGAGTAACAAAAAAACTATAGATTATTTTAGACAATCATTAGCATTGACTTTGAACAATAAAAATCTTCATATTTTTTTATCATAAATAGATCTAATATAGTTCATAAAATTTGCATTAGTTTGACTATATTTGAAATAACTATTATTTTTTTTATTTTTATTTTTTACATAATTGAAAGCATTATCACTATTTAAAGCAACTTTAAAAAGTCATGAAAGCAAAAAATTTTAATAAAATTAATGCTTATACATCATAGTTTTCATTCAAAAATGAAATGCAACCCTTAATTTTATTAAAAAATAATTTTAATTTAATAAAAAAATCGCATTTTATTTAATAAAAAAAGCTATAAGCATTCCCTTTTTAATGAAAATATGTCATCATTTAAAGTATTTTAGTTTAAATAAATTACTGTTTTTCAGTCAATGAAAAATAAAGTCCTTCGAAAGAAATATTTTACTTCGTTGTTTCGACATTTCTTTCTACTTTTAAGAAACACTTTCTTACATTGATTCTTTGAGATCAGCATTATTTTTATTTTATTGAAATGAAACTAATCTCAAGTCCTATGCATTCATTGGTAAAAAGTGGTATATGTTGCAGCTTTATACTCTTAAAAATTAAATAATAAATTAAAAAAACATTAATTCAAAAATCAGGAAAATAATACAATTTTGTTTAGAATATAATTAATCCTCTTTCTTTTAAATTTACTATATCGTTTTTATCGTATATGATAACCACATCATGTAGAGCAGAGCTAAAATACCAAATCAGTAACACATTTATTCAGTTCTAGGAAAAAGAGCTCCGAGTAAAAAATGTCCCTGGAAGAAAATGTCCCGGAGAGAAAGGCACGAAAAAAAGGTCCCGGAGAAAAAGGTACGAAAAAAAAGGCCCTACTTTTAGTTGTTGCGTTGTTCCATGGTGCTTTTTTTCTACAAAAAAAGGGGGGAGGAAATAAAAATAAAAAGTAATATGTTTTCATAAAAATAAAAATAAAAAATTTTTAAAAAAATTCGTAACTCAAATAAAAAAAAAAAGTCCTACTCACGAATCCTCCTCCCTTCGCCTCAATTAAAGAATAAGTATAGATAGTGAGAAAAACTTTCATGGTGCGTTGAGTCGTTTCAGACCCTTCTATAAAAAAATTAGGTAAAAAAAGAAAAAAATTATCTCTCTTATAATAAAAATTATCTCTCTTATAACAAAAATAAATAAATATATAAAATAATAAATTAATGTCCTTTTAAGTAATTTCACTCATGTAAAAATAAAGAAAAAATACTCCCAACTTAAAATTTCCCTTTCCTTCCTCAATTGGTTAATCTAAATATCAACAACTTCTACACAAAATATTATTTAAAATAAAAAATAACATACTTCCATTAAAAAATGTTAAAATAATTCTACCCCCTTAAATAAAAGAAAGATCAGAAATACACTCAAAAATCCTTCTCTCTTTACCTTAATCAGCGAAACTGAGTTGAAACAACGAGAGAAGCATTCAGGTTGCACGAAATGCTTGAGGTGAAATTTCCGTACTGTGGTACCTCTTTTACCGGAACCTTTTTTTCCAGGGACACTTTCAACCGGTACCTTTTCTTTCCGAGACCTTTTTTTCCCTTTTACCCTTTATTCTCACTTATTTGAAATATCCTTTGAAAAACCCACAATAATTGATATAAATAAAGATAATTTTTATTCTAATAAAAAAACCAGATTAATTAAACCGGAACAAGATGATAAATACATTTAAGATTGCTTTAGTTTTATTCAACTTTCCACTGTTCTCTCTCTCTTTTTTTTAAAAACTTTTTTAACAATTTTGAGATTTATACTTTTTTAATCGTGCAGATTATTTTTAATCTTACCAATGCTTAAGATATTCATTGAAATGCTTTGCTCTAAGTGATTGTATTATTCAGCTTAGAAATGTGAAACAATTAATATTCATTGTTATGATAAACTATTGAAAAGAATGTTTTTAATAAACAGAAAAGTTTTGACTTTTTCTAATTTTTTGTTTTGGAAAATTAAAAAAAAATATTAGTCTCTTGTCATAATTGTTTTATCTCATATGATTACTTGACGTCATGAATATTTATTTGTCATTCAGTCAGATCAGAAGTTTCAATAGAACGAATTTTTTTCTTCTTTATTATATAGTTATATTTTTTAAGACCCTATAAATACTGGAGAAAGGCAACTTCATTTTTTTTATCAATGTATCGAAAGAAAAAAAATTCTAGATATTTGTTTCAATTGTGACTTTTTAAAACGTGGGCATTTGTGTCTATAAAAAGCCCATAATTTCATTCAATTTCCATTAAATGGGTTGAAATTTTTAGATTTAATATAGATTTGAAGTTAATAAATAATTTAAATTTTTTAGTGGATTGTCTTGAAAAGACCTTTCCATCGGTAGAGAAACCGGATTCAACAGGTTTTATAAAATTGTTATTTTATGATAAGCATTATATTTAGAGGAAAAGGGTGTTAGCTTTTACAGAAATCGTATGAAAACCATTTTCTTTTACAAAAACATTAATAACAAGGAAAAAAAAGAAAAAGTCGTTTGGTTGCATAGCAACCAGCCAGAGTTACACTACCGTGTTAATACAATTATTTAGACTAACTCTCCATTCTCGTGATTGATGTCGCAACATCCTCCTCACCCTGGTCAACCTCAAGAGGGATGATCACAGTTGTATAGGTCGAGTTATAAGTAGCTTCTTAGTGGTTTCATATGTATCTACAATAATACTTATATCATCAACCAATCGTTTTGGTTCATCTTCGAAATATCCCCTGAGAAAGACATGTTTATTAATCAACGATAAATTTGGATTATCGGTTACCGACGATATTGTTCCCAAAAACATCGCCAATTCTCAACGTCGCCACGAAATGGTTCTAATTTTATCGCTGGTAGTTTTACATTTTGTTGTTGTGACATAAAATTCGCATTTTGAATCGGAAAGTTAGTAACATTTAGTGAATCTGCACTCTCATTCTTGTGATTGATGTCGCAACAAAGGGGGCATGGAGCAAGAATAGACTAGTCTTTCTTATTAGTCAAATTTTCTTTGTGAGAAGTCGTAGATTGGTAACATTGTGCACAATGCACACAAAAAATTAAAAAAAAAAAAAAAAAAAAAAAAAAAAAAAAAAAAAAAAAAAAAAAAACAGACAACCCTGAATAATTTTTGATTTAAGGATCGGATCCTCACGTTCTAGAACTCCATCTTATTAATATTTCGAGAAGATGATCTCAAACAGGCTAATTAATTGGTGCAGATGATATTTTAAGTTACGAAATCAGACATACTTTCTCTGGATAAACATTACTTTGTTTCAACGGATTTGATTTTCTAACCCCCAAAATATAGGGGGTAGCCTCTATCTGAGAAATATAGTCCCCATAGTTTGGTCAGGAGAGAGATCCAAAGCTTGGACCCTTCATGTTAATTTTATTATTTGTATATTTCGCGACATTTTGAGAACTTTTTAGGTAAATTTAAACATTTTTACACAGAATTCGTCACAAATTAGAATTCATTTATCCAAAGATAATTCCATATAAAAAATAACTTTTACTAAATATTTATTACTATTTTATGATATAATAGTCGAAAAAATTATTTGAGGAGTTCGATGGGGCAGAAATGGACTTCCTTTTTGTCTATTGAAAATATAAAAAAAACACGAAATATTGACTTCAACAATATTATCGATGAATATGCGTCAATAAAGGCCAGGAGAAATAAATTTTAGGTTAATAATGTAATTTTCTCTAAATTTTGGACTTCAGATTAATAAAAAAAATTCTTTATATGGATTTAGGGAAATAAATTTTTTTATGGCTTTATTATTAATTTATATTAATTAACAACAGCTTAGCAATTTTTAATGGACTGTGTTTTAAATTATTAATGAATTTATATTTCGTACTAATCATAGTCATTAATGTTATAACTTTTTTATTTTATATTAATTTTTTTCTTTTTATCTTCTTTTAAAAAAAAACAACAGAAAAATCCTTTCTGTGAAATCTTTTTTACCGCTTTTTTACAAAAACTGAAACTAATTTAAATATTAAATCTTTATTCAAACAATTTATTTTAATGAAACCTCATATATTATCTTTCTCAACAAACTTAAGTGTCTCTATCAGTACGATACTAGAAGCATTAAATACGTTTAAAAATCTGTATTAAGTACGGGTTTTGTAATTATTTTTTAGGTGATCTGAAGTCTTATATACTTATAGGTGTTTTGTAACCAAAAAGGAATTTTCAAAATATGACTACATTTTATATTCTAGTATTAATTTAACACGCACAATATTCAGTAATCCCATTTACATGTGAGCAAGTAACTTATTTTCAGAAATATATTCGATAACATGACACATAAATAGCTAAAATGACGATTAAAGATGGAATACAGAAAGTTTCAGAAAGGCCCCCGGTCAAAATTTGTGCCCCAGAACCCCGAGAGGCAAAGTTACGGCACTGTACAGTACTAAAAGTCACAGTAACGTACAATAAGTCCTAATTTAAAACATCGCAAAAAGTAACAATTACATAAGTTTTAAAATGTTTGGTAACGGAAATGTTTCTGAAATCAAACTGAATTCACTATTTGATACCATGAAACTTATAATTAGGTAACAGCAAATATGTAGCATATGCTGGATGTTGGGGATAACGAAATCACAGCAACCCAAACATACAATGTGGAAAAAATATCACTTCATAACTTTTGTACTAATAATCGGATTTTCACATGCTTAAAATCGATATTCATGATTCAAAG